ATGTTCCATAGTGTATTATCACTTCTGTAGTTACATGATCTCGTTAATTTTTTTATAGGGCTTGTTAGCTAGTAATAATTTTGTTTGTAAAATTTGTCTGATTTTACCACTAAATAACACTGGTTGAAGGAAATTAGAATCTGTTATTTTCAGAACCGAATATTGAAGCATTATTATTGAGTGATACACCTCGTGAACAAAATGTTCCATTGAAATCAAAAATTACGAGCAAAAAAATTACAGTGAAGAAATCAGGAGTATGTTGCATTTAAGCTTATCAAATTTTATTTTTTGATGGTAGATTTCAAATTTTATATTGATCCTGTTTGTATGGGTGGGTAAATACTCATGATGAATCTTTATTTTCTTGTTTTTTGGTGGAGCAGATGAAAATATATCGTTTTCATAGCTTGGTGCTAGGAAAGGAATGGGTGCACATCGCATAACTGCAAATTTCGGTGAAATTGAACAGAAAGCATCTGATAACTTAAAAGAGAAGGAAACATTGGAAAGTTCCATTATGAAAGATGACGGAAATGATGATATTGATTCCGATGGGTCAAAAACGATTTCTAGTCGGTTTCTGATGCAAGAATTAGAAAAAAAGGTCTCTCACGGTTTTGTTTTTAGATTTTGCGATATTAGTCTTTTTATTAATCAATCTACGCTGATATTTTGTACCCAAAACTGCTCGATTTCTGTTTTCGTCTAATGGTTTTGATTTTTTAATTGGTTTAATTTGAAACTGCTTTATGGAAGACTTGAGTTTATTGGATAATTTATCATTCTAGGCTAAACAGAAAGCAAGTAATATAGATCAGAATAAAACAGACGTAGTAGATCGTCTTGGTATGGGCAGTTGTGGCGTCATTTTTGGAAAGGGAAGAATAAGTCATTCGGTAGCAAGCGGTATCAAAGCCATTCCTCAAGAAGGCATTTCAAGGAGTATCAATGAAACTACAGTGCCAAGTCGACGAGAAGGCGAATGGGAAATTATTGATGATGATTTAAGGTTTAATTTCAAATTTTTGCGAATATGCAAGTTTAAATGTCGAAAGCAGGGTAAGAGAGGCGTGAGATTGCTACGCTTATGTTACAGGCCATTTTTTGTTCAGTTTTTTAGTTTGTTAAAAGATTGTCGTTGAAGCTATTAAATATTATTTCATAGTGTTTATCATAGATCAGAATTTAGAGGAAATGAGAAGAGATCAAGCATCATCGATGATCGCTACATAAAAAGAACTACAGGAGGAAACGATTTCTTCGATAGTTGGGAAACTCCTGCTTCGACAGTCACAATTAAAAAACCGTATTTATTTTCGTACATCTTTTCTAAAATTTGTATCAATTTGAAAAAAAAAAAAATATTTTTATAATGAAGATGACAGAAGGCTTTATTTAGTATAAAATGAGGTTGAATTAATTGTATTAGTGTATATCATGTGCTAGACTAAACTGAATAATGTATGCTTTAACATCATATGTTTGGCGAATAACTTCTTATTGTCAGTTTAAAAAATTTTTTTTTTTTTTTTTTGAAATTCATTTCAGGTCGAGGCCGATTATAACCGCTGCTATGAATGAGCCGTCCAATGACAGTGCATTGAAAAAGTTTGCGAATGCAAGAGCAATATCATCCGATCAATATTTTGGTAGTCCACAAGTAGATGTGAGGATTTTACTAGAACTGTTAATTACGGGGAAGGAAAGAATATGTGGATATGTGTTTTCTAGGAATAGGTGGATGCAAGCTAAAATTTTTTGAAAGTTGAAAATTCAGAGTGTAAGAATGTTTTGTTTTAGTATGAGGCGCAGTCCAGGTTGAATCGTTTCGAAGGTTCAAGTGGAATAGGCAGCGCTGATTTGTTTGGTGATGGCCAAAATAGTTCATACGGTAGTGGTTACGTAAGTCAAATGCCGGAAATGGCGACAATCAGAGATAGTATGAGGATGGGTGCTAGCAAAGTAGCTGGAAAGTTATCGTCTTTGAGTAATTCCGTTGCGTATTATCTTGCGGTAAGTGCATTTATAAATTTTAGCTCTACCCTTATTGTCATAGTCTTCCATAAAACTAGAAGGAAAGCGGGAATATTTTTGACAAAAATCGTTTGTTTAAGGTTGACAATAAGGGTAAGTTACATCTTTCTAAAAAACTTAGTTATAGAAAAGTAAGTTATAGGAAGTTTATGTAAATACAGAAAAAATTTCCATTTTGTGTTATTTTTCCATCGTATTTTTTCGAACGTTTCGAATTTGCCATAATAATACTTAACATACTTGTAGACTATTAGCAGTTCTTTCCACTTAATTCCCCATTCGCTGTTACAGAGTTTATTCATTCCTATTTCAATTTGAAACTTTTAAGTGAAAAATATTTCGTGAACTATGACCCTTACTCGTCAGTTTATCATATACATTCCTAGTAAAAAGTGTATGTGGCAACCTTAAATGATTTTTAAAAAATATTAGAAATTTTTGGCTGTAGGGCAGGAAAAGATTTGAATAATACTGCATATGTTAATTTTATATCTTACTTTTCTGTTCAATTCCTTTTTATGAAATGCAATATCATATATTCAGGATTTAACAAAATTAAAACGCCCAAAAGCTTTATTTCAGCGAACAAAGATATAATTTCCGGAATGGAAAGATTCATCACCAGTATGAGTTTTTTTTTTTCGGGTCTTTTGTTTCTTTTACGAAAAATCGTCTTCTAAGTGGCTTGAAGTCTCTCTATCGATTATTTATTTAGATTCCACTTTACTTTAGTTTATTATGGAATCGTTTAATTTCTTTCAGTGTGTTTTCTTGTTCTTTCCAAGCTGCTGCATTATGTTGCATGATGGATTTACAGCTTTGGCTTATTGTAGTGGAATAGAGATTTCATTTCCCTCCTCTTCAATAATATTGTTTAGAGTATAAGGAAAAATATTCAGGAATTGGATTGGAAAATTTGTTTCGTAGGAAAAAATTTCTGCATTCTTCTGCATATGGTATTTAGTCTTAATGTAAATTTCTAAAAAAATGTGAAAACATTCTACTAACGAAATTTCCGAATTTTATTTTCTCTTTTTGGTTGCATAAAAAAAATTAAATAAAAGGAAAGGTAAAAAGAAGTAAGATCATGGAAGGGAGAAAATTAACGAGAGGAACTAAAGTGAGATTCTGGCTTTAAAAATGATATCCTGAATAAGATAATGATTGCTGGGGCACTCTGGAAACGAGTAATTAAGCAGACATCTCACTAAGTCAGATTGCAGTACTTCTGCTTGCCATATTTAATGAAAGGAAAGACATCCAAAGTTGTAGTCCGAACAGCTAAGATTTTTATTCCTTTCAAAACATTGAAGGCATTGATAATCTTCGTGGATTAAACAAAGATTTCGTAGATAGTTTCTTACAACTGCTTCTCTAGACATTGCTTTCTGTGAATTCATCATATAGAAATTTCTTTTAACTTTTTCCGGTTCTTTCTGTTTACAACGAGTAGTGTCTGGTCGTGTTTGTATATGAGAAAAGGAATTTACAATTGTATAATAGTAAGGACATTCTGTTAAAGTTGGGAAATTGAGGCACTTTTTGTTTACCGGCTGCAGGATTAATGAGTAAGGCAAGTCTTTCCGAAGATTTCTTGAATTGAAGTTATTTGAGCAATCATAAAATGCAGACATGACCTGACTACTGTTTTTTTGGAAATCTACTGACTGGTTTTCAAAAAGTTTTTCTTCAGAACAACCAGGATCGGTACTGAAATATCGGTCTTGAAGGAAGGAAACGTCCAGTCTGGTTATGCTTATGTTTAACTCATTTGTTCGTTTGCAAATGGAGTGAACGTCACCACATTGCTCCACTAATTAGCTTTCTTTTACCGAACACTGTGGCTTCGATAATTTTTGGGTTTGATACATTTTATAGCTATCATTTCATAGTAGAATGCCTCTCTATTAGAACTGTGTTAGAGCTGTTCTTTGTCAAAACGTTTCAAATTCTAATTTGTGATTGTATGTTGCTAATGAAATAATGTAAAACTAAAAGTTTAATTTGAGATCATATCGTGTTTAATCATTGTAACTAATGGGAGCTTTGGTGTGCAAAATAAAACTTGAATTTAAGTGTTCTACTGATTACTTGGTTTTACTTTAATTTCTTCCCATTCACATGTGCTATTAAACGAATAAAAATACAGCTGTACGTATTGCGCTACTGATGTATTTCAAGCTCGGTGGCATTGACCAATAATGAGTGGAAACACTTTTCTATTGGTTACATCCAAGAGTCAATTTTCAAAGCACTGACTTGAAGGATTTTACACCATGTGAAGTTTTATTCATATCATTTCATCAAATTTTGAAAAAGTTTAATGAAATACGACTTCCTCTATAGTCTTTCCTTTCTTGATCAAGCAGATGCTTCTCATAGTTTATACAAAAGTTTGAGCAATGCAAATTGTTCTATGCTTTAGGATGATACATTAAATAACAAAAAAATGGGAAAAGGGGATAACTATTTTGTTGGTTTAGAGCAATCAAATCGATAAGAGGAAGTGAAAGGGGAAATATTAATTTTTCGAACTGTTGAAGTTTAGATGTTAATTTCGTGAGTTGTAGCTCCTAGCTCTGTTTCAGATCGACGTGCAAACCTATTCCATCCTCTTTTCCTCTCTGGAAAGTAACCGGATTGTGATAAATGTCTCTACACTGCTCAGTAGAGGGAGGTGGGCAGTATACGATTTGAAAAATAATATTTCGAGATCCAGTATATGCAATGAGGAGAACACAAAAGAAGGTTACAGGAATTGAATATTTTGGAATTAAAATTTAATTTGTAAATATGCGAAAAGTAAATCGATTTTGTTATCATTTAAAGAAAAAGTAGATATGTAATGAATACAATGTGCAACAGAAGTATATTTCAAAAATAACGACAAATAAACAATTTGTTGGGTGAATCGAACAGTGAAATGAAGTGGATTATTTGCATCTTCGAACTGTAATTTTGCGTTACATTAATGATGTGACAAGCTCATTAGGGATAACGTTTGAACGGATGGGCCATTCATCGTTTTGATCAAATAGGCTTCTTTCGAGAAATGCATCCAGCAAGTCGTACTGAGTACGCGCAAAACGAGGAGGATTTTTTTGGAGCATATCCTGAAGTATATTTTAAAGATCTTTGAGCCTTAGCGAATTCGACTTATATTCCAGGATTATATGTCAAATCTAAACGCTAAATACTGTCCGTATATATTTCGATAGCAGATGTCACATTTAAACAAGTGCTAAAGCGATTCGAGTAATTCAGTTTTCCTTTTTTTTTTTCAGAAACTTTTTACACTACTGTTATATTTCAGAAAATATAACAGTAGTGTAAAAAATTTAAGATCCATATTCTAGATTCGGTTTAATCAATTTAAACTGAAAATTTTTCATTAACTCCAATTTTATAAATTTTAGGCACTGAGTTACATACTAATCAGTCTAGCAGCTCTATACTACAGCTGAATGTGTAAAGAATATCGAAATCAACCACTAACTACTTCTCTTCATTCAAATAGTCTTATCTTCCACAACTCCTAACATAACACTTTCATTTTCTAATTTTTCCATTCTTCGTCTCAGCATTATCAGACAGAATATGAACTTAAAACGGGAAAAATTTCCCAATAAGTAAGAAAACTGGTGGGAATGATTATATAATGTCTAATATCCAGCAGAAATACCTTAACAAATGATAAAGCGTAGTCATAAGCTGCAATGCTACCATTATCGAGCTGAAAATTTCGTATCCAGGATCCGAAAGAAGAGAGATTTGGTTCTTCAATATTTTCTATATCACTAGTTGTTTCCGGTAGATTAAAATCGAATTTTTGTCGGAAATTTTGATCGTTTTGCGTTGCATTGAGTAAATCTTGCTCACATATTGACATTAACATCGGATCATCTTCAGCACTGCACATTTGCTTTATTGTTGCAACAACAATTTTTTGTTCCTTCCTGAAAGGGAAAATTATTATGAAGATTCATTAATCCGGTTTGGTCAGTTTCTTTAAAGTGATATGAAAATATGATTTTTTCACATCGTTTTGTAAAAGGTCTAGCTTCAAATGCGAAATATCATTTAATACAAACTAATTTTAGTCTTATGTCAATACTTTTAATTGGGACAGATGTAAGATATCGAAAAAGTTAAATTCATAAAAATATCCTTAAAAATTAAAAGTTATCACACCTACATTTAAATGACTTCCAGCAATTTTAATTGGATGAAGCTTCCATACAGTTTCAATTATTTCTTAATCCTAGTCTCAATTCTTGTAATATTCATTATTGGAAGTTAGGTTAAAGAATAATCCTGTCCACCCTTTCTCACCGGTTGCTGTACTATAGAAATCTAAGAATTCATAACTTAATTCAATATTGAGAGAAATCAAGAATGAAGAATCCCGTCTATTAATCCACATTTGAAAGTTTAGCAAAACTTCGACTTACTGCCCTAAATAGTTTACTACCATCCGTCCATGTTGCCTTTTCAGAATCTCCTCCAGTTTTTGCTTGTCTGATTCCTGCCTCAAATCAAAAATCCGCTTTTCATATTCCTGCCCACCAATCTGAATCTGAAATTCCAATCCGAATACTTCTATGACTTCACAAACCGAAATTTAAATTTACAAACTAAATTTAAAATTCGTTAAGAAATATTTTTCGATATATACTGTTTCAGAATTCCTTTAATAATTATAATACTATTTCCAACGCCACATTCCCATTCAAAATTTTTTTAGTATTTCGCACAAAGCACTTACTTTGTTTAGTAAACTCAACTCAGGTATAATACAAGGTGTACGAAGATTGAGAACATCAGGATATATAACTTTAGATCCCTGAAATTTTAAAAAGCTTCTAAATCCTAGAGATATTTTATAGTGAAAACAACAAACTGAAACTCAGTGCAATTGAAAGAATTTAATTTTGAATAAGGAGTTAACAACCGAAATTTTTATTAAGCAAAAAAAGTAACAAACTCTTTACCTTAAATGTAATTTCAACCTCGAGCTCTACCAGTTCTTCAGTGTCTGCATCGATGGAGCATAACAAACGTTCCTCGGCTGCAATTACCCAAAGTAGTCGAAGAGGTTGTAAATAGGTCCTAGAAAAAAAAAAAAAACATACAGAATAATCACCAATATTTACTTTATTATTTTTTAAAGACGAGGAAACTTTTTTTATTTGCATTTTGCATAATCTGATAAATAAAAATTGTATAAATGGGAGTGAAATTAACTCATTAAACAAAACCAAAATCATAAAAATTTATTTTTCAGATATTGGAAATAATACATATTCCAATCTGAAAACTTCTATAACTTCACAAACCGAAATTTGAATTTACAAGCTAAATTTAAAATTCGTTAAGAAATATTTTTCGATATATATTTTTTTAGAATTGCCATTCCGATAGGAGAGAGATAAATATCACAGAATTGCAACTGGTTTTGAGACTAATTTCTTCCACTGTTAATTAACCTATACTTTCTTTTTAGTTAGCATTCGAAAACAAGATTTATCAGTTGAAGTTATCTACCGATTATCACTAAGCGCATGAGGACTGACTGGAAAGAATGCAATAACAAGTGCAGCAACTGATAAATCATCTGTCTTCAATGCATATCTGAAAAAAGGACACTATCAGTAGAGAAATATATTTAGTAATTAATTAATAACGGATAATTTCATCTCCCATATTCCTCTCGATCACAGATCAATGTATGAATTGAGCAGAACTGATAGCAAATAATGGTAATCTATTTGACTAATGGATAAGTAACTTCTAAATTATCCAAATCTAACAATCCGAAAAAGTGCGGAGAATAGAACAATTGAAAGTAGAAGAAATCAATTTAGATAAAATTGCTGCTCTCTTTACACTTTTTGCAATAGACAATTCAAATAATTTAGATAGGGAAAAAAAAAATTCAGGAGAAAAAACAATTATTTGAACCTCCCACGTCCAAGCATTAGCATTCCCATTACTGTGTTTGTAGCAGCATACAAATTATGTGAAGTATTATCACGATACGCTTCTGGTAATGTTACACGTGTGCGAAGTAATCGACAAAGACGTAGCACTTGTAAGTTTCCACTACCGGCCATAAGCTGGAAAAAAAGTAACACAGTAAATGGGGATGATAATATCAAACATTCATTATTAAGAAAAACGAAGAAATCACATTCTAAATTAACTCTTGTATTTTTCCTTATTATAGCTACGTTTTAACTTAAGTCTTAAGTAAAGTAACACAGATTTAAAAAATCTAATTTCTTATATTGTAAGCCTTAAACTACTCAATAATGGTACAGTATCCCAGGCAAGGTGGAAAAATGATGATTATTTGAACTCTTTCAAGTCTTTTGAATTTCAACTCTTTTTGGTATATACCTAGAAGAAATGGCAAAAGTTTCTGAAATAAAGAAGAAGGAAAGAAACATACGATGCCCAGAGAGTTAACCAGAGTACCAAGCACATTCAGGCAAGCTGTAACGCCGGCGGCAAGATTTAGCTTGCTGCAAATCTGTTGTTCACTTGCTGGTAAAACCAATCTTATATAATACCACTATAAATAAATAAAGTTCTTTAAAAAATCTATTTAAAAATAAGAAGTTAAATATGAACATACATAGAAAAATAGTCGAGAGAGTTAGAAGTGGTATTAAACATTAAATGATTGTTCATTAGATTAAGCAGAAACAGTACCGACGATGAAAATAAAAAACAAATACTTTTTGAATGAAGTAACAACGGTAGTTTAATTGTATCTATGAAACAAGCCAGAATATGCAAATAATGATTCGAATAATTTCCATTGTTATCCAAAAAAATCAATATTCAACTAGATATATGGGATTTTTACACTCGACTAGAAATATTAGATTTTTCCCTCCAGTAAGAGAAATAAACTTACGATTACATTGAAGGCTTCAGAGTTCCATGTCGATGCAAAACGAATAGCCATTGCAAAGCAGGCACCAGCTACGACATTCAGGTAAGTCTAAAAAATTATATTTTTGGGAAAATTAATGAATTTTAGGATTCTTGGATTAATATCTCTACATTTAATATTTCCAGAATCATCAATTCGAACATCATAAATTTAATCGAACAGTGGTAAACGCTAAAAAGAATAAATTATCTCACAAAATATTTCGAACATTCTATTGTAAAACGTTATATAGGGTTAGGCATGTTGACTGTATCATAGAGTAATATCTTAATATGACTAGCCTTTTTCAGATTTTATAGAAGCATGTCAGTTCAAATGGGTGAAGACGAAATGCAAGCAGAAACTTTGATTAAAAAAAATGTTCTGCCACTACTTTTACGGGATAAAACGCTACTATCTTTCTTATAATTTGAGATTTTCAACAATGTGTTATACGACACATATATATATATATATATTTACAGATGAATTGCTACTTTTGCTATCACTCTCTTCACAACAATTAGCTCTTCTTAATTATATCAAAAAACATCTGAACCAAATAACATGTAAACATTGATAGCTTCACCATTGCTTCCATTACACGCAATGATTTCGAGACTAGCTTCATGAGATAATACATATGCCGACACCCAATAAAACTCAATGATATATCACACTGATGATAATTAATCATTAAAGACATCAGTACATGGGACATGAGAGAAGATGAAGTTGTTCCTGTCATTCCCTAGTAAAATGATTGCTGAGATAGCAGAAGAAGTATTAGAAGCAACCTGAGCTATTGTTTGCTTATCAACCGCTATTTCTAGCATCCGTAAGTTTTCCTCCTCATCATCATCAATGACAGCTTTCGATTGTTCGTTGAACAAACGCTGCTTATAATTTAGCACAATTGGAGGTACTGATTCTTCCACCCAATGCTTGGAAGCCGTTATTTCATTCCACAAAACAAGATGTCGGCAAAGTGTCCTAAAACTACTTCTATTGTGACTTATGGCTGAAAACCGTCATTACGACTCAAGTAGTAAATCTCTGATTGTTTCCAAATATTCACTTATCATTCTTAGTTACAATTAAGTGATATACAAGAGAAGCATTCTCGAAACCAAGAATTTCAAGAAAGCCTTTCAATCTCTTTTTTGAAGATTTTTTGAAGTATGTTTTTTTTTTTTAAATTTTAAACAAAATGATTCCTTAAATAAAATTCAATTTGATAAATTACGAATTTAAACTTAATCTGATGAGAGCAAACCAAAAAGATCACCTCAGTAAAATAAGATCAGGTCGAATTTCCTCAATCGCCGATATTGTTTCAGGGATTTTCAAACTTTCTGCTGCCCATTTATTCTCTGTTCGAAGATACATTAGACCAAAAGCGACGGCGGCTGGACTTGCTACAATAAACTACAATAATCTTGAGCAAGTTGTATAAGAATTCGAGAAATGATTCTTCACGCAATTTTTGCCAACACACTGTGTATAAAAAAGATGAAAAATGAGTATATATGATAGCCTAGAAGAGACAAAATATGTGAAAGTATGTAACGTTTACAAATAGGAAACAACAGTTTCAACGAAAAACCACGAAATTTGAATTCGAATAACTGAAGATTCCATGCTAACTTTAATTAGAATTATCAGGCATGATAAGCTTTTTTGGATATACGAAGTAATCGAATCGGTCATAACACTTAAAAAAGATTAAGAAACACTACGAGCAAAGCTATCCAAATATTTTATGCGATGTGTTAAACAAAATAAGGTACTGTACCCTTTGAATCTATACGACTTTGTTAGCTCATAAAAGTTCCTAGATAAAGTGAATGAATAATGAAAATGAAGCTAACCTGTCAAGTGTGGATTAACATTTTCGGATTCTCGAACATGATTTGACTGTGAAAAAGTTGAGGAAGTAGTAGCGTGTCCTGAAGGCCCTTCCGAAGAAGTCGAAGGAAATACGCATAGTGATCGTAATCCACCTTCCATTAGGACGATAAGTCTAGATGCTATTGCAGGGTATTGTTCAACAAACGGGACACTCGACGACAAATCTTCTCCGCGTCCTGCAATTCAAGGACGAGAATGTATTTTATCAAAGCTGATATTATCGATCATTAATGATATGTAAAAGAAAAAAAAATTCTCTAAGATTTTTGTAATAGAAATTTACTGGCAGTTTCTTTGTCAAGTTTTATAATTTATAAAGAAGATAAGGAAAATTCAACCAACCCAGAGCAATTAGACCAATGGCAAAACCCGCGGCAAGAGCATAAGAGTATCGATCAGTGGGTGGTTCAGAATCCGGACACGCAGGTCGACCTATCTCATTGACTAACTGACTTAAGATACCCATATGTGATGATTGTGCAAAGAGAAGGCCGAGTGCAACAAGTGCCGCCGTTTGAATCATTGTATCGATATGCAGTTCAAGTAATGTTGGACCCATCATGAATGGTAAATGTGTTACCATCATTTTATACATCTGAAAATTAGTTTAAAAGTTTAAATGTACTGGAAAACATCTTCAAAAAGCATCAAATCTTTTTTTTTTTCTAATTTGTAGAACACGGTTATAGTGAATTATAAAATCAATCTGCAAATTAGGAAAATTACTAATTTTATGATATTACAATGAAATCTTATATGTCCATTGCTGACATTATAACGATATGAAGGTTATACAACATCAAATAATGATTATTTTTAATTTAATTCTTGGAGTATTGATATTTCGGAAACATGATGTTAAATATACAACAGTAGCCAGAACTTTATTAGCTTATTTAAAGCTTTCAGAAACATTCAACATCATCTGAATGAAGAGAGTTTTATGTTGTCACGTAAAGAAAAAAAAATACACAGGTGACGAATTCTTTGATGGATTTTAAAAAAGCTTCACAAGAATGGATAAGCATATGAATAAGCCTAGAGACAAATTTATTCATAATATAACACTACCTGTACATCAGCAGTTGCTCGCCGACTTGCACCACATCCAAGCAAGATTGCAATGCTCATTACCGGATCACCACTACTCAAAAGTTCATGTATGGTAAACAAATTCATACTTGTTATATGACCATTCAATCCAAATGCGTACATCAAACCAGCAGCTTCTGGACCTTGCTGTAGTGAAATGAAAAGTAAATCAAAACTGCCACTGGTAATAGTTAATTTCTCTACTCTAATTTTTAATCTATCTTTATGGAAGTGAACGGGCCGATTTCTGATTTAAGACACAAAGAATTAACACTAAATTTTAATACCAAATTATTAATACTCATCGCAAGCCATTCACTATCAAGATGTAAACTATCCGAATCACCAATACATAATCCAGCAGCTACAGCATTGTAAAAAGCACCCCATTTGATCATCGGCTTGACCAACTATAACAAATTTATTTTTTATATATCATCTTCATTGCAGTTAATTTAACCATTAAAAATGCATTTTGACAACAGCATTTAATATATCACAAAAGAAGTTCCCACGAATATTAAAGTTTTGCTTTTGAATGTGCTAATATTTTCTACTCAGTGACATCTTTAAATCACTATAAAAAAATCAAACCGACTTTTGAACGCATGAAATATATTTCATTGAGAACAAATTCATGTTTGAACTGTATTTGTGTATTTATTTATTGCTGAATTGTTAAATTACTTATCTCTTTAATCAATTAAATTACAACGTAATAATTCTTTGGAAATCGAAGTTGTTATATAATATAAAAGATATTTTGCAGTAAACAAGCTATTATGTTTGTTTATTAATTGTACTTAGGCTTTTCCGTTCCAGCAAAAAGACATACCTCACTTTGTGATAGCTCAATTGGTGTATTCGAGGGATGTAATCGTCCTTGGAGATTAAGTGGTGGTATTGCACGTGGTCGACTGAGGGGAGGTGAAAAAGATCGAAAATCGAGAGCTGAACGTCCAAAAGCATGAGTTATATTACGCATACTAAAGGATTTCAGAAGACGTTCAGCCATTTCACGTTGACTCGCTTCCGAAAGAGTCTGGAAGAGGTAGTGGATCTCAGTACTAATAAGTAAAATAACATTTCTTCACTATTTTAGATCACATCCTATTATTTAGTATATGACATGATAAAGTTAAAATTATGTTAGATAATGAAAGAGTTTAAAATATATAGGATAAGTTTCAAATCTATGCTTAAGAGCAAATAAATTTTGAGGCGACTTTTTGCAACAATTTAACTACTTCAGTTATCCACAATCTCATCAACTGCATGAAACTGCAATATTTGGCTCTTAATTCTATTATTTAATCTCTTGTAAATCACCTAAAGTATATGATTTCAAATAACTTTTAAAATGTATGCATCGAAAGAGAAGTCTATATCATTCACTCCTATCTCCTTGTACAGAAAAAAAGAACTTTTAAGTTACTGCTGCTATAAATATTACCCAAATATTGGATGAAAAGTGTACAAAGATAGAGAGAAATCTAAGACTCATATAGTAAGATATAAAACTTACTTCATTACTTGATGGTATAAAAATTGGACGCCGACTATCAAGCATTTGTATTACATTAATGCAGCGCAAATCGTGTTTCCATCGTCGTCGTGTAATTAAAAAAATTTCTTCCTCAGACGGCATATGGCTGAAAATTTAGAAAATAAAAACAAGATGAAAAACAAGATTTTTCAAATTGTTGAAAATTTTCAATCATAGATTTTGAGTACATATATATATATATACTAAAAATGAATTTAAATTAGCTTAATTAGAAATATTTTACAAAGTATTTAGCCTAAAGTTCTAAACATTATCTAAATTTAAGCTATCTCGTGATTTAAAATCAAATTTTTCCTTTCATTGTAAAAAAAATCTGATCAACTACTGCAGTGTGCTGTAGTAAGCACATACTGAACATAATAATAATTATTAAGATTTCGTTTTCTTTTTTAATTTACATCACAAACCTTCGATCTTTCTGATGTACTGCAGGCGTAAGAAAGTGCAAAGTTTTTGTTGATTGCTCATAAAGTAATTCACACAAAATTATAGCAACCGCTGGTGGCAAATCTAACAAAGATGATTTCGTTAATTTGAACAACTGAGCCAATTTTTCACATCTACAAAATAAAAAGAAATTTTCTAAAATTCATTTTTATTAGTCATACTTCGCTTCCTTATTAAATTCGCTAAGATTTGCTGCCAAACATTTTTTGGATACAAATTCGATTTTAGCTAAAAACAACAGTTATTGCATTTGATATCAATGATTACTGATTTCATACTAAATGTCCTGCTTATCATTCTGATCATAGGAAAATTATCCATGCATTTTATTCATCTGAAGACAAAATTTCTTAATATCCTAAATTACACACAAATATATATCATTCATCCAATATGATATTTACTAATTTGATAAAGAAATAAAAGCTAAATTTAATTTTGCAATCCTACTTGTGCAAATCATTTTCACAGATTTCATATTCAAATATTCTTCTGAAACTCAAATCACAAATTCTTTGAAACTTTCCCAAATGCAAAAAACAAACTTTTCAACTGCTGAAGAATTTTCATCCAGAATAGTTGCAAACTGTTCCGCATCAGCCTTGGTTAAGCGTAGCTTCTTCTCGTACGATTTTCCTAGAACTTTCTGAAAACAAAATTTGTAAATCAAAATTTCGTTAAAAGTTCGTAAATTTTGGTAAAATTCCAAGAGTAAAATCACATTATTTTTTCGTGTTGAAAAATACATTAAAAAACAAAGTGGAAAAATGACTAAAAGCAAAATTTTAGAAATTATAAAATACGTCAAAAAAGATAATAAATGATAGATACTGAAATATGCAATAAAACCTGAACGTCAACAATATTTTCCAGTCGTTTCAATCCAATAGCAATTGTAATTACAATTGGTGCAAAGAAATGTGATGATGTGATTGATGTCAGATGGCTCTTGTTGTCCAAAAATCGCAACAAATTATCATGCCATGATGGTATACGTTCCGGTGAAAAACGAGAACTCATTAAAAGTGTTTGAAGCACTTTTCGTCCACCTATGAAAATATGAAAGCTCCTATATGCTTATTTGTGTAGAGTTCTATAAATTTAAAAGTTAAACAGCAAGTTCTCAATTACTTTTATATAATTCAATGATTTATCGGCTTTCAGCTATCTAATTATAAGCGAATGTAAGAAATGATGACTGACATGAAGGTTTACGTTGAAACTCAATACCAAGCAAAAAAAAATTTAAAGTATACTTACCCTCCAAAATTTTGAAATTGTGATTAGACAATATGGAAAAGTCCTTTCTGTAGTAATCACCATAACTCTTTAGATCAAAAACCCTGCAATGAAATTTTCAGCGTTTTGAAAATCACGAATGTCAATTTCTTGAAATATAAATTTGAGACTAAGGTAACAGAATTTGAAACATGTCTCAAATTCTTTGCAATTAATTGAAGTCTATCGTTATAACAAACAATTCAAACAAGTTTACCCTGAAGATAATATGCGTGCCAAAAAAAGCTAACGGAAAAAACCAACTTCTAAAAGCGATGATTGAGGATCCTTACCAGAAAAAGAGACTATTCCTGTTATTCACAAGCTTTATTGGAAATTTCTAAAGCTACAAAAAATGAAGCAAATTACTTCGCAATTTACTTTATAAAACGCCTATACTACCCATGTGACGGATCTTCCTCGAATTACTAACTGTGCTTACTGAGCAAAAGCATGTAGTGATGATGCTAAAATGAATAGCAACGAAACTGTGCGCCTATCCAATTTAGCCGATTCATAAATAGCATGTAATCCGGAAAATATCGCCAAAGAATAATTATGCAAATTGCCGCCATCGTTAACTGTAACATTATAACATTTTGGGGCAATATTTTCTGCGTTATCAAAATTCCACCATCGGCTGACACAGAGATGCTTCATTTTCTGCCAACTCTAGAATAATTTTTAGGAGACATAACATGATATTTGAGAAATATTTGTTGAAATTAAAATTTCTTTTTGTCCGAAATACAGTTTGAAAAAATCCTTTAAACTCGCATTCTGCATTGCTGAAATGACAACTTATGTACAGACCAAGTGAAAAAAAAACTAAAACTAAAACTTGAAAACTCCAAGCATAGAGTTATAGAAAAATCGCTTTAAACTTTTTTTTTTAAATCACAAATCATGTTCTGTGCATAGAAATTAAGTTAATTCCATTATTAAGTAAATCAGGAAAACTAATATAATCATTAAAAAAAAGCTTATCAAAACCAAAATTTTCTTGGAAGCCGCCTAAATCTGGCTTAAAATATAGAAAGAATTTTTGAGCATAAACGATGCAAGTAAAATAAATGAGTTGAATTGTAAATTTGTTTAATTAATGTCAACTACACAATAAGCTAATAAAAGCTTTGATAAAAATCAATAAAAAATTCATATTTTTGACCACCGCAAGGAATAACTTGTCATTAATAAATATATAGACCACTATTAACACAAATCTTAAGTGAAAATAGTTAAGCAGTTCATACACTTACACCGATATGCTTAGAATGTTCAGTACGCTTTTTCTTTTCATGCACTTCTTCTTCACATCGACTTCGAAGTAAGTTTATCTAAAAATAAATCAGAAATTTCATTTAAACTATTTCAAAATCTCCATAAAATACAAACAGGAAAAATGTAGCTTTGAAACAAAGTGAAACAGAATAAGAAAAGCAATGCATAGAATTTTGTAAAATGGTGTAAAATACTTCCTAAATGAAACTAAGTGTAAAACTCAAAATTAATAACGTAATAATCAAAATAATTTTTTTTTAATTAAAAAAAAATACTTCGCGAAAAACAGGAAAATCTTGAATGTGAAGTCCACATTGCACAAAAAGGAACTGTACGAACATAGCAACTTCTGCAGCAATGCGATTATCATAATAGCGATCTAACAGACCAGAAGTATTACTCGTGCACCAAGATGACGACAGTTTCATTGCTTTATCTAATGGTAAATTTGAACAAACTTGCGACAGGCATTCAGCAACTATAAACAGAATGTAAATGAAGCGGCAATAAAGCAGATAAAATTATAATCTACCACTTTTTTTTTTTTTTTGAAAAAAAAAAGAATGGTGGAAAAAAGGAGAAATAACCGAAAGGTGAGGATGCAATTGACGGCAGCTTACACATCACCAATTCATGCTTCTGTGTCTCCTACAACAATCGGATTTTTTCATTATAGCTCAATATTGACTGAAAGTTTTCATTTCATTTTCAAATTAAAACTACTAAAGTATCTGAAATTCAGTGTCAAAAGTTCAAAACACTATTTAGTTATTACTTATTGAATCGAGACAGTCGCTTTATATCAAAACATTTTACATAAGGAATTCCACTGCATTTATGAAAAAATTGAAAACTTGAACATATATGAATTTAAATGTTTTGGGATAAACTTACTAGGATTATATGACCTACAAAAGCAGTACGCAATTCAACAACTGGAGCACATATTGACAGACCGCGAGTGATTGTATGCTCTTGCATGTCCTAAAAATTCTATATCATTTATTTTCAGCTTTTTACAAAATGAGTAGGAAAAAAAGAAGTGAAGTGCTATATACATATAATTAGGAAACTGCAACTTCATACTAGAATCCATAATATTTCTAATTCAATATAAAATTGAATCAAATATTCCTATATTCCCTTTTAAATACAAAAAACTAGGCAATTAAACTTAGTGCTTTCTCTAAGCAATTAGAAGTAAATCTACACTAAGAAATAGAAAAAAAAAAAAACCAAGTAATGATGGTTTTGTTATGTCATTCATTAATTTGGAAGTAGCTAAATATAAATGAGTCAATAAAAATATACGTTACTTGATTGTTAGCAGAAGATTCTTTGAGGTTTATAAAGTCATAATTCCCATATAAAGCACCGATACGAGTAATACCACTATAAAGAATCACAGCACCATCGAGATCAATCACTGCCATCATTTTTCGTCCCTGTAGAAAAGAATATGTAATACCATCCTTAATTCAAAGACATAAAAAAGCATACCTTGACATCTGCAGCTCCTTTACACGGAATTGTAGTAAAGGAACTTATAGTCATTCGTCCTTCATCATGCATTTTTCCCCGAACACATTTTAAGAGATTTTGCTCTGCTACATAAAAACATATATACATTTGACCGATAAAATCTGAAAGGAAATTTAGATATCTTAATTACTTGTACCAGTGCTTTATATAAATGACGAAAAGTAATGTTTCATTAGGTGGATGAAATGTAATGTTATTATAGCTGATATGAGATTCCCCCGAATCATTTTAATTTCAATTTATTATTTTTCTCTAATATTCATACACGAAAGTATTCAACTTACGGTCATCTCAACAGCGTAAACATACAAAATTATAATTACCATACTTCTGTTTGTTATTTTATTATATTTATTTCTCGAATGGTCTTAACGAAATGCTATGGAAAAATGGCTTCTTATTTTTGTAATAATAAAAAAAAAAAAAAACTGAAACAGATTTTTAAATTTCCAAACCTATTTACAAAAGGTAAACTTAAACCTTCAGTAAGAAATGCAGTAGTTGCAGAACCACTTGTTTCAGGATCTACCTGACGTCGTTCAGTCCATATACATTCCATACAAATCTACAAGAGAACTTCAAGAAAAATGACGAAAATAGATTTAGTCTGCAAAAGCAGAATCAGCAACAGCAAAAAAATGAATTACCTCAGGTGCCAGAAGATCGAGTTCTGAACCACGAGTTTCAATTAAGGAAATAATACTATCATCACAAAATGAACTAAGGCGAGGCGTGGTATGTGCACCTACAATGATATATATCACCATTTTTTTTCTCTACTGAACCGATGTGAAATCGCTTAAAAATAGCTGATATTACATATTATCCGAACAGATATGGATCTTCTACGGAATTACTCAATATTGAACAATAAGTAATTCAATAGTAAAAACTACGCAGCAGACCAATAATCAAGCAAATAAACGGAAGATTCCAGAAATTCAACAACAATATTATACTTTCAGTCTGCTTTTTGAAAGAAGAGATGAAAGAAGTATTTCTTCATATTTTATAGTTGCAATTAAATTTTGAGAGGATAAATATATCAAACAAAGCTTTTCTCAGTAATATTAGGGTTTAAGCTTAAGGGAAAAAGAAAGTGATTTTAAAATCTAGAATTCCTTTCGAAATTAAATTAAATTATTCTTTACTTCCTCCTCGTAAGCGCAAAATCGGAGAATCTGTGACTGATCGGCTGCAAGTGAAGTCAAATTAATTTTCAACTTTCTTTCCAAACTATAAGAAATAGAAAACTTTGCTCTATACCGCTGAGATATTTCAAACTCTAAATTCGTATTTATTTATTGTAACGATAGTAGATCAAACAGAAACCGAACGTGGTTTTACACGGTTTCTTTTTATATAGAAGCAACTCAGAGTGTTATTTTTAATAAATAAAATTAACAAAAACACAATATCAAAAAACTAACTTCGCTGAAGATCGCTGAGCAGGACTTGTAGTAGGAAAAGGTAAGGACTGTATTAGTGCAGCTGCTGCAGTCATGGATCGTGTACGAACTGATCGTGTTTGAGGTGTCACCCAAACATCATCTGAAAAAAGGATTAATTTTCCGTGAATTCTAGAAAAGAAAGCAGAAATCAAGCAAAAATCAAAAAAAAAAAAAAAAAAGGAAATTTATCATAATATGCAAAAAAAAGAAAGAAAAAATCACCAGCAAACGAATCATTTTTGCCAAAACGATGCCTTGATTGACTTCCCATTTGCGGTGTAGATAGTTGACTTGATCGACCTGATAAATAAAGTAAAAGATTTCAAATCTCATTCACAACTTTAACTATGATACTATTATTTCATTCTTATCACTAATTTTCATACACTGTTCACCAGGAAAATCAGTTAAGTTCTACTTGTTGTGTTGTGCGTAGAATGCATAGTGTTACACATTAATTGAACATAAAAGATTAATTTCCTGAGTATTAGAAATTTTGAATTAAAACAAAATTAAAAATATCCTAGTTTAAATGAGCTAACATGATAAGTCACAAAAACAAAAACTACATTGCAATACGCTGTAAATGACTGAATATAACTACAATTCGTACCACTTTTCAGTTTCTACAAAAAGCTACTACCAGTTCACTTCAGTGCATTTAAAACTGATTTACTAATGACAGTGAATATTTCTATTATTGAAACATCTTGCAAGGATTTCAGTAATTGATATTATTAATATGAGATAGGATGATAGAAGATATTCTTTAAGGCACTCCACAAATCAAATTTAAATATAGCTTCCTGAAATTTCCTTCAAGTTATTAAGAAACTAACCAACAGGTGTAAGTGTTGTATTACATGAGACAACACTTTCCGCCTTACTTGCTGCACATTTCCACTCCGCTTTTGTTGCTTTTCGTATCCAATACAACGAATGAACTCGAGCAGTCGTTGAGTAAGTTAATAAAAGTTGACAATCATTTAATGCTTCTAATAATGCTACTTCGGTACTATCCCAAACATAATGTGAAGAACCCTCTGAATCTGAAATGTACACTGAAATATTATAAATGATCGAAGTATTTTCGATAGTTGTCAAAACTAGCACTTCTTTAATAACAGTCTCTCCACTTTAAACAATACAAGTTCATAGATATTAAAAACAAATTACATTGTTGAACGCTTCATATTTTTATCCCTCAAGTCAGTCACTTACCTTAATCTAATGCCGCCCAAATTTACTTTCAATAGTAATTTTATCTTTATAAAATTTTATATGCTCAAATTCAAATAAATCACTCCCTTCAGAATAAATAAAGGTAAAAATACCTTTATTTTTTGATATTATTGGTAATATCTCGCAGTACGGATGTGACAATGAAAACAAGTGTGGGAAATTCGCAATTCTGAAATACATACGATAAATTTTCTAAATAGTAACGCACCTTTAAGTGATTTGCAAATGAATGCTATCACACAATATTTCCATTGCTAACTTTTGGTTACTACTAATATCCTTTAGACAATTTGCTACTAATGCAAATTTAATTGAAAAATAAGTTGTTTAAAAAAGCCTTACGATGACGGTAATGGGGCAGTTCGTTGCAAAATCAAGCCTAATGCACTTCGAAATACGCGTTTTACCTGCAAAATCAATTGAGTCCACGATCTGATCGAATAATTAAATTTGAATGGATAATTGGGGTTCCAAATGTCTAAAACGACAAAAATGCACTTTCGTAGATTTTTTTCATTTGGTACCTAGTAATAGCACACAACATATAAGTTAACTGAATATTGATTAAATTTTAGCTTTTGGAAAATTTTTTAATCAAATAACTAAAATTATTACAGTGAACGGTAGTGTAATTGTGTAAGAAATCCAATCAGTATCAGAAGCAAATATAAGATTTTTGTGTCCAATAAGACAAACACCATGCAATGGATCGACATCAGCAGAAGTGTTCGGAAATTCACACCAAAATGCCTGAAAAAAAAAAACTAGAGTAAAAAGTTGAGAGGTGAAGAAAAGCTTTTTGAAGCTTAAAGATGCAGGAATTAAAAAAGTCCATAAAAGATAAAATAAGATAATTTTGAAAGTCGGTAAGTAAAGATGAATTTTAAAGAATAATTTTTTGATTACAAAAAGTGAATGAGAATCTGAAGAAAAGAATATGACATGAAAACTCAAATAAACAAAAGATCAAAAGTACATAAACAACCACAACATCATAGTGGAAAATGCAAGACATAAATGAATGAAAATAACATTTTAAGAAAAAAAAAACCAATAATGATAACTAACATCTAGTAATGCAAAATCTGCTGTAAGTCTACGTCGAATTACACCTGATGGATATTCCTGAATTGTAACTGAATCGTCCAGAATCACAAGTTTTTCTCCACCAGATTTCGACAAACTTCGGTATCGAATCTTATGTTCCTGAAAGTAATAGTAAATTGTTGATTCTTCAGTGATCAAATAATAATAAAAATATTTATTAAATTATAAAAAGTAGCTGGACAGAAATAACATATAGCTGTAATTTTAATGTAATTAATTGATCCTAGCAACTTACGAAATAATCGGAAATTGAGCTTCTAATTTTTATTTCTATATGCACAGTTTAGTTTTTTTTACTAATGGCTCCATTAGTCATTGTCTACTAGAAAAAAATTATTTTCAAAAAGTCTATACAATCCTTAATAATACTGAAACCTGATGAATCTATATAGAAAATTAATCATTCTTAATCAGTGATTAATCATTAATTAGTATGTGAGGTGATCCCCAGTACTTTAAATAGATTATTTGCCATCAAAAATAATTGGTAACTTAGATTAATAATAATGATTATTTCTATAACATAAACAGTTCGTCACTGTGTTCAATCGGAATTAGACTAAAAGTGTCAAATATTTAAATATTTCAAATATTCTGGGCATTACAAAACCTTTGCGTATCAGTTTACAGATAGAGACATACAACCAACAGAACTAAAGTTCTGCTTTAAATCTTGTATATTTCAGTACTAATTAAATATTTAACTTTTCATGCTTAAATTAAGGAAGTTATTAACGTGCCTGCAAATTGTTCAAGTATAGAACGTCTAAGTATATCATTTATTTCAAATGAATTCCAAATCAATCATTCTTAATTACTTAAGTATCAATCTTAATTACATAAATTCATAAAATGACAACAAATGAATATCGTGGAAAAGAAAAACGTTATACTTCCGATTCTCCTGCAATAGGTTCCACCAAATCAGCAACAATCATATCACTATAGTCAGTTATTTGCTCGTTATCACTTCCACAACCATGCATTCAATCCAAGCAACAAATCTGAAAGAAATTTTCAAGAAAATTCGCGTATTGTTCGTTTTATGATCACAACGAATCACTGATTAGTGATATAAGTTGACTAGAATATAAAAGAATACACTGTAATATGACTCGACTTACCAAAAAAGTAATTAAAAAGTAAATAAAAGAAAAACTGTGATAGTAAATGAGGTTACCAGCAATATAATAATCTTTTATGGGTAATATACTACTTATAAGGAAATAATTTTTAAAAAACACTGTAAAGTGAAATAAGACTATGCAGAATACTCCCGAGTTTTGGTTCTTTTTTTGTTTATGATATGAAAAAATACAACTTAGTTTGAGGGAAGGTCAAAAATAAAACAACTCGTTATCATTTAGCAACAAAACGATGCATGCAATTTCAAATCAAAAGTTCGAGTCGATTATCACTTTCGCTGAAAAGAAGAAATTTCAAATAACAAATTTAATTTGCATGCAGTGCAAATGTAAAAGATGAGTTGAAAAAAACCGAAATTTGACTCTTATATTTAAAATTCAAATTTGACTTCTAAATCTAAATTTCTTGCTCCTACAATTAGAAATATAACATTATTCAATATATAAGTGCATTGTGAAAAGAAAAATAATCAAAACCGGTATTTACAAAATTAACCAAACTGAATTAAATTAAGTGCAGCAACATAAATGTTATTGCAATGAATGAAACATCGAATTTTTACATCGCTACCACTACCGGCCGTAATTTGTTATTCGGATTTGAAATCTTTTCAAATTTGCGTTTTGTTTCGAACTTGTTGTATTCAATTTTTGCTTTAAGATTTCGTTGACATTAATATTTTTAGCAGTTGAAATTACTTTAATAACGATGAAAAAACTATCTACCTGGGTGAGAATAATTTCAGGTTTCTAGAATGGGACGTTGTAGTGGTGCTGCTAGAAATTCTTTGCAACTAGCAATACTAACACCAAATCAGCGAGAAAACATTATACGAAAGGAACGCGAAAGACGTCGACTGATAAGGCATGATAAGTATTAAGCTTTTAATTATTATGATTAGATCAGTATGAGTCGATCAATAAGTTTAAGTTTATTGTTTTTATTAATGTTTGAGTAAAATTTTAAATAATATTACCAGGGAAGCTAGATTTTTTCTTTCAGCTTCCACTAGTTGTTTTTCTTTCCCTCTCTCTTCCTCTTCTATCAACTTCTATAGATGGAATATATGGAATGAGAGAAATATTGAATAGAAATGTATTAAAGTGTAGGAGAAAACATTTGAAGTACTGATATCTTTCAGCTGGTATCTTTTTTTAAAGCTTGTAACTACTGTCTCAATTTTTATGAATATGATCTTTTTTTTATTATTTTACATTTCAATCTGCTGTATGTCATGTGAGATCTACATTGTCTTTCGTTCTGTTAATAATCTTTTTTTGTCGTGAGATAGCTTCAGAATAACACCAGTCTATGGTTGTTGCCTGCTAGTAAATTAAAAGATGAATGAAATTCCACATCAACTGATTATTTCTCCTAAAAATGAGCAAAGTTTTCAAAGCTTATAGTGCATAAATAAAGCATTTCAAGTTAATTTAACAATCAAAAAATTGTAGATATCAGCAAGTGCGACAGTTAAGTGCTGAAAATGCGGCAAAAATCCGGGAGAGAGTGAAAATTGCAAAGCAGAAAGAAATGGAGGAACTTAAAAAGCGTATAATGGACGCTATCATTCAGCGAAATTACTTAACTCCCAATGATGTACTTTCTCCGGTTCATGTAGATAACAGTGAATTGGTGAGGAATATTTTTTATTAATGAGTAGTCGAAAAAGCAGCTAAAAGACTTCGTTGTCGAAAGTATATAATTGTCTTCTTCGTGTAATGTTTTTTTCACTTGAACCTTGCATTTAAATAATACTACCATTGGCTTACTGAAATATTTAGCGTAAAAGTTTTTCAAGTTAGGGATTTTTCCTTGTATAGCTTTAATTTAGCCTATCGAGACACCACATAGATCACGACGACCAGAAATGACGAGTGAACAGTTGGGTCGCGCAATAATTCGACATCGTGAGGCATTGGATAGACTGCATCAAGAAAATGAGCGTGAACAACTGCGACGTGAACTTATATTGGAAAGACGAAGAAAAGCCCGGGAAATAGCAAATATACGATCGAGAGAAATTTAACTCGATAACTGTAATATGTGTAGCATTTCATAGTCATTTTTATTTCTGCAACAAATATTTCCTTATTTTATAAAAATTATGAATTAACAGTGGCAGTAATAACAGCTATAAGTAACATATAAAGCTGATGGAATTTTTTTCCTTTTTTAGAGCATTAACTTTTTTTCATGAACATGTATAGAAAATTTCTTACGAAAAAGAAGATCAGGAAATAAATTATGTCATCCATCTGCTTTAAGTGTTTTTCTTGTATACAACACATTTTACAAAGAATAGCAAAATTTACAGTCATCAACTAGATTATAATATGCATATAAGTTTCGTTACAGATCGCTGATTTCGATATAAATTTCCAGTGCGATATCACTTTTTTTTCGTTTTTTCTTCTTTTTTTATGAACTTCAAACCTAGTTTGTTAACAGATTTTAAAGAAAGTAAAATTAACAAGTTTGTTTGATCCGAATTTACATATGTATTTTGAAAATAGTACGAACGTATGAAAGTGTTCAATATGAGAATGTTTTCACAGTGGTGGAATTAAAGTCTTTTTCTTCTAACTGTATATATGAAAAACTTTTGTGAATTGATGATGGAATTACAAATGAAATTTTATCTTATCAGTAGTTATTGATGTCAAATTGATGTCGTCGATTGGAGATCATCATGCACTATCAGTCATACTTTTTCAAATAGCACTCATTCTAAAAGCAGGTTAACTGACCAGTAAATGGACTACGTTTGGGGACTTGTTCACAAACGTCGAAAGTGACTCGTATGCATGAGATTTCATTCTCATACAGGAGCCAGGGTAAGTATTCTTCCCTGAAATTAAATGAAATTGAAATCTAGAAATTGAGAGAATTCTGGACATTTGTAATGTTGTATTAGTGAATAATTAATGTAGGAAATTTCTATTGATGGAAATTGGAATCTTGGTAGAAAGTATAAAAATCTATAAAATCTAATTTTTTAAATCATTGAATTTGAATAGACTTATGAAATGTCGTTTTATCAAAACTACGTATATTGGTACATTGGTAATGTTGTATTAGTCATTACTAAATATGCATGATGAAATTGTAAAGCTATTCCAAACTAATTACCGGGAAATAAATGTATTTGAGTAGTTAAAATCATAAGTGTAGAGATAGAATCATAAGTTGATATCTGTGTTTTTAACAAATATAAATTTTAAAGAAAGCAGTAGTATTTATGGTTAAAATTACATTTCTGAGAATCATTTGTTTATCATTTCTCTTCTTACTTATTAATGTTATATTTCTGTTACCTATGCCATGTATCTTTGCGGTAATTGATATACCACAGTCGAAATTTCTCGAACTGCTCATTACCAATATTCCACGTTTTTCCTCTTTCTTCTAACTCTTTTCGTATGTTTTCTTCAATTAGCGTTTCCTTGATTCGTTTTCTTCTATCAATTTCATCTGTTGCATTTGCTGCTAAGCGCAATTTTGCCACTACGGTACCCTAGGAGAGAAAAATTGATTTATTGAAGAAACACTTAAGAAAAAAGTTTCTCCATAGTAAAAGTTAGATTTTTAACCGAAATTCATAATAAATATTGAACAAAGTAAATTAATTGCTGAAATATAATGATGAAATGAGCAACATCAGAATTAAGGACGATTTGTTCAGATAAAGTAGGATATATTAAAAACAAATCGGATGCGATTGAGAAATCTTAGTAATCTTAGATAACAGCTTGTAAAAATTTCATAAAAAAACTCTGACATTATTCAAATTATTCATCTCAATCATTCACTATCGAAATAGCGGGATGAAAATTTGTTTTAATAAGGTAAACATAAATGAAAAAAGTTTGCAAGAGAAAGTTCATTTGTGAATTTAAAAAAAAAAAAAAGGATAAGTAGGGTAAGGCTCACATATCCAACTTGTTGTAAGGAAGAAAATGCAGATCGATAGTCGGAAAACTTGTCACCTTGGAAGAAATCAAATTGACAATCACCATTACTATCAAAAGCAGTCCAATCATTGAAGCAAAATTCTTTTCTAAATTATGGCGTATTTGTAATTTTAACTATATATCATTTCTAATTGAGACTATCTCAATTATCTTTAATTAATAGGAGACAAGCTAAATCAACATCGCTCAAATCTATCGAAAATCCTTTAATGTGATAAAATTCCTGGAAGAGAAGCTAAATGTACACAAATGTAAAGTGCATCACTCATGAACTGGACGATTACTTCAATAATAATAGTAAATGAACTACTATGAAATATTTTCTCTAGATGGCAGGTAATTATTTAATTGGATTGTATTAATTAGCCAGGTGAAATAAACTTCAACAGTTTATTAGGTGCATATATTTACCTGAAAGTATAGAATCCTGGATATTTTGGGCAGCTAATTCCTTTAAGCTGATCTGTCAATGCTGATTTTCCTCTTTCTTCTTGTAAATGATGCAAACTTTCGCAAATGTTACAGTAATAGCTGTCAAACATGTTGTACAGAAAAAAAATTTTTTTTTTTTAATTTAATATATTGCTGGAATGATAAGTGATAAGTTATTGTTTGTTAACGATATCAATATTTGTATTATTTATTCGAAAATTAAAGTATGTATAAAATACATACTTTATTCTTTTTAATATTCAAGCGTTTTAAATTTATATGCTAGGATGACAGTAACATCAAGCTAACTTAAACAGTTTAAATTAGCATATTATGCTAAATATTTCTTTAAATATTTGAAATATTTGATAGTATAAATTTTATTTAATTGATAAGAAATGGTTTTGTGAACTCTTGAAAATATCCCTAACTACAGAAATCACATCAGTATAAGTGCACTATCAGGTCAAAGTTTCTAGTATTAAAAAATGACCTATGGTCATTCTTCGTTGGTAATAACTAATCTTTTATCTTTTTTTAGCACGTGGAAGCACTGTTGTTAGCTAATAAACTTTCAAATATATGAAATGAGAGCTTTATTAAACTATTTTAGGTTATCAGAAATATCACTGTGTTTTCACTACTGTTCAATTTCTATTTATAAAAAACATAACTTAAAAGTGAAAAAAGTATTAATTGCTAGCAAAAGTTTGGAATACTAAATATTCGGAAAAAAAGTGCAAATTCCAAAAAATTAAATAAGTATTTTAAATATAACTTTAAAAAATTTTCTATTAAAAAATATATACATAATTTTTTAATTACCAATTATTTCCATAACCACCACATCCATTGCTGCTAGCATTTTGACATTTTAAATCTGCGAAATCTTTTACATTCCACCACTGATATTCAATTTTTGCGAACAAACTATTTCCAATTGCGCCATGATTATCTAGCACACGAATATTTTTGATTTCAATATTAAAACAACCAGGAAGCTTTATTACTTTTGGATGAATGATTACTTGTCGTGGATCCACCTCCAATATCTTTTTTGCACCCGGTCGAGCTAAAAAATTAAATATATAATAAGGTTGGATTTTGCTTTTTGCATGATACAATGACATTAGTTTTAAAAACTTTTTATTATTACTGATTTATTCATCAATTAATTCAGCTTTTACATATTCGAAACTATTCCAAATACACAAAATATTCTAATTTAATAGTTTAACCTATTAATTGATGTAAGTTCTAAATTTTTAATATTACTTCATTCCTTAGCTGATGACTTAATCAATAAATGATTGAATGAATATTATGGATTAATAGGATGTTAAATGAAGCTTATTACATTTTCTATTCAACAAATAATAATTATAAATGTTAATTTTCAATAAAAATGTGCTTCTCTGCCTATCCATCTGCAGAATTCATCATTTTTATCTGAAAATATATAACTGAATTCTGTCTGAATTCACTCGCTTAAAAGTTTTTCTACTTGGTAAAATTAAAATTAACCCACTGTTAACTCAATATCCCACAGCCTTTATATCACATATGCTAATATTAGGTTAATTTTCATATTGTTATTGTTTGTGTTTCTTGTTGTTAATGCATCTACTATGAGTATTAGTGGTACAGCTAACACTGTCATTGTTAATCATGATTTTTTCATATGTTATTGTTATCATATCTAATATGTTATTGTTATAGTATCCACTTTTGTCACAGTTAAAAGCTCTATCTGCTATTATTATTATTATTATTATTATTATTATTATTATTATTATTATTATTATTATTATTATTATTATTATTATTATTATTATTATTATTATTATTATTATTATTATTATTATTATTATTATTATTATTATTATTATTATTATTATTATTATTATTATTATTATTATTATTATTATTATTATTATTATTATTATTATTATTATTATTATTATTATTAATTATTATTATTATTATTATTATTATTATTATTATTATTATTATTATTATTATTATTATTATTATTATTATTAATTATTATTATTATTATTATTATTATTATTATTATTAATTATTATTATTATTCGATAGTCATTGTATGTTGTTTAATTTTCTGCTATCTTTCAAATCATTTAAAATGATACGATTTATTATGAATAGTTAACGATTTATTATTGATAGTTAAATAGAGGATAAATTATTGGAAATGATCCGGATGATGAGAGATAATAATGTTGAATAGATGAAGAACCGGTTATTCATTTAACCGGATCCATAATTTATTTCAGCTCCAATTCAAGCAGTTAAATATCTATTGGTAATTTCTTTTTTTTTTACTTTTCTCCTATGTCTATCAATGATTAAAACTGGATTTATAAAACTGACAAAATGTAAAAGTGTTTATGCTATACAGAAAACACTCTTTTTCATTTTTTTCGTGTATACATTTTTTTTTTTCTCTTTCAGTTTTTTATAATTTATTGAAAAAAAAAGATCATGAGTGTCAAATGTCCTGATGCGGAAGTAGTGGTGATGGCATTTATCAAAGTACTTTTAAACTATTCAACAGTGACAAATTTATTTGATAATTTGACTACAATGAATAATTCTAATTGAATTCGTTTAAATGAATTCAGTAAAAAAGAATCGATAATTTGTGTTTGTTTGCATTTTTTAAAGAAGTTAAACCTAGAAAAATGAAAATAATATTTGTATCTAGTTATTTATTTTATTTATTTATTATAATTACAATTACTATCGCTTTTATTTTTAGGCGTGATAATTTTTGTTTTATTTTTTTTTTTGAAAAGAAAAGTAAAATAAATTAAAGAAAAAATTTTTAACTTTAATAAGCCATATTACTTGAAACGAAACTAACAACAGCTTGCATCAGCATTGCCTGGAATGAGCCAAATATCTTTTTGTAAACATCGAGAAGTTTTGCTCTTAAGAGTTGTTCCATGGATCATTTGTCGAGAATGTTCCCGACATCTCGGATTCAAAATATCACAATCAATTTGTTGACTATTCACAAGTAATGCAAACCGATGTGAAAAAAATGGTAAAAGAAGCCAAATGATAGTAGTAATAATAATTTGTAGTAGCATAAATGATAACGATGATGGTGATGTCAATGATGATGTTGATGATGAAACTGATAAAAGTGGCAATATCAGATATATTTATATTTAAAATTGTGAGATTGGTAAATAACAAATGTTTGCGGATGTATTGAAATTATTTGCGAATAAATTCTTGATTAAAATAATATGCGCGTTTTTTTGCTCTTAAAATAGGTAATTTTCTTAATTGGCAGTTTAGGAATAAAAACAAATTGTCAATAAAAAAGCAATTTAGTAAACTGAAGCAAAAAGGAATAATAATATAACAGCAGGAAAGCAATAATATGATATCAGGATAATATAATATCAAGTAAGTAATAATATAATATCAGGAAAACAGCAATACACTATTCGCACGTGTGAATAAATTCTAATTTGTTTCGGCTAATTTAATAAGCCAAACAAATTTTCTTTCTAATGATAATTTACCAATTAATTAATGTTTTGAGCGTAGCAACACTAATGATAATTGGAAACAGTAGCAACCAATTGATTTAACTGATAGCAATAATAGAAATGATAACAATAATGACAGTTTGTTGTAGTAAAAACTATGTTAATAATAACACTGATAATATTGATAATGATGATTTATTGTTTGATGTGATTAAAAATAACCAAGAAAAAGTCAAAAAAAAAAAAAGAAAATAGTAAAATTAGAGTAATCACCAATAGTTTGAGTAATAACTAACGTTAATACTTATTTAAATTAATAATATAACAGATAAATTTTAGTGTAGAAGAAGATTAATTTCAATTGAATGTTACAACATCACTCGTTTACTGTGTTTGCATAAACACATATTATCCATTTGAATTTTAAATTATGAAATCATCATCATCACCATCATCAGTAATGAGTAATCAACATAACCCATACTCTAAACCGGTATTTCATATGATATGATTACAATTAAATTCATTGGCTGTCATCTGTTGAGGTAGAGATTATGAATTGTGAAAAAGTTTTGAAATTATATTTAAATATGACAAAAAAAAAATGAATTAAAAATTACAATTGTGAATGTAGAAAAACCAAAATTAATGTAAAATTAATTCCAATTTTCGAAAGAAGCAAAAAATTACAACGAAAATATTAATTATAATTTAATCCAATCTATGAAATGCTATTATCCTTCATTTTTTTCTTTTTTTTACTTCGTTACTATTTTGAAATCTTACTTTTTTATTTGAATTATCGTTGTAATATTATTGGAATAAATATATTCCCTTATCAATTATCTGATTATTTTTTAATTAATTTTTTCGTTATTGATTTCAAATGCATAAAATAACATTTCATAGTTTTTAATAAATGCAAAAAATAAAACGATTGTTAATTTTTTTTTCTTTTCTTTTTTGCTTTTCATTGTTACACTTTTTTCTGCAATAAATTATTATGATCATAGCATTATTATCAAAGAAAGAAATTTTAAAAAGTGACCAATGGTCAACAAGTGTGCTGTTTAGCTTAACTTACCAAATTTCCGTTTTTTTTTTAATTTTGATTTGTGATTTATTCTTATTTCAGCTATTTTTTTTAAGCATGGCATGCCAATGCATTTTTATACTTTATTAGCACAACAAAATTTTAATACTTTTATTATGATTATTATTACTATTATTGTTATTATTATTATCGTCATCGTTACTGTTGTTGTTGTTGTTATTGTTATTGTTTTTGTTATTATTGTTATCATTGTTATCGTTTTAATTATTTTTCGTTTATCCTTTCCTATCATTTATCTTCTCATTTCATTTATCACTTCTTGACGAATGTTGTGTAACATCCAAATTAATTGACGGTAGCTTAAAATTATTTCTTTTATATTTTACAAATGAATTTTTTTTTAAAAAAAAAAAAAAATCATTTTTATTCTGAATGAAGATTTATGAAATATTACAATAGAAAGTGCTTTCAAATCAGATCAATTTTTTAAAAGTCTAATTTCTACTTTAGTTATTTACCCGTATGTACTTTTACTGTCGTTATTCTATCACTTTTTTTTTATCATACTGAGAAATAAAAAAAAAAAAACTTTTAAAGTATTAATTACAGGTGTGAAAAAAAAACACAAAATCAATATTCTTTTATAAACAATAGCTATTTCAACTTTAATTTTTCATTTTTAATTTTAAATTACCAATATTTATAAGAATAAAAACAAACAAACCATAATTTTGCTTGGAATTCTTTCAACACTACCACCAAAACGAATATCTTGTTGTTGTTCATATTGTGCTTGTGCAACAGCATCTTGCAATGATACAAACATGTAACTTTTCGGCACATGCTCATAAAAGTGTGAATTCTCGAACATTTGACGTACTGCTACTTAAATATTTCACTTCTCGTAATATACTCAACATTTTTTTTTTCATATTTATGATTTCAATTATGAGTTGAACATCAATATTCGAAAAAAATATAGCAAAAAAAATATTGAATATTAAAAAATATTAAAAAAAAAAACGAAATAAAACAAATTGTTTTCTCATTCCTCTCAGTTACTTTTATTGATAATCTTTATCAATAAAAAAATTATAGCTAAATTTATACAAATAACGTATATGTAAGATGAAATAAATTTAATTAAAAGATTTTTTGTTTATAATTGCTTTTAATGCTTTTTTTTTTTTTAAATTCATTTTAAAATTATATAACTTACAACAATATTTCTGTTATAGCAAACAATAAAATACATTGTTCTATCATAAATAACCTTTACAACAAGCGAAAAATACAGTAATATTAATAGCTTTGTAGTCAGCATGCGCTCGTGCTAATGCATCAACGCCCATTAAATCGATGTAAGGAAATGACGAGCAGTCGACGATAATGTGTGTTAATTGAATTAAATCTTCTGATTCCTCATTTCTTTCAATATTTCGCTTTGATGGATGAATGCAATGTCGTCGTATTGTCAACTCTAATAAATAAATTTGCTTATAGTAAGTTTTCTTATTTGAAAAAAAAAAAAAAAAAAAAATGATGATAAAAAGAAGAAAGAAATAGAATTTATAAAATAATATCAGAAATTGTCTAAATATTAAATTTTGGAAAGATTATTTTCTTGGAAAAATATAAAAAATTTTACACCAACAAATTGTATTTGAAACATTTATTGCTGAAAATATATAAATAAATAAATTTAATAATAAACAAAAAAAAGAAAAAAGAAAATTAAAATGAACAAATGAGTGAATGAATGAAAATACACTAATTTGATTGATAAATATGATAAATAAATCTAAGTAAATAAATAAATAAAAAAAAAAGGTTAAAAATGAGTGATATTAGTAAACAAATAATTTGGCATTATTTATTAATAATCTCTCAAAATAAACTTACGGATTTCTTCATCTCTATTCAAATTTTCATCGTTTTCATTACCAATATCATCTGTGACTTTTTTCTTCTGATTAACTGTTTGCTTAAGTTTTGCTACAATATTTAGTGGATCAAGGCCTGTTGCGCTAAAATGAAATGAAAATAAAAAAGAAACTAACAAATTAAGCAAAAAAAAAAAAAGAATTCAAAAATCTAATCAAAATAATAAAATAAATAATTATGATTTGTCAATACATTTGTTATCATTGTAATCTTAATTTATGCAACTAATTTATAAATTTCAATTCGAAAATTAACATTTTTTCTTATTTTCCTTACTAATGTCAAAAAAAAAAAAAAAAAACGAAAACAATTATGCAAATTAGAAAATAAAAACCTATGCATGCTTGATAAGAATAATTCAGCATTTGCAAAATACAATGGTGCATCGAATCGAAATACTTTAATACCCGAAATTTCCATAGCTGCACGATAATGACCAATACCTTTGAAATCTGATGTCCCCGGAATACGTCCCATGCATGTACTTTCTGCCCTTAATCATTTATTATAAATTATTAGAAATTTAATTTTGATGCAAAAATTTTTTTCTTGTTAATCGTAGAATATAAAATGAACCAAAAATGTTTTTAAAATAATCAAATATAAAAAAAAAGGAATAAAACATAGTTTGCTTATAATTTGATTTTATCAAATTTAAGAATTAGGAAATAATTTTTAAAAACTCCAAAATTCAAATTTGTCTATGTTAGTTAAATTTGAATAATATAATGTGATAATGAAACAATAATGCAAAAGATCAAAATATCAAATCTTTCTATTCATTTTTTTTTTTTCATTTTAAATATATAAATGAAAATTTTCTTCCTTAAATATATAAATTTATTCAACTGATTACTAAATTAAGTTTTTTTTTAAAGAATATTTATCAACTTAAAAAATTTTCAATGAATTATACAAAATTAAAACTATTATATAAATTTGATTATTCTAGTTACCATTGTGATCGTAAGACGACAGTAAGAAGCGCAAAAACAACACCAATTGCAAGTCCAATATTAACATTTATTAGAACAACTGCTGTGAATGTCACCAAAAAAATAAACTAAAAAAGAATAAATATTGAATTTATTTTAGAAAAAAATCAAAATTAAATCTTTTTTTTAACTTTGATTTCATCAATTTTTTTCTTAGCTTTTCACTTCTGTCTAATTCCAATTAAACATTTTAGCTAAAGCAGTAAATATTTTTAAAAGATTATGAAATAATTCAAGACAAATAAATGAAATGAAACTTCAATCAAATTTTCGAAAAGAAAAATAATGAAATTTGAAAATGAAATGAAATTTGAAATGTTAGCATAGCAAAACGAACAAAATCAACGGTTGATTCTTGAAAAAGCACACGTGACCAACATATTTTCAGGTATAATTCTTTCATAGCAACCACAACAATACATGATAATATAGTCTAAATATTAACTATGTATTTGCTTAATTGCTTATTCATTTATTTTTGATTCGCATTTCATATTTCATTTTTCAATATGATAGCATCTTTGCTTGCATTATTAAAAGTGTCATCATCTATCAGTATAAATGCATAATCACAACGACCATTATGAATATATTAAAACTAATAGTGACACTATTTAATTTTCTTCTTTCAAGTTGATGAACCAATATTTTACACAAAATTTAAAATGTGATCATTTCATTTTATGGCTCCCTTCATGTTTACCATTGTAGTACTTGATTAGTACCAAAATATCAAAATATCATACCTTAGGTAAATATTTGAATAGAGGTGCAGCTCCGTATGCAATAATTAGTAATATTAATACTACTACTAATGTTGTTAGCTGAAATAGTAATTATTTTAGTTGTAGAACCAACACAAATTTATGTTACACAATAACAAAAATTAAATTTCTGTTATGAATTTGTTAAATTAACTTAACTTCAAATTACATATAATAGTAAATTATAACAATAATAATATGGCATATATGTTGAATGTTTATAATCAAAAGTTTTCTTTCAAAAATTGCAAAAAAAAAGACTATAAAAATTATTTAATTTAAATGCTTTAATGCATTCAATAATTTCTATCAGTCCGAAAATTGGAAATCCAATATTTTTCCTTTTCACTTTTTCCAAAATTATTATCAAATCTGTTATTATTTCAATAGAAAACATTTTGATACCTGTGATTTTGTGCCCAATCGTGCACTTGTTACTGTCCTACTTAATGATGAACCACCAGCAAAACAACCAAAAAATGATGCGACAATATGCATTGTACCCAATGCCAGCCATTCCTTTAAAAAATTTACCAGAAAAGGAATAAAAAGCTGATCAAACTTTAGTAAGTTAGATAATATGAAAATTATTAAAAAATTTTTAGAATATTTTAAGTAATTAATAATTAATAGTGCTAAAGTAATTAAACAAATCATTACTAATGAAAATTTAAAACAAATTTAAAAAATCATTAATTTGTGAAAAAGCAACAATTAGTCAAAGAAATTATCAATCGTAAAAAAATAATTGTTAATGTTTAGATAAAATGAACTGAGGAAAAAGTTTCAGTTTAATAGGTTAATACTATTTCAAAAAGAAAATGAAATTAATACCTGACTGAAAATTTAACTTTAAAAGTAATTAATACCTGGTTTACGTTAATCTGGTACTTATACTCTTTGGCAATTAGTTTTGCAAGTGCAATATGTATGACAAATGATACAATAGCAATTGAAAAAGCAGAAAAAATGATTAGTCCGGTTTTGTTGAAATCCGGAAGAAATGGTGCACGCATTCCGGCATCAACATCACCAACAATTTGCAAATGTAAATCTAGCGGTGTTTCGTTTGCAAAATAGCACAAAGAAATAGAAAATATTACCTATAAAAGAATTTACGAAAAAAAGAAGTTTAATGAATTAATTTAAAGTTATTTTTATAATTTGTTTTAATTTTTTGAATTTTAGCTTATTTTGGTAAAAAGAGCATAAAACGACTAATTTTTTCAATATTTCATCCTACTCATGTTTTAGTTTTCTAATCATAACAAAAATTTTACAATTTGCTACTTTAAAGTGATATTACTAATGGAAAATCTTATTACTAAGAGTGCAAAATTTATGACTGAATGACTGATTATTAACCTCTAAATAAAAAAATTCCGAGATTTGTAGCATATAGCTATGTTCCGGAATGACTTTTGCAGTTTTTAAAATTCATCGTTTAATTTATTAATAATTAATTTAAATTAATTATTAGGTAAGTAATCAAAAATAACAGTGCTTGAAACGGAGCAGTAATGATATTTACCAGAAGGAATTCCATTGGAAATTTCGTTTTCGTCCACGGTTTAACAATCGGATCAATGATCAGTTTTGATATTAGCAGAGACAGAATACAGATAACGGTACAAAGGAATGTATGCAGTTGAAGTGTACGGATATTCCGGAAGAAACAAATTAGAAACTGGAAAAAGAGAGAGTAAAAGAGAGTACTTTTATTTTTTTTTAGCTATGCATAAAATATTTAAGTATAAAATATTTTTTGGTTGTTACAGGTTTTCCACGCGGAGTAGTTAATAAATGTCATCATTTCTGCATACACGCTAACTCACGTATTTTTGCGTACGTATCTTACGCATACAGGAAGATAATAAAGTTGATGATAAAAAAGATAATACTAGTAGAGGGAAATTTTTGATAAAATTTTATTTTACAAAGTGATTGTGCTAACTATAACTAAAGAAGTTGTGTGACATCGATTGATATCGATTTATGGTTGAGAAAAACGATAACAAATTTAATGAATGCTTATTTAATTAAAAAAAAAAATAAACGAAATATGTGATTTATGCTTAAACAGCATCTGTAGCTAAAAAAATGCAAATTTTTTGTTTTCTTAAAATTTGAAATCATACTTTAATACAATTTAACAATGTAAATAAAATGTGATAATTTAATGATACAATTTTACATTAAAAATGTTATAATTAAGTAAACATTTTTAAAATTTTGAAAACTCACTCGAACAATTCCAAACATTTCAGATGTGTGCGGTACATTTGTAACACCAGTCATTGTTTGAAGTTGACTAGCAAGGACATGTACCGCTGCACCAGATGTTAGTCCTTCCACTAATTGATCAGATAACCAAACAGCTAATAAACCAGCATTTAAAAGTCCTAAGATAACCTCAAAAAAAAAAAAAAAATAAATTAATTAATAATAAAAAATAAAAATTGTATGCTATGTTAGATAAAATAGAAAGTTTAATTTTAGTAACTTTTAAAATGAAAAAAAAAATGCAAATTTATAAAGATTTGAAAGATTAGAAAAGAATTAAAAAGATTATATTAATAACCTGTATTATACCAACAAAAAATGCAATCAATGATGATAATTGAATGGCTTTTTCTACATCTGGTTTTTGAGTGATTTTTGAGCAACAAAGTCGATCTGTTTTATTATATATTAGCATTGGTTCAGTTAATGATTGCTCAATTACCGATCCAACCATCATAGAAATTATTGCAAAAGCACCTGAGAAAAATTTTTTTTTCATTTTTCATTCCTTCATGAAAATATTGGAATGAAATAAATGGAAGCAAAAAAAAAGAAATTGCATTATTATTATTATTATTATTATTATTATTATTATTATTATTATTATTATTATTATGAATTCAAAGAATGGAAATATTTCTGATAAACAAAAAACTTTTTTAATATTATTTGATTAAAATAATCGTAACCAACCGGTAGATGCATGTCGTGATGTTCCAAGAAAAACATAGATTAATGGTCCAATGATACCTGTATAGATACCATATATGGGTGGTATACCAACCATTAAACCATATGCAAGACCTATATAAATTGATTATCTCTCAGATAATAGCACTGCATTCTAACACTTAATTGATTGATGATAAAAGTAAGATTAATTATTACCCTGTGGAATATAAATAATTGATATCATAATGCCATTGATAATATCTCGTAATAAATCTTCATGCCAATTATATGTTGGAAGCCAAGCAACAATTGGTAATCGATTCTAAATTTCTTCGTGATGAATTAATTCCATGCAGTATATTTTGTTAGTGATAATAATTTATCATAATTATATGTAATAAATAAAATTTTACGTAAACTTACCTTCAAAAAATTCATCCATTCTAAACTTCGCCATGTTTTCATAATTTTTATTTGATAAATTATTTTTCTTGCTAATGATAAATTGGTCTGAAAACTTAAATTTTTATTATTTCAGGCTTAAATGTTGGAAAAATATCATTGTTCTCTGTATCAAATATCTAATAGGCTTAATTGAATTTATTTCAATTGAAACACTATTGTGCAATTTAGGAAGGAACGATAAGATTGGCGGAATTTAGATTTTTTTTTTTGATTATTTTACCCGTCGATAACCATGCTTTTTATCAAACTGTTCCTGATTTATTGCAGGTCTGCGTTCCGTTTTTAAAGTTAATTGCATTTCCGATTTCTGTCTGCTAAAAATATATTTATAAAAGGCAACAAACAAAATTATAATGAATAATTGCTAAATGTGAAGCAAAATATGAGTAAAAAGATTGTAAGTTCAGAAGTATTTGTGCATTAAAATTTCTAATTACTAATCAGATTCATACGCTGTTGATAATTCTTCTCGAGAAGCTTTTATTTGTGATTTCTGTGATTGTGTAATATCTTCCTTCATTAATTCTTTCCCATTTTTTACATATTTTGTCATTTTACGATTCAAATTTTTTCCATCAGAAGAATACATCGCTATAAACAGTTAATATTTTAATTAAATTAATCAATTCAATTTCAAATTAACCTTACAGATGATTGGTTGTTTGAGAATTTAGAAAGACAATATTGAAAATAATAAAGGATTGCAAAGACAAATTTGAAAAATTGAAATTTGAAATTAAAAAGTAATGTGATAGTTATTTCATAAAAATGACATTTAATTCTGGAGATCTCTCAGGTATGACATGATTCATAATCTTTTCACTAAATAAAATCTCGAATATTTTTTTATATGCTTTAAACTAATTTGGCAGTCTGTACCGTAAATCTTTCTTCATAAAGAAATTAACTTCTTTTTTGATGAAATTGATTTGTGCTCGAAAAGTAACACAACTATCAGGCAGTGCTACATGAATTCCGGGTAATCATGAATAGTATACGATGGTTATACTTACTATTCTGTATAATTCTTACCGTCATTCTACGCCGATGATTTCAGCTAGAATTTTATATCTAGCGAAATAAATTGTAATGAGAAGAAATTAATATTTTCATATACTGTAAAAAATCCATTTTGTAAGAATAAAATTATAATTAATATTATTAATTGAAATATTATAAAAAATCCATTTTGTAAGAATAAAATTATAATTGATATTATTAATTGAAATATGCAATTTTGTATACTATCACTCGAATTTTAAAAGTTAATGAAAAAATAAAGCTTTTCAACAATCGCTTTATTAATTTCCATTATTAAATTGAACAATAAACTGAAAAAGGCATGAAATTTGGAATTCTAATTTGCAGTTATCATACTTGAATCTGTAAATGATGATTCGAATGGAAGATTTTCCGTTTCCGGTACTTTTGCTTCCACTGATGGCAAATTGCGCTCAACTTTTTCTATCACTTTCACGGCTTTAGCATTTATTTCAGATATCTCTTGGCCAAGTCGCTTTTTTTGGTTGGCCATATTTCACCTCTACTACTTACTGAAAATACTTATTGGAAACAATTTGTGCTCTTCTTATAATAGCAATGCTTTATGCAAATTTTTGATTTCAATTTTAAATTTGTGATTTTAATTTGAAAAACAAAATGAAATATGTTAATTTTACTCTTTTTCCCAGAATTACATTTGTTTGACTTATTGCAACTCATCGTCTGACATCGATTAAGGTTTTAAACAATTTCAATACAAACTTCATTCACATATTAATTTCATAATTTTTATTTACGCATTTAAACCATGCACTTTTAAATTAATTTTAAATATTTTTCAATCCTTTGTTTAGGTTTTCTAATATTCAGCTTTTACAAAAGAAAATAAAAGTCAAAATCTATAATTTAAAAAATTTTTAATTTAAGAAATTAATTTAAAAACATAAATTTTAAAGTCTAAAAAATTAATTTAGCACTTTTCAATTAATTTAATACAATTTTCTTCACACGTTACTTCTTCTTTTATGTTTTGAAAGTTTCAATTCTATGTCAAACTTCTCATAATAATACAAATTCATAATAGTGTTGTCAAAACTTTTTTTCATAGCTATTTTTTTTTTCGTTCTGTAAAATAAGCAATAAATTAATTTGAATAATACTATAACAAACTAAAGAAAAACTCATTGGGTAATGCTAGCATTTAAATTTTGCAGTAAATCAAGGATAAATGTTATATCAGAAATTGTAATTTCAATATTTATCTTTCATTTCATCTCTTTGCTTTAATTAATGATTGCTAATTAAGAAAATTTAATTGATGGCTATAAATTAATACTAAGCCATAAGGAACGAAGTTTATTAAAATTTGTCCGATGAGGAATAAATAGATGAATATTTGATGAGTTTCAAAAATTGTCGGATATGAAATTGTGACAAACAGAATTAATGGAGTTACTGAGTTATGGATGATGAAGTGCTTTCAAATTAAAATTTTAAGTTAGAAAATATATGAAAACACTTATTTTGCTACAAATTCAACACAGCAACAAAAGAGCATATAAAATATCGGAAAAAAAGAAATCATAAAAAAATACAAAGAAAATGAAAAAAATTAAAAGTTTACAACAATGTTCTTAATATTTTGGTATTTTCCAAGTACAGTTTAGGTAGCAGTACAATCAATTTAAAAGAAAATATTTGAAATGATTTAAAAAATTGAAAGATTTAACATTTAAAAGGATTCAAAATTAAAACAAAAGAAGTCTGAATTTTAAAAGCAATGATAATTTTACAACTTCATCTGACAATTGTTGAAATGAAAGAATTCGTTCCATGCACTTATACATTTATCATAGTTATTAATCTGGGGTCGAAATGGAGAGGTCAAATTTTACTCTAATGACCTTTCTTACAAATAGCCAATGGCTATTTATGCTAATAGATAAAACTGGCAGTTTACTTTATTATTGATTCGTATCATTCGTTTCGATCGTTACCTGTCAACTTGTTATTTACATTTTAATAATTAAAATTGCTTGTCATATTTTGGATTGTTAGATTACTAAAAGAATTTCCAATTAATTAATCATACAAAATTTTTTTTTTTTGAATAGTTCCAAAAATTTCATTTTTTTTAGAAGTTTTAGAAACAAAATTTGAATTTTATGAAATAGAAAAAGCATTTTTGATTAAAAAAAAAAAATAAAAAACAAATTAAACAATAAAACAGACTATCAAAAAATTAATAAAGTAGAAAGTAAAACAATCAATAGAAATTGTGATAAAGCAGCAATTCGACCACTGTCCGTGTCATCATCCTGACCTTTTATCGTATTTGATTCGATTGTTGTTACATCCTTGAATATAAAATTATTTTCTACAGGTGCCATCGTTGTATGTAAATTCTGAAATGAAAAAAAAAAATCTTTTTTCGAAAAAATTTAAAAGAAAATTACGAAAGAAATTCGGAATATTTAGCAATAGAGATAAAATAATATTGAAAATTCAGAAATACTAAAAAATCATTCTTTATCAACTTAATTCTGAAAATCAACAACGATAACAAAATATATTGAAGTAAAAAAAAAAGGAAAAAACAAAAGCTTTGAATAAATTTAAAACAAAAAAAAAAAAAAAGCTAAATAAAATTTATTTAAAAATTGAGTAAAAATTTTAATAGAAAAAAAAAAGAAAAGAAAAAAGGAAAAACTATAATTAGATAAACTACGATTTTTTTTTAAGATGAAATTTACTTACCATCATGCATGATTTTAGTGTGACATCTTTGAGATGTTGACAAAGTTTATCATCTTTATCAGTACAAGTACAATCAATAAATGCCGCACCGTGTTGAGTTTTTAAAGTATCATTTAAAAGTTCACGGCATCTTAAACTGCAATCACCATGTGATGCTTCACTTTCACATTCTGATGTAAATATACCATAACGTGAACTGCACTGCAATGAAACATTGAAACATAAATAAATGTTTCAAATATTATCTTTAAGTGATTAACGTTTATTAGAAATTAAATTAATCCAAAAATAGAATTTTTCCTTCTTTTTTGTCAAACAAATATTTTGTTTGAAAATTTTCCTTTTCATAACAAAAAAGCTATTTTAAGTTTGAATTTATTCATCTTTTCTTGAATTATTTTGACTTTAATTGTTTGTCTTTTTTTTCTTTCTTTTAATCTTAAAAATCTAATAGATTTTTATTAGTTTAATCTCTGAGTTAGAAAATTCACTGTATCGATAGATAATTAGCTAAAAAAAAAAAAAAAATGAAGAGACGAAATGATAAAATGAAAATTTTTCAGCTATACAAATAAATTATTCCATTAATTGTTTAATGATTATAATTAAATATTTATAATTCAATATTTAGCATATCTAGCAGTTAGATTAATTAAAATAAACTTTAAAAAGTATTTTATTACACTTCTAGAAATGTAAACATCGTTTGTTAAATTGTTTTAATTTCATTCTTTTTTTTTTTATCACGTCGAAAGTTTTCTTTATTCTCGTGACTTTGGCAAGAATGAACACTTAACTGAAGTTTGTTTTGATCAATCAAATAGAATTCATTTAATAGTATTATCTACTAGAATCTGTTCAGGACAGGAACAATTAGCAGTAGAAAAAATAAATTCCATTTTGAAATAGTTTAGAGAGCAGCAAAATTAACAAAAAAATTGTGACAGAGATATTTTTTCATAATTGGTTAATCGATTTTCAAAAATTTAAATTCATATATTAATATTAAAATAAATATGAAATATATTTGCAAATGAAAAAAAAAGTGAAATTTACGATCAATTTTTATTTCATATCAAGAATATTTGAAATCACTATTATATATTTTATCTCATCATCATTTTTGTTCTTATTTTCACTTTTCACTTCCATCCATAAATTTATGAAAATATTATCGGGACAAGACTAAATTGCACAAAATGTTTTATAAATACACTTTGGATTATTTCAAATTTGCATAATCAATCATCACAGAATTAACTACTCCAAAATATTTTTATGAAAAAATATTGAAATTGGAAACATCTCATCACCTAAAACTAGAAAAAAATGATTGCACAACTTAATTTCTTAATTAAAGTGATGTTAGAGTTTTTTTCTTTTTTTTTTTCAGAGTAGATAGTAAGATATTAAAACTTTACCGACAGACAAATAATTGGCTACAAGAATTAATTATTTCTTCATTTAATTTTAAAGTTCTTTGAACCAATGAATGGTAGTAATTGTAATAATACTTCATTTTTCTGTTATAATATTTCATTTTTTCCTTGCATTTTTCAAATATTGAATTAATTTTTTTATAAAAGCAAAGCAAAAAAAAAAAATTCTGACAAGAAGAAAATATTTTTTTTCTTGAAAAAAACTTACCATCAGATCAGCTTCACAGGCTAATTTTGCTAAATTACAATAAATTGGTAATTTTTTCGGGACCAAATTACACAATTCTAATTCGTATCTACCGGGAATGCACGAAATATCAGTTCGTAAAAGTGAACGCCCCAAACGATTTTGATATAAATTTAGTACTGCATTTCGACACTGTGGTTGACAAGTATTTGTTACACTGAAAAGTAATTAATTAATTAATAATGTAATATATTGCTTCTGCAAAATTATTTTCTCATTCTTTTTCTTTTGCTAATAATCTTTTATTGATTAGCTACTAATGTTTAATTTCAAATAGATTGGAACTATTTGTTCTTTGAGATATTCAGAAAAAAACGCAAATGTTAAACTTCAACAAATCTTATGGATTTATTCAGTAGCGCTTATTATGGAATTTATCGACAAACAAATTTTTTTAATTTTTCGATTAAAAAATTCTGTTTTTATTTTTTTCCAAATTGCTGTTTAATTGGAATTTTCAACCATTATAAGAGGTATTTAAAAAATGAAAAAGTGAATGAAATAAAAAAAAAATTTAATTGAGATGAAAATCTGCACAGTATTTACTAATCAACTGTGATCGAATATTCGATGGAACATTGATTATTCAACCGGATCTATCTAATTTATTATGCTGAGATGAAAAGCGGAGAATAAACAGATGTTTAAAAAAATAAAATTGTTGGGAAAAAAAAAAGTAAATTGAAGCAAATAATAGCAATGAATAAGTCACTTAATGAGGAGGAAAAATTTTTTTTAGAAATGAATTAATGGGTTGAATATTATTTTGATTTTTTTTAAAAAAAAAAAAAACTAATTTAATTTAAAATTAAATACCCGAAAAAGTTCAAAACTTCTCAATAAGAAAAAATTAAAAAAAAATTTTAAAAAAATATTTGATAAAGTGTAAAGTGAGAAGGAATAAAACATAAATGACACTTTAGAATATACCATTAAATGGCATACAATTAGTCAAAATGTTTAAGGAATTTAAATAAACAAAAATTATATTTTATATAATAATGAATTACAAGTGCATTTGCTGATAATTCAAAGAGTTAACTTTAAGAATAGTCAAAATTAAACGATAATTTGTAGAACTAAAAAAATTAAACGATAATTTGACATTTCAATTTGAATTGAAATTCGTTAGTAGCATTATTTTATAGATGTTTCGATGTTACGGATGGGATTATTAATTTTGAGATATATTTTTGATATGAAGTAAGATTGGGTTGGCAATTTTTATGGAAATGAAAAATTTTGATTTCTTATTTTTAAATTAAAACTATTTATTGTCCAGAATTTTTCCGAACTCACATGCCAAAGTTAAAAAAAAAAGAAAAAAAAAGAAAAGAAAATACAGCGCTTGTAAAAAGTAAGAAAAAAATGAAAGTTTACTTTTTCTAATAAAATCTAAAAAAATAATTTACAATTTACACAAATTAGGTTAATAAATTTTTTTTTATTAATTGATATTTAGTACAATTTTGGATTTCTGAAATTTTAAATGTTAACTCATTTTGATTGTTATATGTTAAATTAGAAAAGAAAAAAAGTTTAAGTTTGTAATTTCTTTTTCAATTTTTAAAATAAACTTCTGAAATTTGCATAGTCAAATTAAACATATAATTTTGTTGATTCATTTAATTGGGTACCAATTTAATGAAAGAGTATTTTAGATGAATTTGTTATTATAATTGACTCATCTTTCCTTTCCTAATGTATTCGATGTTTGCTAATTACCATTAATTAGTGAACTTTCAATGCGAAATCCCATTTTTCTGTTTTCTTCTCTACTATTTCCATTAAAACATTTTCTCCTTTACTAACCAAATAATTGTAATAATAACTACCGAATATGTCTTTAATCAATAATAATTTTGAGTGAATAATATTTTATCAGAAGTTTTCATTCATTTCATTCCTAGTTGATAATGAAATTGAAATTTGGAAGAAAAAGAAAAGCAATTAACTTACGTACGTAACTTTGCATACATAAGAGATCGCATTCAAATAATACGTAATAGAAATTCATGCATTTTTCTCTTATTTAATTTTTTTTTTATATTAGAATGATAGATGAATAATTTGACATTAACTAATTCATATTTGAAATTGTAATAATTATATAATTTATCTGAAAAAAAAAGTGTAAAAAAATTTTTCATATATTTATTTTAAGAAAAATTTCTATCTTTTCTAATGGTTAAAAGATTATTTTCCTTTTTGCTAAGCAAGTAATTCGATGATTTGGTAAGTTTAATTAATTTGGAAGTTGGCAAGAATGGAAAAAAAATTTTTTAAATAAGAACTGAAATTAAAATAATTAGTTAAATTCAATGAATTATTTAATTCCAGTGATCTTTTTTTTCTTTGTTCAAAATTATGTTTGGATTAGGAAAAGTAAAGAAATAAAATGCATAAGCTAAAATTATTATCGTCAATAACAAATAATCTTTGAAGCAATAATCGAAATGAATGACAATATTATTGGCCTAAATGATAATTTTTTATTTCTTTCCCTCTCTCTCTCTCCCTCTCCTTTTCTCCCTCTCTTTCTTTCCCTTAGAACTGAAATTATCTTAGCAAAAAAGGAAAAAAAAATTGAAATGATAAAAGTTCAAATGATTATTTAATATGAACAATGTTAAGCTTCATAAATTCATGGTAATTCAATTAATTATAAATTCAAACTATCTGAACTGAAGAAAAAATGGTAAATTAGTGCATTCCGAATTGTGCTATTTCCCAAATATTAAACAATTCTAATGATCGTTGTTTATTCATAAAATTTATCTTTTTACCAAAAAAAAGCAAAAGAATTTAGCTGATTCCGGAAATCCATTTTTCGGAATTTTTTTTTTCTAAAATTTCGGAATTAGTTAAATTACTTGCCCATTCTTCTCCTCACTTTTTTCTCTTCCTCATTTTCTTGTTATTAACCAATATTTTTCAAATTTTTTCATCGTAATTTTAATACGAAATTTTGAAACGATTTAATGTTTATTCATCTTCCTAACAACCACTTCTATCACAACAATTCAAAATTGTATTGTGATTTATTTTGAATTGATAGAAGTGGAATGAAATATTCATTCATATTTACTCATTAATCCAGTTTTATTTGCTTAATGTATACTATTTACAGTGTAAACTAACCATAACAAATAACTCAAAAGTATCTATTTACATTTTAAGTAAAAAAATAAAAACAAAAATAATAAAAAAAAACAAAGACTGATACGAAATTTTAAGTTATATACATTACTAATACAATCTAAATTTACGCTATTACAAGCAAAACTTATTAGTCGAACTATAAAATATAAAAATTTAAGTAATTTTCCTTCTTTTTTTTTTCACTAACATTAATAATACACTTTGTGCCATAGCAATAACAAAATATAATTTATTAATTCATTTTTCCATTCAGAAATACCCATTTTTACTCTGATGAGAGAATTATAAAAATTATCACTAATGACCTCGAAAATGCTTTCAAGTTGAATTAATTTTAATCTGCTAATTGCTAAGCATTTAATAATTAGTGTTTCAGATGTATGAATGTAAATTTTGATATTATCATCAAATTCGTTAAACCATTTGAGAGATTTTTTAGCACGAATTCGTTTAATTAACAAAGACTTAATTAAATAATTGGATAATAATTAAATTAAACATCGATGACTTAATCAACTATTCCTTAATGAAAACAGTTAATATTGAAAATGAGAAAAAAACTCATTTCATGTAAATAAGATACATTTAGTTAATAAAAAAAATTTTTTTGAGTTAGCAAAAAAGTCAAACAATTAACTTATATATGTGATATTCACGTAATATGCAATAATGATCCTTCAATAACAAAGTGCATTTTAATAATTCAGACGTTGTCGAAATGCGATAATCATGAAAAGACGTCAAAGATTAATTTATGAACGTATAAAACATCTATTATCACGTAAAAAATTAACTTATGAACGTATGATACATCTATTATCACGTATCTATATATTCATGCTATATCGAATAAGAAATTCCACTTTATAACTGTTAAGCAAATCTTGATTTAAACAAATTTGATATTGAAGAAAAAAGCGTAACTCACGTATTCCTAACATTTACCGTTTTCCACTTCCGTATATTGCTTTTTAAAAAAAAAAAATGTGACAGGAAAAAACTTGAATTATAGAAATTTAATACCACTAAAAAATAATTTTGCAATATTTTTTTTTAAATCAAAATTCAAGATTTTTTATTTTTACCAAGTAGACTGAAGTACGGCTAATCGATGTACACAATCGGTATTTTCTTCACAAGCTGTACTGGCTTGTTGACATTCTGCAGAATAACTGGGACTTTGCATCTTGGCCAATTTTATTGCAAACAAGAAGAAAACTAATTGTTGCATCATTAGCTACCTGAAAATTACCCAAAATTTTAACATTCAATATTTGCAACGAAATAGATGACATTTGTTTACTAATTATATGATAGTCACTAATTATCATACCATCACTATACTAATGATAACTGATTAATTTCTAACTATAATTAATCATAATTGATTAATAACGTTATGAGAATATCATAATTACATAAATATGCTATCAGTTGTAATTTTTTAAAATATTTTGGAAATATTAATGGCAATAAATATTTTGATCATGGCTTGTTTATCCTCAATTGATTAAATTTCTCTCATATATATTAAATTAATTATTGTGATAAAGTTTATCTTATATGAAATTGCAAATATGAGTTACGCTGTAAGCGTACTTTTTAAAAAACAAATGAATTCTTCTAAATATTTTGCAAATATTAACAATAAATTTCCATTAAGAAAAAAGGAAAAAGAGAAAAGTTGAAATTGATTTATTAAGGATATTACGTCTGATAAACAATATCGCATTTAAGAGAGATATCAATATTTTTTGAGAGTTTTTTTTTCTTTTTTTTTAAATGCATAAAAGAGATGAAAGAACAAAAATGAATATAAAGTACCAATGTTACAGGTATCGATAACTTTATTGATAAAATTTAAAAGAGATTGGAGAGCAATGGTTGAAATTAGATAATCATTTTGAATTTGAAATTGAACTAGTAACAATGGAAATTTTAAATTCAATAGTTAATAATAGAATTATGGAAGAGTTTAAAATCGATGTACATCAGCTGAGAAAGCAATAGCAGAACTAACCGTCTCTTCGTTTTGTCCTTCAATCAGTCCATCCAACCGTCCAAATGTGTCCTCTCATTAACGATGCCTGTCACCATTTCATCTCTACCAATGAATAAGTCTACTTGTACTAGGTACTGTTTGTTTAAATTTAAATGTCAAAAATCTTAATCGCATTTTGAAGTTATACTTCTTACTGATAATCCACTTTAAATTTATATTTACTTTGAATTTATATTTGTAAAAATAGCTTTTGATCTCAAGTGATTGACACTTATTAAAACTAATTCATATTTGAATAATCGCATAACAATTCTATCTTCTATCTTATGCAATCTTTAAATCTTTTTCTAAATTGTTGGAGTATTTGAAAAATTATCATTTTTAAACTTCAGTATTTATAAAAATGCAATAAATTTGAATTTTTTTTTTAGTCTGAAACGAATTCTGAACATCATAAATTCATATTTTCTATATACTTAAGACAAACAGAAAAGTAAATGGTGTAATGAAATCTGTCAATTTTCACAGACATTTTTTAGAACTATTAAGTTAACATAAAAAATTTTTCTTAATTTTTGCCTCATTTTCGCTCAGTTTACTAATAATAAATAAAATTAATTGAAAATACCAAACAATTTTGTAACAATGTAAGGCAGATAAAGGAAATAACATATTTTAAGGTAGGTAATGCACTAATGATCACCTTAATATCATTATAATTTTTGAGAAATGAAATGTTTATATTGAGGTATTTGGGAACAGTTAGACCAGTTGAAGTGGGTTTGTTTGTTCGTCTTACATCACGATGTCGTACAGTTCCAGTTTTAACCTTTCTCTATCTATCTACCTATTTATCTATCTATCTACCTATCTATCCTATCTATCTATCTATCTAGTCTTAATTCTCGAGAAATGGAAATGGAAGAATGATTGAGATCGAGATGAATGAAGGATATTAGAAAGAAATTAAATGAAGAAAGAGTTAGAAGAGACAGGTTTACAACAATTCAATTATTTAGCTCAGTGATTGAATAACCAATCAACTGTACCGTATAAATGTCAACAATTATCAAATTTACCTCTTCATCTTTCCTCTCCTCTCCTCTCCTCTTCATACTTCTCCTTGTCCCTCTACTCCCCATCTACCATCACTAGTGCCATCTTTTCCTCCACAATTTGTCATAAATTTGCATTTTGTTTTATTGTTATTATTGTTATTGTATTTTTCAATTACCTCTTCTACTAATATGTTATAGAATGTTGCAATTTGCATTTTTAAATTTATTATAATATTTCAATAGGCAAAATGATCTAATATTTCAGTGATTCAATGATACAGTGTTAGAGGAAAAGGATGAAATTATGTCGAAGTTCATTTCCATCATAAATTAAATAAATCACTGAATCATTATATTAAAGATATTGATAAGTGTATTATCATGATGACATCTTGTGCTATTGTTGGGATTTTTTTTTTCTTAAATAAATCTTTTACCTTAAGGTAATGATTTTCAATATTAATTTCAATCTTTTCTTTGCAAAAAAAAATATCATTTTATTATTATATTATTGTAATTTAGAATAATACTATGCGTAATATGATAATATGACATGCAATTGAACAAATTTAAATTTTAAATTTGACGAATTTACTATGACACATAATTTTACTCCAACAAATTGGCCTATATTCATCTTTTCCTCCTCAAATAATAATATGATGAATTCAAACATTCTGCAATTATTATTGCTGAATGTTTGAAATAGAGTATTAGAAATAGCATAGCATGAGAGAGAATTTTGCATAAACATATATAAAATAGATATACAATTTTAATTGTTCATTATTATAGTTTAACTTTATTTACAATTTCTGAATAAATTTAACAATTTGAAATACTATCAAAAAAGAAAAAAAATTGACATAGTTTTTAATTTCAATTTTAACAAATACTTAACTTCATCCTATTATAATCATTTCACGTTATTCAAACAAAGATTGGCGTAAAATTTTACAATTAGGAATGACCTAACAAGTTATCGCTTTGAATTTCAATTTAGATCAGTAAGGGAAGTGATGAAAGTTAATGATAAAAAGAAAAAAAAAACAATTGTCAATGACCTGTAATTAACTCTTTCATGTTTAAAAAAATAGCATCAAATTACTTCTGTTATAACGATTTATTAATTTGACTGCTCGATAGTATAGGAATATTTGCAAATAATTCTTAATTACAAAAACTATAAAAATCTTATCATTATCAGTGAATGATTATATCAACTATTACTGTTGGTATTTTTACTATTATTATTTCTAGAGTATTAGTATTACTATTACTATTATTAATTACTGCTGTCATTATTATCATTGTTAATTATTACTATCAGCACCACTACTGCTACTACTAGTAATACTACTATTATCATTCATTATCATTGTTGTTGTTATTGTTAATTACGATTTATTAGTGCTAAATCACATGCTTTTATCACTAATTGATAATCTAATCAAAATTATCTTCACTACTTCACTAGATATCGAATCAAATTATTCCAAAATGATTATTACGAATATAACACTACATACAATACTATTGTAATAATGAATGCCCAGATATCAGAAATTATCAAACTTTTTGAGAAAAAACATTCTCATAAAATTGCAAGAAAGTAGAGCTAATTAAAAAAAAAAAAAAATATTTGAACAATGTCAAAATTTCTAGCTTTCAAGAAAATTTTTGTTTAATTTAACTAAATGTGTCAGTGATGAGTAAATCTATCAAAAAAAAATCAACATTTTGCAATAGGAGAGATTCCTCATACAAATAAATGAAATTGATTTTGATATATATATCCAATTTATTAATCGAAAATAAAGGTTTTCCATAACATATTTTGTTATTTCTTGTAAGTAATTAAAATATTTCATCTTACATCAAATTTTGCTAATTTTTGCAAAATTTTGTTGTATAATAAGACTGGAATCAAAAACTGATAATAAACTTTTCTATTATCACACACCACATTAATCCAATGTCACATTATCACATAATATTGTCCCTACCACAACTTCTATCACAGCTCTAATTGGCATTTTTAAAGAATTTTTTATATTTTAACTAGCATAATTTTCTTTTTCCTATATCTACTTTCATAATTTTATATTGAAATTGTTTCTGATATAATATTCCTTTGTTACCAAACTAATTTCTACAAATAAAGCAATTTGCCTTATATTTATCATTTTAACACTTAGAAATAAATTTTGTCGTCAATTAAACTGAAGGAAAAAATACAGAAATGTTGATAAATGTCAACTTCTTATATATTTTTACATTCCATTTAATTTTGACTAAAATTATCACTAACAATTCTTTCTTCCTATTAATTAAAATACGAAAAATTATATGATTGGATGACTGAGATGTTGAATCGTTTTAAGGATATGCGAAATTTTGACATGTAATTCTACCATATGCATTTGAGAAGGAAGCACTGCAATTTTTCATGCATCATTAAAAATTGAATTCAATTTAAAATATCTTTAAAATGAAATACATTTATAAACAATTAAACAACAATACAAGTAGCAATTGATTCTTTAACAGATGAAAAGGACAGAAAACAGAAAAACTGAGAAAACAAATGAAGATCAACATCTGAATAAAATTTTATCAAAAGCAGAATTAAGTTTAATAGTATCAGAAATAAGCATGCATATGCTTGAGGCAAAAAAATATTGCTTTTTCAAAATATTTTAATTAAAAATATGAAGAATTTGTGGAATTTAAACAACCTACCATTCTGTTAGACAAATATAGTTTGCTCACGAATTTTTTTTTTTTTTTGAAATGGAAGACTTAGAAAAATCAGTAAAAATCATTATTTGAAATTTTAAATTTCCGCAGTGAAACTGAGCAGAATGTAATGATAAAATTTTTTCACATATACTTTGAAAATTTGGATGAATGATAAAATAATTTTACATAATGCGAAACCCGTGAATAGAAATTGAGCAAGCAACCTGCAGTAAGTTAAATACAATGTGCATAATTAATTCATCATAACTATGACAATAAAATAATTCACCTAATAATAGATTTACTTTATTCGATTACATATATTTTTATTGGTTACAATAAAACCTATTCTACACATTGTATTGTATTATTCTCATACAATAGTGATAATAATAATAACAATAACAACAATACATAATAAATGTTCAACTTCTGTAAATTTCACAAAAACTATTCAATTTTATGCAGTCTTATTGGTATCATATCTTTTCTCTTGTATTCTCAATAACTTCCATAATGGTATGTGTGTTAATCATGATAGTGACTATTTGATGTAATTTCTGTTTAAAAAAAGTCATCCCAAAAAACAATCTTGAAAATTCATCTGTTCTATTTCTAGGTTTCTTTTCATCGTTTTAATTCATTAAGCTACTATGCACTAAATTCATCCAAGTAGAAGAAGCAGCACAACGAACTAATTCATTGAACTGCTCTCGTACTGAATGATCTGCTTCCATCAATAATGATCCAGATTCATTGCACTTACGCTCCTAAAAAAAAAACAGTAATTCAGTAATAAATAATTCTAATTTAAACTGCGATTTTCTAAAATCAATTCCATCTTTTCTTAGCTGCTATATTTATTAAGGATGCAAATAATACAAAAACACTTATCAATTAAATAACATTTTTTTTTTTTTCATACAGAAGAGAACGAAAGGATAACAGCTATTATTCTAAAGTTTAAGTTGTGAAGGTATAAGGAAAGTTTTATCTCTCTTCTTACCAATATCTATGATCTAAAACAAATTTTGTTCCTAACAAAAATCTTTTAAAAAGATAAGAGAAGAGAAAATACCTTTGCAAGTAATTTCATTTGTAATGGTTCATCATTTTGAGCTGTGAAAAGAAATACGTCTTGGTGAGCTTCAGGAGTGATGATCACAAGATGCTGCAAATGTAATGTGCACTATCAAATTCAACTATTATGATAAAATAAAAATTCCCGATAAAAAAATGTGTACAAATGAACTTTTACCCCATAATGCTCACGATGTTAAACATCAGAAATTTTCAGTTATAGTTAGTGCTATATTACACAGGAATACCGGAACTTCATGGATTATCTAATTGATAAAATGTATCGTAATCTGATATTCAGTAACCGGATTTTCAAAATTTTACAAATATTTCCTTCCCATATAAATTTTACTCAGCATCGCATTAACAATCAAAGTAATGAAATCATATTAATGACCAGTTAAACTAAAAATAAAGAAAATACTATTCTTTACGAAATGCCAACTCTCAAATCTATGGATTTATGATATCGGATTTAAAATTTTAAATTTCGATTTGGAAAATCTGCAAATAGTCTGTAATAAAATATAATTCATTTTTTCCTTCCTACTATTTTTTTTTCACTTATCTTCTTCCTATTCTTTTCTTTTCTTGTGTAATTTAATATATTTCCTCCACTATCCACTTAATCCTAAATCAAGCTCAATTACTATGATCTGTGAAAGCTCAAGATTTGATAAATCACGAAAATGTACTATAAGTTTTATAAAATAAAAAATAATGATTTCTAAAAGAAATACCTCCTTCACGGATGAACAGAATAATCGACATTTTTGCAGACCAAAATGTTGAATGAGCAATTTGAAGAAAAGTCCAGGATTCAGATTACTGACTAGTGATTCCAATAATGGTTCATAATTAGTCAATGATTCAGATTTAACATAACCCAATAAATTGTCTACATCTGTAGTTGTAAGAGATGTTGAAAGTGCTAGCCGTAATACTGATGTTATATCATTACTGTGACGAGCTAATAATTTCCATTGTTCGGTCACTTCAACAGTTTCACGTTTTGTTACATGTTTTTCCAACATGTCATCCCAAAGCTGAAATATAAAGCAAGAAAGGTAAGGTTAAAACTTTTTGGATCGAGATCATTATACTATGCAAAGTTAAACAATAGCGAAAAAAATTGATTCTATAATATATTTATATCAAGCATTAAATTAACACAAGTATTGAATGAAAGTTGTTTTAGCTTATATTCACTTTAGTTATAATAACAAATCAAAATGCTTAGTACCGTAAGAAGTAATAGCATTTATGTTTAAAAATATCAAGCAGAGTTATAAAAGTTTTGTAACTTTGGAAAAAAAAAGAAAAAAAAAAACATACATGATGTAAGAAAAGAGTAAATATAACTTTAAATTTACCTGATTTCTTTTGCAATGCCATACAGCATCCTCAATTATCATTTGTAGCTTACGTTTATAATGCATTACACTATCTTCCAGTTCTTTTTGCAACCTTTTCTGTCGTCTACTCATGTAATAGATGTAAAATGCTTGTTCACGTGGCACTATCACAGGTGGATCTGATAATCTTATACCACCTGTGAAAAGGAAAAAAAAAAATTTGAGCAAAATTACATCAAATTCTATCTTCAAATTTCACTTTGTAAAAAAAAAAATGCTTTATGATCGCTATAAAATAGGCTAAATCATCTTTAAAAAATATATATTTTACATCTTTTAATGAATGTCAAATACGGCGCAATTTCCGGAAAAACATTTACCTCGGAAATTTGGTCGTATCTTGCGATGTCTCAAAGGTGCATTGTTTTGAATAGATAATTTTTGCGTTTTTGCCTTTGGTGTCTGTGTTTTTTCATCTGACATTGAATGACATTCATCTAATTTCATTCCTACAAAATTTGACAGCATTTTTCTAAAATATAATTTAAATATAAATCAATGACAAAAAACTGAAAAAAAATCAAATAAGAATGATCATAATAATAAATCCTTGTCATAAATACATGTAAATATACTTTTTTCTAGCAAAAAGAAAAAAAAAAAACATAAGCACTCACAAAACGTCCTTTTCAACATATTATTTTAGGAACGTACTTTCTTGTTTGAAATAAATAAAACCTTTGTTTTATTAAACTAAACTAGAAGTAATTAAATAGATGGAAAAGGAAAATTTTTTCTAAAACATTTTTTTCTAGCAAAAAGCATTAAATGCCAATATTTTTGGATCATAACAATATGAATACGCAAACTCCAAACTCTTATACTAACCATTTGAATAATTGCGTGGAAGTGTTGCTTCTTTCGGTGATCCATTATTGTCGCCACTATGACATCTTCGTCTGGTATGAGTGGTCGGTGCACACCATGCATTGTTGGAATTACTACATAATTTTTTACATTGATAATTTTAGATTAAAAATAAACGTCAAATGTTAAGGAGAGATTAATTTGAAAAATTATAACCAAAATTTCGAGTGAATTATGCAAATGATGCGTTTGAATGTGTGGATATTGGTAATTTACCGATTTAAAGAATAATCGAAATTAGGCCTTCATTTTTATAAAGTCTCGATGATTACAGCACTTTTGCAACAAGATAAGAGCAAACAAAAATGGAAAATAGCCCGCATTGTTAATGTGATTTTCAATTAACATTCTGAATTTCTATGAAATAACCAAATGTAATTCGAATTAAGTTAAAAATTGACTTACTTCTGTGCTACAATGCCTTCAGTACTTTTTCGATAGCTATCCGTATTGCAGTCTACATTCAAACCGAGTTTTTTAAATTCACCACTTATTTTTGCATCATGTTTACAATTTGCATCTGGCTCCAAATTCTCGACTAGTGGATCAGCTAAATGAACTTGATCAAATTCTATAAAAAACTAATACATATAATCAAATATTTTTTCACCAAATAATAATAATTCCCAACAAATAATAATAAGAAGAAGCATAAAATAATAACATAATTCATAACTGAGACATTAAAAAAAGGAAAAAAAAAGAGAAAAGAAAAACTAACTTATTTCATGCGAAACCAACATAACATAGAATTTTATATTCAATGTTTTTGAAGCATAAAGTTGATTTTCATGAACGATTGTTCGAATTTCCTTATAGGAGAATCCAAAACACTCCTAAACTATTCAAAGAAGAAATTACAAAAAAAATCAATAAAAAATTTTTATAGAAGCGAAAAAAACTTCAAAGAAAGTTTTTACCGTATCATCTTCCGCAACAATCATAAATTGTCCAGGCATATCCATTTCAATTGTTTTCAAACGTACTATACGCCAGTTATGACGTTTCTCATCCAACAGGTATTCCCAAACTTTCTGGTTTGTTACGGGCAGATTAGGAAATGTTATCTGGAAATGAAGATTTAAATGATTAACATTTTCATACATATATATATCCACAAAATATCGCTTTTTCATACTTCTTTAACTATGGTTGAATAATATAAGTATGCAGAAAGTTTTTCTAATTTCCGATAAACTTACTTTTTCTTCATATATACAGTTACAAGCATAAGGTGGACGACAATTATAGTACTGCAAAAAATCAGTTAAAAACTCGTTCGTATTGTATCCGTAATTGAAAAGAACCTGAAAATGACACAGTAGAATATTTATTTGTATTTTCACTTGCTATCTTCAAGTATTCAGATCATCATTGAGGATATGACACACAACATTCTCCTAATTTCGCTAAAATGTATTTATCAAAGAATATTAGAATGTAAAATGATATTTAACATCATAATCCGTATTGTCTTCATCAAATTATACACTGTTACCTTGATCTTGCGAATAGTAAATAATTTCTTACAATGATTCTAAATAGAGTTAATTTGAACATCATCCCATCAAACTAATAAGAAGTAAATAATTTTTTATACCTGCTGTCCACCAATTAAATATGTAGCAACCATACGTAAATGGAAATCATATGTAAATGAATGAACGTGAGCCTTTGATATAATGCTATCCTTCAATGCATAAAGGTCTCTTTGATCATTATAATCGAAATTCTTATCACATTTTATTCTTAATCGATTTAACTGTGCAACATTCCAAAGCAAATATTGAACACTGAAATTTCGAAGATTTTGACAAATCTTTTGAAAGAATGTCAAAAAAATAATTCAAATATTTGTCGATTTTTGTGCCAGATATGAATGTCAGAACGGCAAGCTTCTTGCAAGTTTTTCGAAAACTCATATGCTTAGTAGATTACTACATTATTGCATGCTGATTGCTGCATGTAAAAGATCAAAATAAATCTAACTGAACGGTAAAAAATCAAGAATGAATGGTTTCGACTCGTAAATATAAAAACTGAGTTCAGTTTCAATAAACCTGAAATGTGGCTCAATGATTGTAATGTGAACGAATAGAATACCACCGTCATAAGCTTTATACATCCATACGTTAGGTGATGATTCGGTATTCTGGAATTTTATTAAAAAAAAAAAAATGGAATTAGACAATTTAAAATTAGATAACTTAAAATTAAAACAAAATTATAGAATTCGTTATCAAAAAAATATACCTGCATATCATAGTGCAAACTGTACCGAGCACTCGCTTGTCCTGTTATATGTGTAACGTCCAACAATCTTAATCCATTTTTTGTTAGATATTTCACATAACTCTAAAAAAAAAAAACTTAGTAGGTCAATGTTCATCAATTTTCAAAATAAAAAAATGCTAGTAACTTTGTATTCAGCTCACAAATTCAGCATATTTTTATAATTTCAATTGCATTTATCTTTCTGCAGTCTAAATATCAGAATTTACAAATTCACAAATTAACTAAATTACTAAGATCCGCATCTCAATATTACTTAAACAAGAAAAAAAAATACAATTTATTCATCGTTAAATAGAAATTTTTCACCGTTATAAATATTTGAAATAGCTCGTCAACATCAAAAGCTTTTTAAAACAAATTTAAGCAAATATTTTGTGGAACTTTATGAAAAAACAATCTGACAGAAGCATTCACCTCAACAAGCATAAACTGTATCTTCAGGCAACACGGTTCATCCTCTTCTAAATTTTTTGTTAACTTTCGTAAAGTACGATCTGATGAATGCAATAATGCACTGAAGGTATTTGAACGCGTTGTGCGCACCTATAAAGATTCCTACTAAAATAATAGGATATATTTGATAGGATATACCTTACATTACTTTAGAACACAACATCTGAAGGAATTGAATAATTCTAGCATTTTAATTCTTATATAGGTAACTTCATTTATTGCTTTTCATACTTACTGTAGAATCTAAAGTAATGTCAAGAGCAGCAAAGTCTTTGCCCAAAAAATTTCAAGTATTATCAAAGTTTCAATTATTTTATCCTTCATGAGTTTTATTATGCCTAAAAAAATGAACTGAATCTTTTAAGAAATTCTAATTACTATTAAGGATCAAGCTTCAATCTGATTATAAAATTAATTATCGCAAAAGATTCGTTTCATCTTAAACACCTGCTGCGGTACATACTAATCTAAATAGCAATACTGATCATCATTCTGAACATATCAGTGTTAGTGTCTGGAAAAAGATTTATTTGGAACAGGTTTTATTTTATCTTTAGGTGTCCTAAAACCAACACATTTAAAATACAGTTCTTTTTTTTTTTCAAATCCTAATTTTTTTTGCCAATTGCGTGATGAGTCAATCACCAAATATTTTTAATTTGTTTATGCCATTACGCTAAATTATACTAATTACTTCCTTTTTTCTCACACACCAAAAAAAAAATTAATCTTATTACCAATCTTTGTTTTATATTTATGGGAATGACTTCCACCGAATTTCCGGCTGTCAGTTTAGTTCTGAATATAAAATAACCAACCTTTCCCACTAACCGTCATTTCATTCTATGTTTTTGGGTGGTTTTTGGGGGTGCTTTGATAATATTTTAGTATTTTACAATTATATTATATCTATTCGTTATAATATTGATTTTACGTTAATTTTTAATGTTGATTTGTTGGTTTAATTACCCAAGTTTGAGCTCGGCAAAATAAAATATCTGGTAGTCAATAAATTCCACGACAGAGTTTTGGGTACCTCACCTCGGGCATCAAAAACATAGAATGAAATAACAAAAAATGATAATATAAAATGATTTTAAAAAATGCAAAAAAATGATAATATTTTAGTGTACTAAAAATAACGTAAAATCAACGTTATAACGAATAGATATAATGTAATCGTAAAATACTAAAACAATATCAAAGTACCTCCAAAATCCAAAAACATAGAATGAAATAAAGGTTAGTGGAAAGGTTGGTTAGTTTATATACAGAACTAAGGAAAGCCGATGAAAATCATTTCCATGAATGTAAAACAAAGATTGGTAACAAGATTAGTTCTTTGTTGCGTGGAAAAGAGGAAGTATTTAGTATAATTTAGCATAACGGCATAGATTAATTACAAATGCAAAAATATTGGATTGATTCATCATGCATCTGGCAAAAAATATTAGGATTTGAATGTAATTTAAATGTGTCCTTTTTACGGCACTATAAATGTTGTTACGATGGACTTACATGTGACACTGATGAAGTGTTTTCGAGAAGTGACGCTTTCGAACCACTGACATGCCTCGATGGTAAATCGGCTATCACTGCCTGTTTAAAACTGAAATGAAAGATTTTAAAAAATATAATTTCAATTCCAAATTCAAGAATGGTATATAAAAATATAATTCACTAACTGCAAATTGCATTTAAGTGGCAATGATTTTAAATAATAATTACTTTTGATCGAATTCATAAACTGATTTGCTGTTTAAATTCAAAAGTCAATCAGAAAAGTTAAAAATATATCATATTCTCTGCTCAAATAATCTCTGTTGCCAAAATTAAAGTTGTTCATCTTGAAAAAATTGTTACAAATCATAATTGAACTAACAAAAAAAAGTGAAAAGATAAAAATATTTTTACCTCATTGCATTTTCCGTTCCTCTTCGAACAACTGCTACTAATTTACGCCATTTTGGAAAAAGTAACAGAGGTGATCGAACAAAATGTACTATCCGACTATGAGAAACAATTTTCAGCAAATCAGATTCTCTGATTTCATGGGTTCCACTCATCAATTCACTGTGTATCCGATTGAAGTTCTCACAATTGTGAAGCATTGATTTCATCTATTATTTATAAAATAAAACTCTATTATTTATAAATTTATTATTTGTAAAATAAAACATTCATTATTTATAAAATAAAACAAGTGATGGAGCACTGAAGCATAGACGCAGTAAATTGTTTAGGAAATTAAAAGCTCACATTTAGACCCTAAATCTCATGAAATTCATTAAAACATATCGAAATAAGTTAAAAAGCAGGATTTATTAAGATCTCCTAACTAATATGTATAAATTTTCAAAATCTTGAGTTCCTATTTCTTGCCAAAATCTAGATATGCTGAGAATTAAAAAGTTTCATTACATGCTAATAGAAAAAAATTTCAAAAATTTTCGTTTTCAACATAGTGCGTAAGATAAAAGATAAAAAAAGTCGCTTTCCACCTCATAAAGCATTATAAAACCAAAATTTTCAGACGAAGCAATTTCTCAACCTGTTATCTAATTTTTTTTCTGAAATCTCATACACTTATCAAAATAAGCAATTGATGGAAATACCATTTTTTCAAGGAAAACCATCTGAGAGCACTGATCTTCGAACAGGTTGTCACTATTCAAATTAAGTGGTAAAAAAGCCAAGGTTGTATGCCGATAGAGATGCATTAATGGTTCAGCTTGGATGTAATGCGTTCCGCCCACTAATCTGTAAAAACATATTTCCAATCTTTTCATCAAACACCGGTAATAAATCTGTCTTGTTGATTATTTAGTGCATTGTCTCGTTTACTTAGCACATTGTTTTGTTGATTACTTAGTACCAAATGTACTTAGTACATCAGTATATTTGGTCTATGTATAACTTACAATTTATATCTGCACACAATTTTTGAATTGTTGCTTAAATCAAAAAGTAAAAATATTTTTAAAAAATGGCTACATATACAATTTGTATGTGATAGTCTTATTTACATCAAAATATATATGTATATTCTTCGTTGCACTTAAAAATATATTTCAGGTTGCAGAAAACAGCATATTTTCTGGACCATAAGAAAACATGAAATAAGATAAAATTTAGTTAACAAAATTTACAAGAGCTTGCAATTTAAATTTGTTAGTTATTCAAATTAAAAAGTTAAGATTTTTTTAAAATAATAAAAAAAAAAGTTTGTTACTGTGTCACTGTCACATAAAGGAATCTTATATCAGATTTATAGCAAATCACATTGCTTTTTAACTTATCCCAGTCTACCACAATTGAAGAAGAGTAAGTAAAAAAAAATGATAAAGTAGGATAGTTATTGCACTTTGAGCTTTACTTCTACAAATAGTTTCTTGAAATATTTATCAGATTCTATTAAGCAGACGAATTTATTTGTTAATATATATCTTACGATATGTTGCTTTTAAGATGTCCTCCTTTAATGAAAACTATATGTGACAACACAAAGTGTGTTGAATTTACTTCAAAACGAAATTTTAAGATGCTATAAAAGTTTCAGAAATATTTGAGTTTGTTAATAAACTAAAGTCAAAAAGTTGCTTCCAATCAGAAAGGTACCTTTTATCAAAATGAACAGATCCATGCTGTGGAATTTCATATTCACTCAACAGCTCACTATTTAGCCAAACCAATTCTTCACTTGTTGGAGTAATTCGACCAGATAAATGTGTTACACCCATTTTATGTAAACCAATTTCTCGAAGCAATCTTGATCGGGCATTCTGCCACGATAATACATTTGCGACCATCTGATAAACTTGTTCTGCGGCATCCGACGAATAATTGTACAGATATAAGGTTGCCTATTAAATAAATTTGCTTCATAAACTAATGAATTATAGTAATTTGGAAGTTAAAATTTAAAAATTTTAGCAAAACAGAGAGAAAAACTTGCAAAACAAAATGAGATATCTTATAAAACCTTCCAAAAATTTCTTGCAAAGCACAGTTTATACAGCACATCAAATATTTCTTAAAAAAAAAGAATTCGTAGTTTCCTATTTCGATCTAAAACAAGGAAAATTTGAGAATATTGTCTTATCTAATTGTCTTTTCCATTTGATCATTGTTTCTTAAATATTTAAGTTGGATATTACAAAATTTCCCGATTCTAATCCAAATAAAAATTTACGAAACAATTTTGTTTTGCAAAAAAAAAATGTATAAATTACAGTTTCACCCTTCGACAACAGATATAACAGATGCTGTCTTGGAACAAATGGAGCTATTTGTGGTAAAAAACGCATTGCGCTAGCTGAAAAGTAAGGTAATTAGCAGTAGTTCGTGATAACTGGAAAAATAATCATAGTTGTTCAATGACAACTACTTTACTACTTTATCCAATTGTTTGTCATAAATATAACCAACCCTTAATCAAATAAATTCTCCGCAAACTATTGTAATAATTTAATCACCATTTTTAATTTTAATAATTTAATCATTTTGATAAATTAATAATCTAGAATCGAATCATTTGCCCATTAAGCATCCGCTGATTTGATGGAGACAAACATAATTTCATTATAATTAACATAATAAATCTCAAAATTAATGGATAATAATGATAACTTTCGACAAAAAAAATACTCAGACCTTTTTGGTCATGTAAGATTTCTTCCACAGCTGTTGGTATAATATTTGAGCGTGAATCTGCGCCATATTTTAATATTGCCTCTGAATATTGGTGATTGTAAGCAAGCATTATTAGTGAAGGTTCTTCATTTTCGCCCGCAATTATTCGACCACTATCATTCTGAAATATAAAAAAAAATCTTTTTTGGGGGTCAATGTTGAAATTAATAAAGGCAGGAATAATTTGCGATTTCAACTGGTAATCGATGAAAATTATAACAATCAATCGATCAGTTTTCTTTTCCCTTCTTAACCAATTAATTAGGCCATGATATGATAAATTTGTTGAAAATTAGGTAAAGAAATGCAACAGAGAAAAGTAAAATTTTTAAACATGGAATTTCCTAAAAAACAAAGGAAGGAAATTAAAATATATATATAACAAACACTAAAAGTTATGATATCATCATTTGACGAGTTTTGTGCTGAAAAACGCTTTGAACCATGCGCATCTAGTTGGCATATTATGATGGTTTCGCGCCTCAGAATAGCAGATAATTTATCCTTTATAACGTTGAAGATCTGAAACACATAATGAATAGTAGTGAATTTTCAAATGTCTCGATAAGAAGCAGCAGCTACAGCTGATCATCTATAAAAAGAATCATGATTTGAATAAATTCTTTGTAATGCTTTCTTTATCTTTATCTAAAGGTTAATAGTGAATTCAAATGGAAGAAAATCTTTAAAATTACCATTACATGATTACAGCATAATGCCATATAAATTTTGCACTATAACTTTATGTATAACTTATGTATTAACGCAATACAAGAGCACTTCATACTATTTGATGCATACTTTCACTAAACAAATTTTGAATAAAATTTTATATTTCACCTTTCGAACAGAATGATCGCTTTCACAGTGAAATGTGTGTCTTTTCACGGAAAATTGATGCTCCGTATTCTTTACTTCCGAAACAACATGATCGAACCATTGTGCAGCAACCATAATAAATTGATAATTAACTGTGACATTTGATTCACAATCATTGCTGTTTGCAGAACCTAACAATGATCATAGCAGTAGTCTTTAATTAATGAAACATTTAAAATATATATATATATAAATAATTTTGCATTGCTTTGAAGATCTCATCTTTTCGATGTACAAATAGATCAATAAATAAAGTACTTTGAAAAAAATAACAGAATGAAAATACTAAAAATTTAAATTCTTATAGAACTTTTTAAAAGTTGTTGTCTGAAATTTGAAAAAAAAAAAAAAAAAAAACTGTATAAAAACAAGACAACAAAAGCAATACTTTTTGATTTGCGAACAACTGCTTGTTGCGACAAATGTTCTAGAAGTGGTGATTGTACATGCGATTCAGCTTTTCGAATTGGCTTTGCCACAATATTTAAATGTGATGCGTCACTACACGATCTTATTCTGAAAAATACGTAAAGTAATTCTAAGTCCGTGTTCTGTCCAGTTTGTAGGGTACATGTTTAGTTTGAAAAATAAGCAAACAGAATTCCTTCCCAACCATGAGGAATTTCTCTAGATCAATTTATTACCCTTAAATTTTAATTGGGAAATAAGACAACTACCTTTCCTCACTTGTAACATATGGCACGATTAGAGTATTTGAAGATGAATATCGAGTGTTGCTAACAAGTTCCACTAAAGGAATACTTAAAAGACCAAATTCAGTTATTAAATCACAGAGCGCCTGAAATCTATATGCAACATCAAGTGGAAATGTACATCATAAATCAGCTGAAAAGAAAAATTGAAACATGAAATAGATAATTTGAATAAAAATTCTTACCACAACATAAACGGTTAATTTACTGATAAACTCGATAATCAGTATTTAAAATTTCTTTAATCAAAATGAGAACATCATCTAGAGGAGACATCACAGAAAGTTGATACAGAATATCCACTATAGCTTGCAATCAGTCAGAAATTACCTGCTGTAAAGCTAATCGAAATATTGGTTGTAAAGTTGCTAAGCCAACATCGCCCACTTGCCAAATTGTATACTGAACCAAATATGATACGCCACCTAAAGCATAATTGCTTATCATGAAAATTTGCTAAATTTTAGAATTTCAAGATAAAAGGTAGCAAAGTATAAAAGCGAAATGAAGTAATCAAAACCCTAAAAGTTCCTATTTATGGACAAATCCATAGAATTATCGACTAGAATCTTCCAATGCCAGAATCAAGAACATAAGGTAAAACTTACGGAAAGTTACATATTTCAAGCAACAAATTCCACAAATTAATACATTGAAAAAACCTCTATACCTGTTTTTTCGGAAAACAATGAATCCGGCAAAGGGAGTGATGTAGTGATACAACGCGTCAGTTCATGAAAACGTTCATTTGATGAAAGACGAAATTTACCACCACCTGGATATAATTTCGAGTGAGTGCTTGGACTGATTCGAGCATACTTCAGCGAATCGATGCAAGTACCACTGGAATTTACTATGCGTGTCTCAACACAAGCAATTCCTGAAGAAAACTCTTCCAGCTTAATCGAAAAAAAAAAAAAAACACCATCAGTAGTTTAATATTGTTAAATATACAGTAAAAAAAAAAAAGTAAACAAATGTAAAAAATATATATTCTCAATAAACGCTTAAAAATAGAATCTGTACTGAAAATCGGCAACTGATTTATGATGCAATTTACAATTTTCATTTCGATGAAAATAAAAAATGAAAACCAAAAATCTATCCGTCCTTAACAATTATTTAAAAAGAAAAAGGCAATAAATACCCATATTTGATGAACCCTTTGTCGGTGGCCTGCTTATTAGAAAGAAATGTGGAATATAATTATTGCAAGCCGTTTGAGAACCGGGCTGAGAATGGAAACGTTCGTGTGACAGTGGATTATTTCTGTTCAAACCTCCGCTACAGTCCCGAAATCGAGCTCCTGCTGTGAATGTAAGCATTTGCTGGTACATGTAATAGTAGAGTGATCCCAGATAACCATAAATATAGTTCGGTAAAGTGCAGTAATGTACTGCAAATGGCTTAGCCGGATCTCGTTGAATGAACTGGGAAAAAGATAAAATAAGTGGAAATGAAAGTTAATTTAAAACCTTTAAAAAGAACAATTGAAAAGCAAAGGTTATAGTCCTGCAAAATTTTTCATTTGTTAATCTTCTTCACAAATGCAAGATTTCAAATCCATATTTCATATCCGTAATCAATTAAACTATTTAGCCTCATTGCTCAAACGGTAAAATTAATAATTTCATAATAAGGTGCATAACAAAACCGCTAATTGATTAAGTAATTTTATTTGTTTCAATATATCAACCATACTTCGATATCAGCTGCCGTTAGTCGTGTTCGGGGATTTTTGTATAAAATATCGGTTAACTCTTCCAAAACTTTTAATTCGAGTCGCTTCTGCATAGCATCCACAATTGATTGAATTATTACGGTAGGTTCATGAATTCCGTGTACTGTCAGTAGTATATTATTTTGAAAATTTTCACTCATCTATAAAAAAAGCGAATGCAAAGCAAATTTTTACCACTCACGAATAAATTTTATATACCTAATGAGACAAATGTATACTTTTATGAGATAAGGGAAACTCATCACCAGCACTGAACAAGTTTTTAACAGTTGTCTCTGAAATTGGCAAGATGCTCTATATATAAGATTTATAAAGCTATGATAAAAAGCAATCTTCTTCTATGTCCTTAAATTTAATAACTTAAAAGGTCTTTGGTGACTAACCTCATCGATAAAAGTTGTATCACAATGTAAGCATCTTTTTCTAAAACTTTCTTCACTAGCAAAAAGCTGCATGTAAAATACATTTCGTTTGTTATCTTCACAACAAACATAAAGATTACGACGATTTCGAACTGCAAATTGTTCAATTCCTTGGCGCAAAGCATCATATCCCATTACTAAAAATATTACAAAGAAAATAAATACTTGAAATGAGGTTTAACGAAATAATAATCCACAATACACATATTTCGAATTAGTTTCTCTGTGTAAAAGTACTTTTTTTTTAGAACTTTTAGAACTCTGCGATATAATCCTTGTTTTCTTGCTTTTCACAAATGTCCCTTTCATTATGAATTTCATTTTAGTTTTTTTTTTTCCTAAAAACTTCCAAAACTGTTTTTTCCTAAAAACTTTCGAAACTGCTTTTAACAGTAAAGAAAAATCACCTAAGGAGCATCCTGCTCCTTTCTTTTCGATGTGTAACCGAGGATGTACGTAAAACCAATGATGCGCTACGATTCGACAAGCAAAATGACCAGGAGGATAAAATACCCGTGCTGGCATATATGGTGCAGCATCCATTTCATCCTCATCGGAATCTGAAAAGAAAAGTATATTTTTAAGAGGAAAAAAAAAATACATAAACTTGATGATAAAGAAAAAGCTCAGTACGTAAGACCAATTTCAAGTGCCATTTAAAACAATGAGAAAAGGAAATTCTCTTATCACTTAATTTAATCTTTTAGATAAGAATTCATGTTTTCAGATGCTCTGAAATCAAGCATACATACACTTTAAATCAAACATACAAACAAGTTGAACTGAATTATCTTTTTTTGCAAAGCAATCAAAGGTCATTCCACTTCCACAAAAACGTAAATGTCGACATGATACCTTATCTAATAATTGAGCGATTCAAATATATTTATAATTATAGTTTGAACCTGAACACTTTTAAATATTGATTTCAATTATGATTCCGAGCAGAAAGAGACCCACTTAGTGTGATATTCTGTCAAAGCTTTAAATTATCTTCCTTAAGCCTATCTAACTAAAGATTAAAAATAAGTTTTTGAAGCTTACATGAAAAACTGAAATTCTTCTTAGCCCTTGGTGCTGTACACTTATTTATCAAAGAACGAGTTAATTTTGTATCAGGGATTGAATCATGCAAATCTGATGGAATAAATTTATGCGACTCTGTTTCATTCTCGATTAATAAATCATCGCATTCGCTAATTGAATGCATTTTTTCCAGTAAAAGTTCCTGAAAATGTGGTCTTATTATTTTTGCTAAATTCTCAAATAAATTCCATAAATTTTGATATATTCTCGAAAATCTTAAATATATTAAAGAGATCACAAGGAATGAAGTAACATACCATTGAAACAGCCTAAGGAACCTGACATGAACTATTGTGCTTCCGACTAGCCAGATATGACCGTAGCTGATTGGTATGGTAATGTAGCATGACCAGAGGACATACAATGACTTAATATTACGCTTTTTCAAATTGTTAATTAAAGCTCAAATTTATTTATATATATGAAGAGCATTTATGGCACTACCTGATTGATGGTATGACATTCTTTCTGTATTGCTTCCAAAAGAAGCCCAAAAATTTTTTCATGATGATGTGCATACCTAAAAGGAAAAAATTTGCTAATAATAAAAAGATACACCGAAATAAATGAAGTCATCTAGTCTTTCTGGATTAAATAAAATCATATGAACTTAAAAATTAACATTTTCATGGACTTAAACTGAAGAGTGAAAGAAAAGTAAATGGTATTATAAAGTATAATCTTGCCTTTCACAAAAGAATGCTTGTATCTGTTGCATTTCAACATTTAAAATAATCCAGAAATCACGCAGCTCATGATCATTATAACAAGTCCGTTCTGAAGATTTTTCTAACTGTGAACTATGATGAGGATATCTCTTACAACAGCAGACATGAAGATATGGCACTCATTATATATTGCCACTTGATAGTCACTACTTTTAATTTTGGCATTCCAAAGGGCTTTACTAGTTGTAGAACAAAGACTATTGTTACAGTTCATATGTTATAAAATTTCATCTCAAAGACAAAGATTCTGTCATAAAATCATTCCGAATTAAACATACATATACCTGCAATTCCCGAGTGATATGCATAATCTTCGGAAAGTCTACGATCAGCTTTTAAAACCGGTACACTGCTATCCCTGCAACTCAGACCAATGTATTACAAAGGGAATTTTCATATTGAATTCACTTGTTAATGACTGAATCACAACTAATATGAAATCGAAATTTTCGGAAGCTTATAATAAAAATAGATCATACCTCCGCTTTGTTATTTTATCTCGTGAAATCTTGGAATTCAATACTTCCATACTTGAAACTTTCCTTGCTAATGTCATGCTTTTTTGCTCTTCGATACGCTCTGTGAAGCTTCCGCTACTTCGTCGTGAAGACTAAATTCATTGGTTAGTTTTATACAAGGCACACAAACAGGAAATACATGAACGTGGAAAATTTTTTAAAAAAAGCACGAAAAACTTCTATTTTAGAATCTAAAAATTTAAAAAAGAAAAAAAAAAACTACCGCATCAATGAGGTGAAATTAAATTTAGTTCTAGAACTTCAAACACATACAAGTAAAATGAAAAGCTAACGAAATAACAACCTTCAGTGTTACATTAGCTGCAGTACGCATTTGCATCCTCAACGTATCTTCATAAAGGTCAACATCTTCCACATGACAGCAATAAAACAAGTTACTGGATTCCGGATGCGCTTCCAGTTTACAGTAGAGCAGATCAAAATTTTTAATACGCTCTTTTAAACGACGTACAGCTTTTACCTGTTCCATTACCATAACAACTTGCAGTAATTTTACTTTGAACCGAATCGTATCATTCTTTTCACGTTGCTAAAATAGTACGACATATTATCCTTAGCTTTTCAGTCTTACAGTTAGCCATCATTTCAAGTTGCATTATCATGTCGCTCTTCATATACATATATCTTTCAAAATATTAGAAATTTAATTCGATTTTTGTCATTCATAATATTTTTATTAGTGCCGCTGATTTCCTTTTTATAAAACATCTGGACCTAAATTTTTCAAGTCGGCTTTAAAATTTTTAATTGATCAGTTACGAGATGAATAGTTAATTTGGCAGCTTACATTGGAGCCTATTGCAAGAAAAAAAAAAAACAACGAATTAGATAAGCTAAATACAAATGAGTCTGACAAAAAACATTGTGATCCATTTAAGTTTCAAAACAAAATTATCGTTGACTTGCAAAAAGTTACTTAGTAACACGAACAGTGCAATTATTGAACAATTGTAAAATCAGCCATACACCAATAATAAGATTAAACCATTCTTCAGGTTTTAAAACCAACGTAGTTTTTACGAATATAAGGTGCTAGTAATTTGCAAGAGTTACACTATGCACTAAATATACGATTTCTCAAATCTAGTACAATACACAAAAATTAATGTATAAATTTAATATTCATCAAGTTTAACTATTTAAAATTAAAACCATTAATAATTCAAATTCACCTCTTTGGCAATGAATACCATTACTTTGTGCATTGTGTCAAGCGTCACATCGTCATATCTTGATAACACAAACACTGTTTCCATGTGAAGTAAACGTGTAATTCCGCATTCTAACCGACGAACTGCTTCATTTTCCTGAAATAGACTTAAAACCAGTAAAAAAATTTCCACTGAACTGATCGAAATATCTGATCAAAATAGCAAAACAAAAAGGACATTTACCGGACTTGGTAGTTGGCTGATAACATCAGAAGTTGTTGTAGAATAAGGGCTATCGAAATCAAAGTAAGTAGTAAATTTGTGAAATGATTCAGACTTATCCGGCGTTTTTGGTGTAACTGTACATGAATCAGACTGTGTTAAAGTGAATTGTCGCATAGGCCATGACAAAACATAGATATCAAACGAAATTCCAATTAAATCCATTGCTAAAATTATAATAATTATGTTAGGTGCTTAAATTTTAATTTGAAACACTTCAAAAACGATTGCAGTTAGCAATTTGATTTAATGCGAATGAATATGTGTATACATGATTCAAAGTTTTATTCATATTTGTTACTGATTTCTTTCAAATTGTTGCTTTTTCTTTACTTTTTTTTTTAGTAAAATAAAAGAATTGTTTTACTTTAAACAGTGAAATTCAAAATAATTTTCAAAATAATTGCACAATATCAGCAACAGTAAAGAAAAAGAAAAGATATTAGATCAAATTCTATGATAAAAAAAGTTCTAAATTTACCTGTAAAATTTTTTTTTGAAATATTTGAACATTGCTTTAGTAATTGCATAACACAGGATGGTAAATGATCGATGGGAAATGTATACATATCCATGTTAGAAAAACGTACTGCACAAGAAAAATTCAAGAATAATGGTACGGCAGCATTATCACTTAAATGTAATGTTTCACCAACTGATAACTCCGATGTAGTAACTGATTCGAAACTGATACTTGATTGGTTACTTCTTGCACTATCTAAATAAAAAATGTAAGGACGAAAAGAAATTTTTACTATAAATTTATAAAGATTTAATAAGAAAATGTTTCATTTAAATTCATAAATTCTGATTACCGTCTTCTCTTTCTTTCATATCTTCATCATCTTCAATATAGCAAATTTCCAAATCTTCACAAGGTGAACTACCACTATTAAAATTCTTCGTTTCAGGCAAATTTATTGTTAAATTCTGGAAAAAAGAGAAAATGTCAAGAAGCTGACAACAATCAGATCAAACAACCAATTGTTTAACAGATCTCATTCCATTATCAGCAATTTTACATATATATTATGATTAATTTATAATTCTCGCATTTTCAACTTTAAGAAAATATGGAAAATAAGACACATTTAAAGTAATAAAACAGTTTCATTTAACAGTAATAAAATAGTTTTATAAACTCGTCGAACAAAATTTAAGAATAGCAACAATTTTTGTTATATTTAACTTTATACGCTAGCTACCATAATTATAAGAGTCATGAAGTATTCTTCATAAGGCAGTCTAATGCTGAAAAACAACAGATGCAGTATGTAAAAACAAGTTGAAGAAAAGATGCATTCTATAAAATGGTAAAAAAAAATTACTTTATTGGCCATGTATGTTGTATTATCTCGAACAAAATAGAAGTAACTTGGAAAATTGGGAATTTTCCTGAAAAAGAAAAGTGAATTCAAAAATTAAACAGAATTACAAATTAGTTCAACAGTATTTGAATGAATGTACAGTAGTCTATGACAGGAAAATTAAAGTGAATCAGATTTGAAAATGTACATTTTGCTAATGAATCATTCCCATTCTAAAATTATTGCTTTTTTCACCAGCGAATCCAATAATTTACCTGATGAATAAGCTTAAACTTACAGTTACATAGTAGGACAAACTTACAGTTACATAATAGTAGGAGCTACATATATGAGATTCATTAGCAAAATATCCGGCACGAAATCATCACTAGATACAGTCACAACACGCCTTATTTATGCTACTGGCTATATTTGTAATAAAAAATAATAATTGAACTGAAACCGGAAGTTCTGTAAAAGAAGCTCATCAAATGCGAATCGAAAATCCTCTTGTTCTTCCTCACATGACTTCATATCCCCATCATTTAATCTAAAAAAAAAAATTTAATTAAACTACAAAATCATTTATATTTAAAATGAAAAATATTTAAAATAAAACGAAGATTACCGATGTGACAATCATGTTTGAGTTAAAACGTAACATTAACAACTTGTCCGCAAGTAAGTTACTTACCTATATAAAATATCATCTTTGAATAAATCATTGCTTCTTGTTTCATCATCCGCATCCGCTGTCGAATCTCCCATCTAAAATACACCAAATCATGCAATTATAAAAGTCTGCTTAAGCTTGACGAAATTTTGCTACAAACTAAAGGATCAAAATATTCACATATTAAATTATGCATATAGTTTCATTCATAAGAACTATGCAATTCATTTACAACTTGCATGATTAATGTTATAAGGATTACTGGAGAAATAGGCGTAGATTTGAAACAGTAATTGAAAAACTGTTCCAGTGAAAAGAACAATTTGTTTTAAATTTCCAAAATTTTCCAGTTTGGAATATATATTAATATAGTATAAATCTAACACAAACCTGTTTACGTATATTTGCAACATGTGAGCATAGGAAACGGACACATTCATCAATGCCCTCAACTTCGATATAAGATTGCTCGCAACGGTCCTCCAATACTTCTACCAAATCTTCATACGGAATATGTACACCTAACAGTTAAAAATATTATTAAAACTAAATAAATTTAAGCGTTTTACCTCTTGATTTTAACTCTTTACTTATCGATTTTTGATTGTAAGAGTAATTTATTTTCCAATATGGAAAGTAGAAAATAAAGTGAATAAAAAAAGACAAATAATATATAAGTTATATACATATCCATCCAAATAATACTTAATGATTACTAACCGATGTGTGAAAATGCGCATTTCCTCTAAAGATGAAGATATTATCAGACTGTTCTAAACTGAACTAACAATTTTCTAGGTCACATGACAATGAAAGTAAAATACCTAGCAATAAACATTGATATACCGCTCCAATAAGTGCCCGAGAAAATAACTGGTCCTCAATGGCTTCACAGTAAGAGTGTATGTCAAAGGATGTATGAACACGATTTTCAGCCGGACTTATCCGGGAAGTTGACAACCAATGTAATTCCAATTCATTCTTTTCCATCTCTGAATTTTTCTATTACACATTTAAATTCATGTAATTTTACATACTCGCAAACAATTAATATCATCAAATTATATTAATAACCCAAAATGATTTTTTAACAAAAATCATTTTTAAGAGTAGCGATTTAAGATTTGCTCGCATGGAAATAATAAAATACTGTTTGGATATCATGTTAATATTTAATATATCATAAATATATAATTACTTGTGAAGTTTTCAGTTTTCCGAATCTGTCGATTCAAATGTGCCAATGTTGAAGTTGGACTTTTGGTACGATGATCTGATACGTATGTCTCGCATCGCCGTGGTTCATTTCGAGCTAAATGATGAGCTATCCATGGCTCATCACAATGAAAAATAAGAAGCGGTAATGTCGGTATGATGAGAGAAGTTGCCATTAGAACATGTTGAGGATTTACTAATAGAGCAATGATAACAACACGCCATGGTGAAAGACGTGACACGTAAACACGTGTAGGGCAAAAATGTCCATCATTCGTACCAATTAATCTTTGATGATCCTTAGTGGGAAGCCTTTTTAGGACAGATTGATCGATACCATCGGTAATTTCCAACCAGAAATTCGGATTTCGTACTTCTATTGTAACATTACTTGCTTTTGCCAGTTCACAATGTAAATTTTCAAGAAGAATTCGTAAACGTATATTACTTGGTGGATCAGCATCTTCTATAAAATATAAAATTTCTTAACATTTATAATCTTCTCAAATGAAACAAAATAAATATTATATTTTCAATTATTAAAATAATTGAAAATATCTTAGTTCACTTTAATTACAATAACTATAAACACATATCTCTCACTTATTTTTGCACAATTTTCTTGAAAACATCCAAAAAGGACTAATTAATAATTGTACTCATATTTTATTAACACACACACACATACATAGAAATATATACCTCTCTGATTTATTGAAACTTTGACTTATATAAATAAGAAAAATAATTTTACTAACGATAACTTAGCGTAGGTAATAATAAAAGTTCTCGTTCTGTTGCATTCATCAGTAATGATCGTAAGCAGAAACAATTATGCATAATTTCCACATTTTTTGAGAGATGTTCGCATTTCAAACATTCCCAGCTATCTTCACAATTAGCAAGTGTAAAATGTGAGCATGAATAATGCTGTGAACATAGAGACATTACTTGATCCAATGTTGATAACGTACAGATGATATCTTCATCTGTTGCTCGAATCTATAATTTTAGATAGATTTTTTACTTTTCTTAAAATTTTTAATACAATTAAAATTGCTTGATTTAAACAAATTTATAACCTATAATGCTAAACTGTTTTTTACCCGAAATTTATTATCTAAATTTTATACCAACTTATAATAATTTTTCGGAATAAAAATTTTATTATTAAGATTATGGATTTCTTGAAAATATCGAATGCTTTGATCTTAGATAATAATAATGGAAAGTGATAATTGATGTATAGCATTTAAAGAACCTACTAACAATCAGTCCTACATAAAAGGATGATATTACAAGAAGGTAATATTATTCTTCATGTTAGTTATATAAATCATTTCATTTCATCCGAAATTGATAGATTCAAATTTCAATTGAATACGATTGAAATCTTAGGATCACTGATGAATTATGTGAATCCGATGTATTGTTGTTCAACTGATAAAAAATTTACTATGTAAACAATAGAAGCTCACTTTCCATTTATCAATTAAAACCAATGACGCATACTTTTTGGCAATGAAGTCATAATGAATTAAAATGTTAAAATTTGCTAAATCAATAGTATTAAAATTGAATGCGCTTTAAAAAGTGAGCATTAAATTTTTTGACACTTGCGCAAATAAGTTTTAAATTTTTAGACTTATAGCGACATTCTATAGGAATTATAATTTTTTTTTACATGAGTTTTAAAAGATTTTTAATTCCTTCCCTCATGAATATAACTGAAACAATCTCTTTTATGACATCAACAATTTCAAAATATTTCTGTATGTGGTATGAAATGTATATAATTATTCACATACTTCTCTTTTTCAAACTGTTTCGATTGTGAAAAGTATTTCATATCATTAAGCCATCAAGTAACATTCTTCTCCAAAATAATATTATCCCAAAAGAACTTTCAACATTGTTCATTTTATATGCAATAAACTAAATGTTTTCCAAAAGTTTGCAAAGAAGTTGAATTTGAAAAATCAAATTTGAATTCCGCCTTATTTCAGAGATTCGACAACTGTTGCATATTTTTCAAAAATATGTTTCAGAAACTATTTTAAATATTAAGAAAAAGATATGTTACAGAGGAAAAAAATATTATTATAGTATTCTGAAAGAAAGCAATTGTGAGTTGTAAACAGTTCCAAGTTACTGTGATACATCATTACCTTAATATAATTAATATCATTTTAATAACCATTTCTTATGTTATATTTCTTTTTCTAACCAATCATTTTCTAAATAATTTGTTTCTTTTAATTGAAAATTGAAAATAAATTGGAAAAATAACGAAAGTAATTCGGTTAAAATCAACAGTATATTTGATCCAGAAACTTCAGACAAATGCATGCTGTAGTGACAACTGAGGAAGTTTGTGAATGAGAAAGAATTCTTGAAAATGAAAAGCATACTAATTCATTATTGGAAATTAATAATGATTAAATGGAAGCAATCAAATTTGGTCTGCTTAGACTTACTAGATGTAAATCAATGTTAACTGTATTATGATTACTCTGTATTTGAAGCAAACTGTGAAGATCAAAAAAATTATTAAATGTATACCACAATAGTTAAATGATAATTAAAAGTCACTGCTCTGAAATATTATCCCCTTTTATTCTGTGAAGCATTTTCTGATCGAATTGTGACTGCGAATATATGAAAACTATTTGTATGTGCAATATTTTAATGATCTGATGAAAAAAATTAAAAAAAAAGCTCCAAAGCATTTCTCACAGGATAACTTGAAATGTTTTCACGAAGTATTAGCGCAGATTTTTGAACTCGATGAATTTTGAGAACTATTTTTATTAAATTTGAAAAGTAGTCTCATCAAATAAAAGAGATATACCGAAATCATGACCCATATCAAAAATGCACTTGACCTTTGGCAACCTTAAAAATACATCAACAATTTTTTGGTGACAAAATGCTCTCATAATTTGTAGCATGAAGAACATATTTTCCAACAGTTTGTCGAATCATGACTTTCCATGATATATTAATTAATTCGTAATGAACAAAATGCTGTGATATTATAAGCCCTATGTAGGTATTATAAACCCTGTGATATTATAAACCCTATGTAAGAAAGACGTGTCATAGAAAGCACAATTGATTTTTCACAAAACTAATATTAAATAAAACTTAAATAAAAATTATCAAGTCTATTTAAACTGATTTAAACCCTAATTTCAGCATATGAATTCAACTAAGAAAATGCAAATCCTTGCATTAATGAAACATATTACGATGGATACAATGGAAAGATCTCCCATAAAAATCAACTCTTATAGCGAAAAAATTCGCAAAACTGTAGATGGATAATCTGATATGGAATGCAGATAGAGAACAGGCAAGTAAGTGGAGGAATAAGAATCTCACTGATTTGAAATGTTTAGTGCAGATCCTAACCTCCACTTTCGTGACCGTCCAAAATATTTTAGACTTCAATGCAATTGATTGTACAAAAAATTGGAATATTGAAATTCAGAACAGCTTATTAGAACCATAACTTGTCATTTCCATTCGAAAGTTTTTGTAAATTATCGATTAAGTTGTTTTATTTCAAAAGAGATGATAGTGACGGCATGATTTAACTTTTACAAAATGAAATGATGCAGGTATCCAGGCAATGGTTTCCAGTATATTTCCATAGAAAAAGCAATAGATTTGAAATATGCGACCAAATAAGCCAATGTTAGCCGAAGGACAGATCTGGCAACGTCGCATTAGCAATGCCTAAGACCCAACCTCCGACTGACACAAACTTGTCTGTTTCATGGAACCGACCAAAGAAGACAGTGAAGGTTAAGATAAGAAAGATGTTCACTCCACATGAATGTGAAATAAAAATGAGCCTCAGCTAGCTATCTACACCTACACTTATCAGCGTTGTCAGCAAATAACAAAAAGATAACATAACGAAGAGCTTATCAGAAATGTTCTTGCCATTCGTACTGTGCTTCGTCTTTCCTCAAATTATTAAGAGAAAGTGATAAATTCTAAAATATACTAATGCTATGATAAGAAAAGGAAGAAAATAAATAAACTTGAGAAAAAATTTTAAATTATCAATACTGAATGATTAAGATAATGAAGAAAAAAGCATTTCTTACGGTTTTAAAATTAGACAAGCTGTTTGTGTTTCATTATGATAACTTTATGATTAGGGAATGTCAATCAAACAATAAGTTAGACAGAATATTTCCGCGACACTTTTCCGATATAATAAGTTTGAGAGACAAAAATAATTGCAGTGACTCAATCATAATATATAGGATCTCAAAAATCAAAAAGGAACAGTCAGCTCTTTTTATTTCTTCTGTTGGATAAATAATCTTGATATCTCATAGATACGTGGAATGGAAGTCAATTAAATTATAAAATATAAACTTGTGAACTCAATTAGTCCACTATTTGTAGATACAAACAGAATAATTTAGTTCAAGATTTCAAGATAATATAAATCTAACAGCTACTACTCATGGTGAATCAAGAAAAATAAATAAGCTGATTATTGAAGATATAAAGAAGCATAAAAGGTATACTTTTTTATTGTAAAAGAAAAATTTGCTTTTAAGACTACATAAAAATATCAGAATATTTTTAGCATGATATTAAAGGAAAACTGTTTGTTTGGAAAGTATTTTGTGTATATATTTCAATCCCAAGAATAGCACTTTAAAGCTTTTAAGTTATTTTAAACTTTAGATAAAAAAGAAAGAATAAAAAATATATCTAAGTCTGCAAAAAACTGCTTAAGAAATTATTTGAAACACTTACTTGCTGTTGAATAATTCCACTCCATGTAACATATTGAGGATCAATAACAGCAAGCGGTTCCAACCACATTTCCGTCATTAATTGTAAATCAAGATCACTTTTCAATGTGGAATTACCACTTGGAACTGATTTCTTTGTTTCAACTCCACGTATTCGAACGATTCTGCAAAGTGTAAAAAATGATTTTACCAATCAAATCTTGGTCGTTAATTATTAGTTTTACACTTGAATACTCCATTGCATTATCTCGTAACGATGAATTTCATGACGACCTCATGACTACTATATACCAACGAGTTTTTAATGTGTATCAATCAATCAATCATTGCCAGTTAAGTTAATTTTCGTTGTCAGTAAAAAATGATATATTATCTGGTTATCTATAAAGAAATATCATTTTGATAGTGTGTAATTACTGCCAGTTAATACAATAACTAAGTGTTTACTCTGAATTTTATAGATTGGTCAAAATTTGCCAGAAAGTTACTTTGATAAAGGTGGAATTTTTTCTAAATGTTCTTTCATAATTCGCATAGGTCGAATAGTTGTTGGTGGAAATATGATATATTGAAGCACTGCTGACCCACAGTGCAGCTGTTGTTCCATATCATCGACATGTTTGACAAGGTTAATTATCCCATTATCACCATACACTATATGAAATCCTTCATTCAGACGTCTCCTGAATTCTCCATTTTTGTATATTACCAAAACATTTATCTGCAGCTAACAACAGTTAATAGTAGTAATTAATATTTAGAAGTTAACTTCAAAAAGCTAATAAAAAAATGCTCACTGCAGAATAGTGTGAAGAATAAAATCCGCATAAATGCAGCTGACAGATGATGATAAGGGAAATGCTTTCTTTAAATACCAAATATAACGTCTGTAAACTTCATAAAATTTTTGGAAAAAAAAAATCAGACATAAAACTGAAAAACTAAAGGAATTTCAGCGCATTCTAATACATATTAAAAACATAACTCTTTCACAAAACTATGGGCTTGATAAACAGACATTATCCAGACAAACGTGACCTATCTCAAAATTGAAATTAATTCTAAAAAAAATCTAGAGCACAACCGAATTTGAAGTCTTATCTACAAAGAAAGAATTTTGAATTTTCCCAGTTCAATTTTCCAAAACTAGTAAGTATAAAAAGTCACCTGCAACAAAAATACTTAGCAAGTGAATTGTGCAGTATCAGATCACGATTTGTTTCATCGGTTTTTTCCAGTCGTATAATTCGATTTAATATAAGCGGAATTTTCTTGTAACGTGCAAGCATTATTTCCAATGGACGATTAATAATAGTCAGTGCTGGCAATTGCTAGAAGTAATATATTATAATCAATATCTTACATAAAATATAATATATTTTCAGGATCAATACTTACCATTGTTTCGGCAACTGTGGCACAGTCGTCTCCAACATCAGCAAATTCAAGCATTTTAGTGAAAAAGCAACTCCGTTCAATGGATAGTGAGGTGAAGTTTCTCTGGAATTCTCTGATTACCTAGAATAAGTAGATTTTCAAATTTTTTATTTTTTAAGTTTTTTCTCGAAATTTTTTAATTTTATAAAATGATCCTTTAAAATGGCAAATAGAAGTGTCTGTATAAGCATTAGAAAAATGTCTAATATCACAAAGATTACTGAGTTATTGGAAATTGCACGTTTGTTAGTTCTAATGTTTAAATATTTCGAAAAAAGCTCAAAAAAGGTTACGACACTTTAACATGAGAACAATTCGCTTGTGCAAATTATTATGCATTTGATATTTACTTCGTCCTCATCCCTTCCTCTTAGCATCGTTATGATTAACAATATTAACGGTAGCAAACACTTATTATATATTAAAATATATATTAAAAATTGAAAATTTTTATTACTTGTTATATTAAAAAAAAAAATTGAAATTTTTTATTACTTGTTCTCTAAACGCAACCGTAAGACCATCAAGGAATGCAAGTTTGATTACAACCAACTGAGTCTCCAAATTTAATTTGACAATATAGAATGATTTCGGAATATGATTATCATTATCACTGAAAAAAAGTGCTCCAAAGCTCGAGAGAAAAAGTTTAACCTCTTTATTGAAAATTATATAAAAAAAATTATATATATATTGAAACTGAAACTGAACGTCTCTACATATTTTATTGATGTGGTACTACTCTTAGTACAGCACTTTTGCAAGTCGAACATAACTTGAAAATATTAGAATTTAAAGAAAATAATGTCTTAACTGGTTTAATTATTTAGTGATTTCACTAGCAATAGAGTGAACTTTAAATAATGAAAGATCAAAAACGAACTCTTCAACAAACTTTACATAAGTTTGTCCATGAACAAGCGAAAACGTTGTCATTTGTGCCAGCATATCATAAAATACAGCTAATGAAAGCTGCGATGTAACTTTTACATTCGGTTCCTCGAACAGAAATAATCGTGGAGGCAACGGATGATCATGAGTAAGAATTACACGAAAAGTGTATACTTGTGACCAACTTTGCCTGAGAAATTAAAAATTACAAAAAGTTACGATAGAAGAGTAAAAAGGTACAATTATCTTCGAACAAGACTATTTGGAGTGAGCTACATTTACACAATTCTTTAGTTTGAGTCAATTATTTAATCAGTTATTTAGCTCCTACTTTTTCATTCATTCAGAATTAACACTAATGAATGATAATACGGCTTATGCTATCTTAACTTACTGAATCTCATCTTTTCTGTACATCCACTTTTTTTTTGTTGCGATCTAAAAAAAGTGGCATGTCATCAAATGGATTTATATTGCTACTGTCTTGCTGACCATTTCATTCTCTAATTTGCTTCTACCCCAAAAATATGCATTATTCCAACACACTATATTTTTACCAAAGCCTTTCTTCAAATTCACTTATAATCCGCCAAAATTCGACAAAATTTGCTGTGGTAACATTTTGTGAGCATAAAGTTTCCAATTCTCTGTAAAGGAAATAATAAATCTAAATTAAAAAATAAATCAAAATAAGTTGACTTAGAGATATGTAAGGAACATGAAGGAATTTTTAAGTTTTTGTAGTGATCACGTAATTCCGTTCACCATGCCCCAACACTGTATTTAACAGGGCAATTCATATAGCAAAATATTGTCAAACTGATCAGGAACGTAACTTCATTAGAATAATTTACCTGGTACTTATGGTTAGTACAGCTTTGTTTTCTTTTATAACATAGCGAAACAATGACTTTTCTTTTAATACTTCAGGTGGAAGACGAAAAATATCTGGCAAAGAATTGAATGAATGAACGTGAATTAACATGCGATCCGTTTCAAGCAATCTGACAATAAGAATAAATAAAAAAGGTGAATAATATTCATTCTAAATGCCTCTTTAAGTCACTGAAACATAATTTTTTGCAATAACAAACAAATTACTGTAAAGAAAAATAATTTCGGGAAAAGTAGAGATAAACTAACCTAAAAATAGTATGTCGATATGCATCTGAAAAAGTCTGCTTTGTTGTATTTATGGAACAACGATCGGATAACAAATCCCGTATTATGCCACATTGTGCTTCACATATTACCGTTATTTTCAACTTTGCTCTATAAAAATATTCCATATGATTTTCGTTGGAGAAAAATGTCCATACATTATATATGTGATTATACGATAATTAGTATTTAACATAACTATTGGGTAATACGCGTTATATTCTGAGGAAGCTATTACTCAGTTTAAGCTAACAATTTAATAAAAATATAGTAAATATTAAGAATTCTCAAAAACTTGAGATTAAAATTGCCTTCAATAATATCTATCATGAGTTATCAAGAAAAGTAATGTAGTGATCCGACAAATTGTAACATTAAAATAAACCTTTTTGTATAATCTTCGGAGAGAGCGCAAATTTTATAGCCAATTGTCACCTGCGGTTTCCAAGGTAGACTAAGTTCTACCAATATCGATGACTGATCATCCCCTTTTTTCAATACTCTCAATTCACGTAGTATAAAACCCTCATGAAGGCGTAAACGTATAAAATACTCCAAATATGATTCATACTCCATACTGTAGTGCATTCGACGAATAACACCACTGAAATAGTCATTAATACTGGGAAAAAAAAAAGTTAATAAACAAACTTTATTAAAAGCAAAACACAAAGCATTATTCGGAAACACAAGCATTATTCGAAGTTGAAAATTTTTGTGAGAAAATTTACAAATATTTATGGGAAAAAAAATTCCCAGGTCAAAAAATTCCCAGGTTTGGAAAAATTATTTTTCGTTCGAATGAGGATGAAAAACTGAAGTTCGAATGAAAAGTTGAAGTTTGAAGGGAGCAAAAATTCTTAACAGATTAGAACACTGAGAAAATACATACCAAGTGTATGGTTCAACAAACTCTGGATTAATTTGCTGAATGAGATCTTTAATATAATTATCTGATGTATCCAACAGCTGAAGATTCTTGCATAAAAGTGACTGACTTTGAATTGGATCAAGACCATTCTAAAAAAGGAATAATACCGGTCCCCCATACACAAATAATAATTAAAAATTTTAACAAAGTGTTTCCCTTTTCGTTTTACTTTTTTAACGTAATTTTAGAACTCACATCTGCGGTAGCTTGATATTCGTCTGGTATATAGATGCCTGATGTTCCCCTTGCAAGGAAAGTCAAAAAACCGGGTGATGAGAAATGTCCAAACACAGCATTCGTATTGCAATCTCCTTGAATCTTAAGTGATTCAGGAATAAAGTATAAAATTCACAGCTAATGAAGAAAAAAAAAAAACAATAAATAAATACAGACTATATTTTCCCATACTTCACCTTTATTTCAGTCATCATCCATTACTAAAACTATAAAAAAAATTACCTCCTGAGTTTTGAAATATACGAAAAATCAGACATATCAAATTGTAAAATGATGCCTATGTACTCAGAACCTAATACCAGATATTGTGTGAGCTACCAAACTTAAATTAAAAAACGAACTCATCAAAAGCTAGAAGGGATACACGAAAATCAATTTTATGATCGCTTTGAGATACTTATAAAAAAATCTGTATTACTTGTATAAATGAACAAGCGATGGAGTAATTTCGTAGTTGAACCATTAATTTTTGTAAAGCGTGTATATCTGTTACATTACATACTGCATCCGTGATCAATACTATGTCTGGAGAAGTTTTTTAGTTAAAAAGTACAAAACGGATGAAAAATTAAAAACTGGGAATTTGAAATTCCAAAACTTAAGTGATATGCAGTGGACATATGTATCTCACAATAAGAAAACTAATACTAATTGTGACATGAAGTTTTTTGCAAAATTTTTCAAAAACGAATCAGACAAAGACTATGGAATTAAATAAGAATGCAAGATTCACGAAGCTTTTTTATGATTTTTTTCGATTGTATTCCTGTCTTTATAAGAAAATACTATTATTATCTATATCTTACTGGGTTGCGCTGTGTCTGGTAGCAATTGTAAACCAATAAGACCAACTCGTAGCATAAACATCAGTGACCACTCTGAATTAATAAATCCTTCATCAGTACGACTAGTTCGAGAAGTCATTCTGCAAAGACAATTATATAACATATACAGAATTGTAATAGTTATTTTTGGCTGACAGTTATTTTTGACTGACAATTCTTGCAATTGTCAGTTAAAACACATTTTTAAAAATAAATTTTAAACAGATGTCTCTAATACTAAATAGTAAAGTTTCAGAAGTATAGAATTTACTACTGCTTTTATCAAAAGGGAAACGGAAAACCAACTGAGCAGCTAACAGGCCGTGCATTGAATCCCTGAATCCATCCGTTGCGTGGGATTGTTGCCGAAAGAAGTTTTCCGGTAGAAGATCTCCAGCTCTCTGCAATTACTCATATACATCATGGATTACTGCATCTCAACACACATAATGCCTTATTTTTAGTTTCTCTAGCTGTTTTTGGAATTTCAGAGTGTAAAGTAAAAAAAGATTTTTCCTAATTTTTTCCTCATAGTAATCAATTTCGAGAAAGATTGAAAAATTATGCTATAAATGTGCGACTACTATACGATCAGGTCAAAATGTGATATGTTGAACTGGAAAAAATCAAAAGCTGCATAAACTTTTCAAATTTTTCATAAAAATCAGAGGAAAAGTATTCAGAGAACTATATGCAGGTGTATATAGTGCCACCATTACCTGTCGTAATTTCTTTCGCTCGTGATTCCACTTTCTCAAATGAGGTTGTACAGTCCAACATAGTCTATTAGAGAACAATGCAAACCGTTCTTGGACATATTGTAGAATACAATCGATATTCTTTTTCGTAAGCAAACAACCTTGCACTATAACCTATAAAAACTGTTGACTTTAATCAACTGCTAATTTAAGATTTTAAATTACAGTTTCAAATTATCAGTAATATTCGCCGAAAAATTACAACATATTGCTGCCTCTTGATCTCATATTTTTATCCATATTCATATTTTATGTGATTCGGATAGCTTTCTCATACATGCATCAGACAATAAAAAGAAGCTAATAATGCTAATAAGAATTTGATGAATTATTTATGTCAGCCGTAAGTTCCAAAATCATATTCTGTAATAAAAATGTCATTTTCTGAAACTATTAACTACTGGTTTACATTCTAAATTTTAACCAATGTTCTCCTTTAAACAAAAATTTCTAATTACTAACTCTATCCTCATCGAAAGCAATAAATGGACTATAGAAACAAATCGTAATAAATATTTCGGGAGAAAATTTATTTGCTGGTAGAAAATTTCCATCCACAAGAAGTCCTTCCAGGCATTGTTGTAATCGGTTGATAATTTTTGAATGTGGCACACAACTTGCTGCCCCATCCTATAAAATAATTAAATAAGCACAGAAAATGAAATAAATTACACTGAAGTGAGAAATATTAGTTTTATTTCTTATTTTCTGTTGCTCCTTAATCTTTTCCATTCGTATCGCAGAAACCAATCAGATTAACTCGCAGTGAATGAAATTAATAATGTTTAAAAAATGATAAAACTCAAAAGAAATGGATAAAATACTAGCTGAAGCAATAAATATCAAGTAATAAATATCACTAGTAAAATCAATTCGGAATACACAGAAAAGAATTACATTAGTGAAATAGTTGTTAGCACACTAATTGGATCCTAAAAATTGCCAAAAATTATCATACAAATTGGTTTGAAAAAGAAAAACGAACCACAATGAAAGTAGAAGGACTGATATCAATGACAAAAACAAAACGATAACTTCGGGCAACATATGATATTAGTGTGTTGCTTGTTACCAATAGCTTTTCATCACTGTGCACTTCATGACCATCTCGAGCACTGATTTTCACAATCTCTACTTCATTCTCATCCTTGAATGACTGATTTGTTAACTTTATCAGACAATGGTACCGAAATATAAGCCAACAACTTTACAATTTCTAAATTATATGCTTTCAGATACACCTTTTTATAGATGACTACATCCGTTTCCCAATACAATAATTAATCAAACGCGCTTTAAAAATTATTATGCTATGTAATCCCAAGTATTAATAATAATATTTTAATGATTAATCATCAATTTCCTTTGACATTCACCGACAGCAACTTGATTTAGTCGACTATTCATTTCATTTGTTAAACTTGATTAATCGTTCAATTTCCAGAACGAATACTGCTTCACGCTATCGATTCTTATTTTTATTTCGAACAATGCTTTGTTAAAAAATGACTCAGACTAAACAGCACACAAATTTATGTTCTGGCTTCCCATCTGTAACAAAAATAAAAAGAACTTCGCATTGCAAAAGGCTTCAACCATCGAGAATTTTAAATCTTAAATAGATAATAAATAACAATTATTAGTAAGATATTTGATAACATTCACGAAGTAATACTTCATTTGATGTTTCGATTCCAACTGTGCTATTAATATGTTTCAGATACCATAATGTTTGAATGTATTTGCCAGTTTCCGAACTATTCGATACCAGTAGTATTACATTACTTGCTTCTCGTACAGCACAATCCGATGAATTCTTAGATTTATTTAATTCATTTCCCTCTTTATTACAATGATCGTTAATATTTTCCATACATTAGAAATTCTATACTTACAACCTAAAAAAGGATCCTTTGTCAAATTTTAAATTTAATTTATTCATGCAACTATGATTTTAGTTGAAAAACTTTGAAGATTTATTTTCACTCGTATATCAAAACAGCATTATAAAAACTGATCACAAAAATTTTGAAATTCAAAACCTTGAACTTCAAATCATTAAAAACTTAATTAAACAAAGAAGGAATAAAAAGGCTTAAACTATTTAAGATGCTGTATGTTGCTTAAAATTAAAGGAAAAGCAACTTAAAATTAAGCCTTTTTTTCACCAATTAATGTTGATATTTTTGAGGAAATCATTTGTAAAGAAATCTATATAAAAATTATGCAATTAATTATAATCTGTTTAGAATATCTTCGTCTAGCTAGTATCTCCAGCACAATAAGTTAGATATATATATAAACAAATTATAAATTGAACAAAAATACAAACGATAAAACAATTCCATGCTTTATTAAATTTATTTATCATCACCTAAACATTTAATAAAATTTAATGAAATTGGAATAAATACTACAAATGCTTCGACTATAATTGTTTATTACTTTTAAAAAGAATTCACATCCTATCAGGTAAGCAATAAAAATAAATCAATTCCTATTTACACAATTGTAAACAACATAGTGCCTATTCGAATCAATCAATATTTGTGTACATCAACACAATGAATAAAACTACCGAATAGTTTGTCATTTCACTTTTATTTTACACTATTTTCATCATCTTCATTTCAACTTTTTCTCTTTTTACATCACTTAATTGCGATCACTTTAAAGCATTTTCATTATTCTGAAACGATATAACAACAGATAACTTTTCCAAATGCAAAATTTAAATTTCAAAAATTTAAATCTCTCACCCAACCCCAATTGCAATCTCCAGTGCAAAAGCCAAAAAGTACCGAGGCCAAAAAATCCACCACGTTTTGGAGGAAAGAAGAAAACATGGCCCGTAAAGAATTAGCTAAAGAACGAAAGATAAACCACTTTGTCTCTACGAAACAAAAATTATTTTTCAAGAAGACTTTTTGTTTTAGAAGATTATTTGTGTGACTGATTAAATTTTAGAAATTGAACAAAATTGTTTTATATTTGGAATAAGGCTAATAGTCAACAACAGATTTTATACTTTAATTGTTGGACTATTTCATAACAATGAAATATTAAATTTAATGTAAATATTGATTTCAACTAGAATTCTCCATTCATCATTTGCATATATTCATAAATTATGCCTCTTTTTTTTTTGAATTTTAAAATTAGGAAGTTAATTCATTCAAATATTCAATCATTTTTATCTTTTCGAATTCATCACCATTAAATTCTTTTTTTGTATGTTCAATTTTTATTTTCATATTGAATTAATTATGATTTCTATTATAATTAATTATAATTTGTGTTTCCTTTAAATTACACCGTAAATAAAACTATGTTGTTTACGAAAGGAAATCAATGATCAATTATCGATTTATGAGTTTACAGCTAATTAACTTGAACTTAATTCATATCCATTCCTGATTAATTACATCTATCAAATTTACGAGACGCCACGTGATTATACCTTGTAATATGTTTATTGAGTACTTTCCTCTTGCAATTACAATGATTATTATTCAAGGTTTATTGTATTCGGAATATTTATAAACTTCATTTACATTCCTTCCTTCACATGTGACTTCACGTACGTGTACAAATTAATAATTATTGAAGTTTAATTTAGAAATTTTTGAAATTTCCAAATTTTTTCTACTTTAGAGTAATATCTATTTGCATAATTCAATTAAAATATGTTCACAGTACCATTACATATTGGCAATTTACAAATTGATTTTACAAAACGCTTAATTTCAATTGATCGATTTAATGTTGTAATTAATGATAATAATATTAATGTTCCTACTGCTATTATTCCTGCTACAATAAAACGGGAAGAATTTAAGCGAACATTAACAATAAATATTGGATGTGCTATAACTGATCAAACTATACAACTAAATGAATATGCAATAAATGATAATTTATTATGGATTAAAATTAATGATGGAACTGAATTATTAATTAAATATGATAGAAAGGAGGAATTATTTGAAAAATATGAAATTGAATGGTCAAATATCAAATGTTATCATTATATGAAAGATGTGATAAAGGCTGATGCTAATAGCCAATGGTATGGTGGACCTCAAATAGCTCAGCAAACTTGGCCTTTGGCTGAAACTCTGCAACAATTTTCACCGTATTTATCATCGGATACATTAAAAGTAAGCTATTATAGTATGTAGTCTTACTAAAATTAATTTTTCCTTCTATTATTAATTGTTTTTGTTTTGTACTAAACTTTTTAAAAAGTCATCAAATAATAATTATAAAAATTTTTTTGAAATTTACAAGAAATTTTAAACAAATTTTCTGTAAACTATTATATTGCATATGGAAAAAGATTTTTTTTGTTTTTAATTTCTTTTAGATATTTCAAAATTATAACTCAATTTTATCATTTTCATAATAATGCAAAAAATATATCTGGAATGGAGCGTTACTGGTTGTGTTCCAGTAAATTTGCTATTTATGTACCAGATAATATACCACTTTGGACATCATATAACTATGACAAACTTTCACTTCAAGCACAAATTGATAATTCTCCTTACATTGGTTTCTTTGTAAGTTACGGTTTTTTTTTTTCTTTTCAAAGAGAAGGAAAACTTGAAATTATCCGGAAAAAAAATAAAAATATCAATTGAAATTACTTAAAAGTTTGAAAAAAAAAAGACTCTTTATACATGTTTGCCAGATAGTTTACTTGATATAATGATAAAATTTCGTGTTGTAGACAAAATAAGAATTGAGGTTTTTAAATTTTTAGTTTATTTTTTTGATTTTTTTTTTTTTGTTTTCCATTTGAATCTTAAAGATGGAAATGATCTAATCAACTGCAGTATTTTTCAAATGTTTTGCTATATTTAACTTCTAAAATTTGCTAATACTAAAATGTTTTGAAAAAAAAAAGTTGATTTTTTTCTAGCAAACTTTGCTTCTTGTTTTTTTTTTATTTGTTTTTTAGAAAAACATTTTCTTTTTTAGGCTAATACTGTTGCACCAAGTCTTTCCTATTCAATATTTGTAGCAAAATGTTGTACGCTACGTGAATTTCATATCGCTGTTCATGGAAATTTGTATGATTCATGTAAGACTATTCCTGATGAAGCAATGATTCGTAAGCCTATTTGGTCAACTTGGGCAAGGTAACAATTCTTTATATGCCCTTTCATATAGTCAGTTTTTTAAATTACCTCATTGGCCTAATCTTTACTTGTTTAATTATCTATTTATCCAGTGTTCCTAGCCGTCTGATAATAGGTATCAATTTTTGCATTTGTAATTAAAGATACTCAGAAAAAGTAACGCAACATGATGTGCTTGAATTTGCTCAAGAAATTCTAAATAATCATGCACCAATTTGCCAGCTTGAATTGGATGATAATTGGGCTACACATTATGGCGATTTTGATGTATTTTTTTATGTAATTTTAATTCAAATGGTTTTTTAAATTTCAGTTGAAATTATTCTTTCTATTTGGAATTTCTTAAAACGTTGGTTTCTTAGATTTGAAATTAAAAAAAATTTTTTTTTGAAATGAAGATAGTGAATATTTATTGATTAGTTCATGCTAATATCGCTTGCATTCCAGTTTAATAAGGTTAAATTCCCGGATGTGGAAGGTATGTGCAAACAACTGGAACAATTGAATATTCGATTAACTCTATGGGTTCATCCATTTGTCAATTTGATTAGCGAAAATGGGAAAAATCCGACATTACGGCATTTATTTGTGAGAGATTCCAGTGGTCAACCGGGAATTGTTGAATGGTGGCAAGGGCAAGCTTATGTGATCGATTTCACAAATCCTGAGGCAGTGCAGTGGTTTTGTGAACAGCTGGAAAGAATTAAAAAGGTTAGTTGATAAGAGATCAATTTAATTAGCAGGATTTTTCAAAATTGAATTACTCTACTGTTTCACTATATTGCTAATGATGGAAAAGTTTTAAGTTTTTTAAAAAATAGTAAAGGGTAGGAAAATTTGTTTAAGATTATGATCAAAGATAATTCTGAATCCGATCAAATATGAACTACTAGAAGAAAAGGATAATGACGAAAGATAACGACAACTGTAACTGATCCGGAAAGAATAAGCTTATCATATGCTTTCACATATTTTCAGGTTGGCATTTTCTCATTCAAATTTGACGCAGGTGAAGTGACCTATCTTCCAGAAGATGTTCATCTATATTCTGGTGCTTCACCAAATGATTTTTGCGAGGCTTACGTACGTACAGCCGCATCGTTTGGATCTTCAGTTGAGGTACATATTGAAACAAATATAAATTTAAATGATAATAATTCATTTATTTTCCGAATAATTATTCCCCTGATTTTAAGTTATTAATTAATATTCACAAAAATTTCACAACTATGAATATATAAAACAATGTTTTGCCTAGAATAATTCAAAGTTGAACATTAAACAAATCTCGATGCAAATATACTTGCATAGAATAAGAACTAATTAGGGTGAATCTTAGTTATAACGATCAATTAAATAAAATATAACTATCATTCATTTTTTAAATGGATTAGTTCAATTAAGTATGTAAATCTGAATAATTTAATTAATTTTGTAAAAAAAAAATTAGGAAAAGTATGCATTTGTCAGTGCTTGTATTAATGTGTAGTATCAAAATGAAATTTACTGTATTTTATTTATTACAGGTAAGAGTTTTTCGTCGTACACAATCTCTGCCCATATTTTACAGGACAATGGATCGCTTATCAACCTGGTTTGTATAGTTCTTATTTATTTTTTCCAAATTTCTACAGTTAATAGGGAATGATAATCTGTATTCTGGTCTGTTACTATGTAATTAATTGATTAATTTATTGCAGTGACTAATTAATTTTTTTTTGAAGGCACGTGTGTAATTTGTGCAGTTTTCGATTTTTATATTATTAAGTATAATTTTAGGAATAACATTGGTTTGAACACTTTAATACCAGTGGTACTTAATTTCGGACTACACGGTTATTATTATAATTTACCGGATATGATAGGTGGTAATGGATATGGTGGTGAAAAATGCAGCAAAGAATTGTATATTCGTTGGATGCAGGCATCCTTTTTATTTTAAGGAACGAATAAATTGCTGCACATATTTCTCATTTATTTCCAAAATTTTATTTTTTTCAAAATTTATTTATTATATTTTAATTTTTTCTTATCATTTTACATATGAAAATAGTATTTTTTATAGTTTAATAATGGACAATACAATAGTTTTGTCTATACCAATTAATTAGTCAAATGTGAGTAACTCTCTAGTCATGTGCAGTCGCTGAAAGTTTTCATTCCGTTCGGGAAATCTGTGCATGGGATAATTCAATTTAAGTGGTTCATCCAAGTTTTTATCCGGTAGTTCTGCTAATTGCAACAAATATAAATGTGATAACAAATGCTTAATTATTATTATTATTATTATTTTCTTAAGGCAAATGAATTCCTGCTGTCTATGCAATTTTCATATCCTCCATGGCAGTATGACGATGAGTTGTGTGATATTTTCCATCGCATTATGCAAAAACGAAATGAGATGATGAATTTTTTAATTGAAGCTTGCCGGAAAAGTTGTAAAAGTGGTCAACCCGTAATACGGTTTGCAATTCCTTTGTGTTATTTAATTGCATTGAATTTCTATTAAATAATTGCATGGTTCTATGTTGGAAAATCCGGAAGTATGACTTCCGTATGTTTGCTATAAGCATCATTCCTTTTACAAAAGAATATTCAGTGATTCGCTGAAGCTGATTAAAACACCAATGAAAAAAGATATTTAATGAAAAATCATATTTCTCATATTTTAGGCCGTTATGGTGGTTATCGGAAGATCCGGAAGCACTGTATTCTGGTGATCAGTTTGTAATCGACGATACTATGATTGTTGCACCAATTTTGACTGAAGGTGCAACATCACGAAATGTTTTTCTTCCAAATGGTATTTGGGAGCATGAATTAACGCACAATATTTACATGGGACCAATTAAATTGACTGTTGAAGTAAGTAAATTCAAGGTGGTTTTGAAAATAAAATTTCGAAAGAAAGTTACGGCACTATTATCCTCTTTCTTTTTTCAGGCTCCTCTTTTCCATCATGCTCCACCATATTTTACTTCTGTTGAATAATTGTTTAGCAGAAATATTTTTCCGGAAATGTTATTATGGCTATTCTAGCATACTAATGAATTGACTCCATCTGCTGATTTCTCTTTCTTCCAACGTTTGATTTAATTGAAGTATGTTAATATATCTTAATTATATAGCCTGTATAAGAAAATTGAATGAATCGAAATCAAAATATTAAGACAAAACTTGAATTTTATTTTTGTATAAAATATATTTTTTGCTTCCTCTATCTATTCATTTCATTGCCTATATGTCTGATTCAAAATCATTTTAATTAAAATTTCAAGATTCCTCAAAAGCCGATTCTGGCCAATGTAATCTTTCCATAGAGCCATATTTTTTTTATTTAGGAAAAAGAAAAACATCATCGGTGAAATTTGAATCTCAAAAATATAAAGCATAAATTGGTATTCCCGCTTTGAATATTTTTTCCTTTGTTATTTTTAAAATGAAATGCTATAAATTTTTACTGCAAGCACTAAAATATTATTCATTTATATCATTATTATATTCTTGAAATTTAAGCATTTTTCTTGTTAGTTGAAGAGCAATTATTTTAAATGTACATTCATTTCACCAAACTTTTGCTCTTGTATTTCTTGCTGCGCTATATTCTGCGGATCATTTGTACATTTAGGTGGAAATGATTCGCTCCCTCCTGTAACAATTTTAGTAAATTCAAATTTACTTATGCATAATGCAGAATGCACACAAGTTTGAATTTCTCCAAAAACAAAAAAAAAAAGAAAGGATTTGTTTAATGATAAAATAAAATACCTTTGTGGGTACCTGGTGAACCGTATGCTGTTACTCTAGTTACTTGGAAATTTTCTGGAATTTACCGTCTAAAATGCTCACTTTTCGTTTTATATTTAAAATAGTTTTAGTAGACTGATGAGTTCATTATTTCACATTTGAAATTATCAACAACAACATAACCCAATGTTTTCCAACGTTTCAAAAAAATTTCAAACTTCGAACCTCCTAACCTCTTCCATAACATATCTTTGTAGGACCAATCCACTTTTCCGACCGCTCGTTACAAGTCCAATTAATTAAATGGAATCTTTTATTTCTCTTCCACTCATTTCTAATAGTACGAGCATCAAATTATAAAACCATATTTTTTTTCATTTAATATGTATGAAGCTAATCATTATCACGATTGTACATCAAACACCAATCTCTTAACCAAATAACACCAAATGAACCTGATAGCTAACATATCAGCAACTCCCACAAAATGCTTTTAACCATTATAATCAGAATATGATGAATGATGCTATCAATTGATAAGAAGGAACTGAAGACTGCACAAGCAACCATTTCTAGATTTCGAATTCAAAAAATAATTAATGTTGTGGAGAATATAAGAACAGGGGAATAAACTGGGTAAAAAAGAAATGATGCAACATTTGAATGTGCTATATGAGGAAGAATTATCATCTCATTTTGTTTTCATTAATTTATTATATATCCAATTTCAAATGTAACCTTCCAATTCCTTAATTAAAGAAAAGAAAAAATGCCAATAACTATTCTCATTTTCCATAATGGAAAGAATAAAGTCGTGAAGAACAAAAAAAGTCACAAATAAACGAACTATTGTTTCATTTGCATCGTTCAACATCAAATACAAATATCACAAATATCAATTATAAAATTAATAAACTGCTTAAATGAAAACAAAAAGAAAAAAAAAACTTCCATTAAATAAGAACAAAAGCACAAAAATTTGAAGTATGCAAAAATAAATGAAAGAAACACTACGACAAGTAACAAGTCTCACAGTATGATTTTAATCTATTGTGAAAATTCTGATGAAAAATTAATACAAATAAAAGAAATCAAATAAATTAATTCGAGATATCGCTTCAAAAAAAAAAAAAAAAAAAACGACCGTATTCATCACCTAAACACAATTTGTTTGTTTTTTTTTAACAGAAGGAATAAATGGAAGAAATAATCATAAATAATGCAAAATGCAAATAAAATGAAAGCAAAAAAAAATTAAGTCAAAATTTATACGAACAATTAATTCAGAGCTGTGCTACTACTAAGCGGATAATATATAGCAAATAAATAATTTGATACACAATCATTGATAAATAAAGAAAGAAAAAATAGAACAAATAAAAACATAAACCATATGTATAGACAAATTACAAATGAAAGAAGCAAAAATGATTTGTACAACTGGTTAAAAGAAAAATAAAAGTTGGCACCGGAAGACTGTAAAAAGTTCCGGAAAAAAAAAAAATTTCAATTTTTCATTTTCCAGAAGTTATGAATATCCCTGAAGTTATGCTAAATATGAAAAAAAAGTAATAATTCCGGAATCCAGATTTCGAGAAAAATTATAAGGTTTTTTTCGGCACATTATACGACTGTAGAAAAGCAAAATATAAATTGCAGGATGATATGCAGTGTGTGTGTGTGTGTTGTCATACATAATTTCAAAATAATCTGAGCTGGAAATTAATATCCATAATTGTAAACGTGACAAGTCTCAATCAGAAATAATCAGGAAAAAATTTTCTGGCATATTTGTCACTGAGTACCTCAACTTGAGCCTATATTATTCACTGCATTCTAAATAGTAAAAACAAATTATTAAAAAAAATCCTATAAGTTTATGAAAAACCAATAAAAACCTGAAACCAACAAGAAAAAACTGCAAAAACCTGCTTACAAAACGAAAAACGAATGTCGTTATCGAAATCGAAGTAATGAATATCAAAAAGACTGCAGCAAAGGATGTTAAAATGAAATAAATACAATTTAGTAGGAAATCAGATACAATCTAGTACAAAATGAAATACAATCTAGGATAATAATTATAATAATCATATAATTCACAATTCTAAATTTGCAAAAAAGTGAAACAATATAAAAATAATACACTTCCAAATATTTTAAATAAAAGAAATGAAGAGAAAGATTCAAATAGTCTTCATAGCCCGTTAAAAGTTTCTTTTTGTTGTTTTTTTGTTGTTTTTGTTTTTGTTTTTTTTAAACACATAATGCGACCTTTCAACTAATACAGAATAAAACAATCACCAATTATTGCTGCACAATCTTTCACTAAAACGAACCTCGGACATAAGTTGACTTCAAAAATTTAAGTCAGTAGTACATATTTCTGCTTTGCGTAAAATTTCTTAAATTTTCACTTTCTGCGTCTTTTCATGCTAAATCAATCTCAAAACTCAATAATCAGGAAGGGAATCTCAAATATCACAACAACCTCTTGAGCATAAGACCAAATGAACATTCATCTCTCAATTGATGAAGCGATTAACGGCATTGCAAAGCCACATAAGTGCTTGAATATGAATGGGTAGACAGGAACGCCGCTCACCGCTTACCAGATCCATATTGAGCCAGGATAAGGCATTGTACATTTCCAAAACATACCTCAAATTAAAGTATAATATTTTTTCAAGAAGAGAAGTTTTAAAAATAGATTGGCAAAATACAACTGCTCTTAATTTTAGCTGAAATCTTTCCAGTACAACTGAGGAAAAATGATAATAACAACAACTTCCCGCGGTGACTGTATAATGGAAATCTAAATTCAGAAGCTCTTAATGCAAAGGAAATTTAAAGTACAATGAAAATTTAAATTCAGAAGTTACGCTGCTACAAAAAAGCTGTTCAATTAATGCTTGAAGAATGTTATATTTATATGGAATAGTACCTGAGAACATCGGCTGTTGCCTGGCTATCCAACTGGTGATGACAAGCTTCGGTACCTTTACCAAATGACGAGATATCATCGCCTTGTTGAACATTCGGCGTATTTAAATGAAGTGAACTTTTCAAGTGTACCGGATTTCGTCGCTTCGCAGAAGGACAAGCTGACCAGAACCATTCCGGCAAATCCGATGCTGGTGCTGTTGAAATATAGTAGCCGGTAGCAAGCGGTTGATTTTCTATCGAAACATCTAGAAACATTGATTGATTTTTCTGAAATTTCCAGGTGTGATAGATGGAGTCAAACAGAATTTATGAAGTTTATTGAACAAGGAAGTTCGAGTGTTCAAGTAAAACTCATAAAATTTAAACCAAAATATGACTCACTGTAATAAAATAAGCTTTAAAAAAAAATAAGCATATTGGATTTACTCCAATTTTATGGCCCTGAAATGCATTTCTTCTAGCAGGCATATTATATACCTCAACCATTCCTGAATAAAAGTACAAAAAGTATATAACAGAATTATAGTTATCTTACAGATCAAATAACTCATGCTGCTAAAAATAATATCTGATTCAAAATTAAAAGTAACATTAAAGAATGAATGTAAAAATTTATCTTTGAATACTGTCATTTTATTTTTAAAGGATATGTTGTAACATTTTGATATGCTCACCAGCATATTCACTTGGAATCCCTGTATTTCCACCCAGCCGAAAGCTTGCCGATTGTGGCGGTGGTCCAGTTCCATTTGTCATCAAATCCTCACCGTTTCCAATCAATTCACTAAATTCCTCACCAATTTCTTCCGTTAACAAATTTGAAAAGTCATCCTCCTCCAATTCAGCAACGCCATTCCCACCTTGATGATCTAACTGTAATAAGATTTACAAATTACGAAAATATTAAAATCACGCAACATATAAACAGAACTTATTGAATTGTAAGTGACGAAAGAGTATCAGATATTTGAATCCACCACCTGTTTGCCGTTGTTATGAAAGACTGAAAATTTGGTAGTAGTTTGAAGCCGTTTATGTGTCGATAACAGACAGATTAGAATGCTAATTTTTAAGGTTTTTCCATTATCAAAAGCTCGACCCAAAAACAAAATTATTTCAATGGAGCGAAAGTAATTTTTCCTGCATTTATACTTCAATTCCGAGACAATTAATGTTTATATTTTGAAAAACTGATATGAAGACCATAGAATATGTCCAAAGTTGAAATTTTTACGTTATCAAATTTTCAAAGTAGAATCTACAAAAATTCCTCAAATAGCTCTTAAGTTCTGAATATAATTTTGTGTATAAAATGCTCTAAATATTTGAAGAAACATACATTCAACTCGGGACTAGTAGGAAAAACCAGAATATGTGTACAGCTTGTATCATCAGGTGTCGTCAGTGCACGGTGTCGAGAGTTTTTCAAGAAACGATCATCGTGCTGAAAAGATGATGGGAAAACACGAAGGTGTGCTTCAGGTTCTAGGCTGACCAAGCAAGCTGACAACACTCCAGGAACTTCCTAAAACATGAATGTTACTTCCAGTTAAATAAATTTATAGTGACAAGTTCATATCATTTAGAAATTTGGATTAAATTAATGCTGTTCATGACATAAATTTGCTGAGTAATTCTTGGGTCTGAATAAAAAACAAGATCAAATTTGAACAAAAAATTGATGCACATTATTCGTTTCGATAAGGAAAAATAAGAAATACCGAAGTTCCGGGCATCACATGGCATGCCCGACATACATGTTTCATCCGTGTCCCAACCTGTTTCAAATAAGATTTGCTGAGAATTTGAGTCCAAACTAAAATAAGCCGAGTAAGAATCATTTCAATCAAACTTAACCACCAAGGTCTATTACTTCGCAATCACTTACTTTAAGAGAGTGGGAATTTAAATCAGAAAACCAAAATTTTCGAACTAATCATTAAATGATAATCTATGATGAAAAGAGAAACAACGATGTGCGCATGAAAACAAACTTATAGCCGAAAATTTTGGGCTGATAACTCATTCATAATTTACTTAGCTTAATTTAGTTTCAAATTTAAATTGATTTTTTATCATATTAAAACAGGGATGCTCATTCCTGATACCAGTGCTCTGGAAATAATAGATGTGACTAAATATTAAAAAAAAAAAAAAAAAAAAACTTACATTTAAATTCCCCATGACCAATACGTCCAACCCTACCGATAACAAGCCTCCAATTCCTAGTACCATTGGCCAACGTACCCAGAATGTATGACCACAAACGATACAAACTGTCCCGGATCTGTGTCGACTGTTTGTACCTCATATTCACCCTGCAATAAACAAGATTTTCAAATCAGACCGCTATTTACACTAACCCATGTCATTCGAATATAATTCCATATATACTGCCCACAGTTAGATCTCATGATCTTCAAGTTTGTTTGCACCGTCGAATCCTTGGAGTAATATGATGTTACCCCATAAATCAAAAGAAAAGCTGCTTTCAGAAATCTTATCTTTTGGTCACTGTGAATGGTTTTGTGAGAAAAAAGTTCAAGTTAAATAACATATAATTATTCCACATAGATTACATAACGTACCTTTTATGATCAGGTTTTAATCTCAAATTAATCAAGCAATTATCGAGCGAATGACCTTGATGATCCGTTACGGTGGCAGCAAGCCAATCATTCCCTATTAAACAATAACTAACAAACAGTACAGCTTCATCAGTATTAATTTGCATGAGATCACAATTTGGACGTTGCATTACCGGTGATGGTGGAGCAAGAATGAATGGCTTGCTTGGGACCTGAAATGAATAAGTACAAAGATAAAATAAGTTTTGAAAGATGAAATATGATTCATATTGCATTTAATAATTACAGCCGCAAATTTCAAAAATATTTCGAGTAACTCAGATAACTTTTTAAAAGCTCAAGGACACACTGGAGGGTTCGAATTAGTAAAATTTTTAACAAAGATGATAGTAATAAATCTGAAACTTTTACAGCATTATGGCAAAATCAAAGATCCAAACGTAAAAAAAAGACCAAATACCTTGTAATAAATAGGTTCTTTTCGTTCCAGTTCGTTTAACAAATCAACCATAGCTGATGCGGGACCAAAACGTGTCATACTTTTTGGCAAAATTCCCCGTACAATATCTGGTAATACTACACGTGAATGTGTGTAAACCGAAAATGCAATAGTTTTAAGTGAATCGGATGATGACAACCGTTCATTTTGAGATTTTTCCAAACGACCTGAAGAATACTACCGAAAAATTAGTTTGTTGATAAATCAGACTAATCAAAAATTGAATTCTTTATATATAAAAAAAGACTGAATTATAGAGAAATGTGACTTGACTGTAAGTATTAAACTTCATATGATAAGACCACAATAATCTACCAGCACTTTTTAGCTTGTAAATCATAAAATCGTATATTTTTAATCACTTGAATTCACTGAAAGTGAAGCTTTTCTTTTTCTCCATCAGTTTCTTTCTTCTAAAATGATATCTCATGATTGTAAAAATAACGCATACCTTGATCATAGCCATTCAAACGTCCGCGTTCATCTTTTAGGAAATCAGCAGAAGCACCACAATAATCGAAAATATTTTGTAATGCAATCATTTCCAGTTGTAACTGTGGTCGACGCTTATTGTTTAAACGGTAAAGGAGTGCATTAAATGCACGCATTAGAGCAACCGTAACAACTCTTGCAACAAGTGGATTTTCTTCAGCACCCAATAAAAATGGATTCACCTAAATTTTTAACGCTTAAATGAATGAATGATAACCCTAGAAATTATTTTAAGTTAAAAAAACGACCATTTGACCATGACCTATCTATGTGTCCAGAAAATAATTTTTCGGGTAATATTCAACACTTTTTAAGCAATATTTAGACTTTATAGACGTAAATTTCGTAGTATAAATTGCAAATTAATATTAACTGCATGGTAATATATTAAATTTAACTCAAATATGTTTATAAAGATCAACATTCTATAGACTACAAGAAACTGATACAAATATTTACGAGGTAGATGACAATAACATGAGGTAGAGTTCCCGGTTCATCCTCTGCTATGATACCATCAGCTACTAATTGTTCAGTCATGAAAGATGAAAAATTGGTCATATTTTGAGCGCTCCCATCACCGATAGAACCGTCTGGCGTTAAGGATTCACCAATGGTAACACCAGATGAACTTGGACCACTGGTACTATTTGGACCTGAATTGAAATGGATTAAAGCATTTTCAATTTTTTTTATCAAATTGTGCATTAAAAAAAAAACGGTTCGTATTTATCCATTAAATTATTAATTAAATGGTTATGAAAAAGATACCATGTGAAGCATCGCCGGATTGACCGGAGATGATAATACTTCCAGGCGCCGAAGGTGGTGGCATATGGTCAGAACTTGATACTCCGCATTGGTAAGCTGCTATTGAAATGTGTTGCACAGAATGAATCTGAAATTGAGAAGTAATATGGATTATCAATAGAACTTCAATTTTCAATTTTTAATTTGCAAAAAACTGATTCGAAATATATTACGAACAGGAAAATTTTAGCATACTAAAAACGATAACATTACTTGACTTTCAGCCAAAGCAGCACGATATTTGTCCCGGCTAAAGATATCATCATTGTTGATCAGTATACGAGCCATTTCATTTTCGAAATACTGCATATAAACCTGAAAACAACCACGACAAAAATGAGAGTAGAAATTCTATCAGAAATTTACTTATTCGATATCGATCAAGGCAGAAAGATTGCAAGAAAGTTAATAGGAAATGTTACTTATGCTTCTTTTTTTACAATAATGATAGACAATGTTATCACTCTACTACCCCACCTTTCTTTTCTATTTCGGTCTACAAAATTTACCTTTCACGATTTTGAAAAAAATTAAAAAATGAAAATATTCTCAAACCTTTAATCGTGTGATTAACGATTTATTATCGCCAATGTGTCGCTCGACTTGATTCAGAAAATTATCACATTCACCTGGATTAGTTGCTGGATACCTTGTTGGGACACGCAACAGACCATCACGTAATACTTCTCGTGAAAACGGTATATGACGACCAAAACGACACTGCTCGTACATTCTGCATGGAAGGAATAGTTTAAGATAATATATAACTTCACTGGAATATCAGTATGCACATTATACATTACCTTGACAAATCCATGAGATATTTTTTCGTTTTCTCAATACAAATCAAATTATCCGGAACAACACCAATATAAAGAACATCTTTTGGCTGATCATACGGTTCTAATGACATCTTTTCCCACAATCTTATAATTTGTGGTGATGTTATAACTGCATCTTTTTCCGATGCAACAACTATGTTTGGCACCGCCTCCGGTCCGCTATCGTCTTCCTGAAAAAGTTTCGCATTATTTAATGATTTAAATTTGTAATTGTAATTGATTATCAGTTTTTGTGGAAATAATTTACACATTTGAAAAAATGTAATCACGAAACGAGAAACCATACATGAGAAATGAGAACAGAGTAAAGAAAGCGCACTTGTAATTTAAAATGGTTGTAAATTGTAAAAAAAAAAAATGTAAATTTAGTGCTTTTAGAACAAAAGTGAAAACTAAGAGAGAATTTGTGACTTGAAACGAAAACGAAAAAATAATGAGAAGTTAACGACTTAGAAATGAATTAAAAATGTCAATCTTTATTCTAACTGAAGAACATCAAATTCATGCAAATAGAACACTCAGAAGCTATTAGCAGAGCCAAGAACAAAATCAATTGAAATTATACCGTTCCCCCAGCAGCTTTTAATGCTTTGCGATCGAAAAATCGCCATGTCAACGGTCCTTCCACTATGTTATTACTTCCGAACAATGGTGAAGAACGAGCAATTCGTAAAGATTCTTCCAGAATCGGCCCAATTTCTTGCAACAACGCCATGCATTCAGACTCACGTGGTTCACGCATTTCGTTCGATATCTGCAATTAATGAATGGTGGCTTTCGCTCCATATTTACAACCATTTTCTAATTAAAAAACAATTCTTCCATTTTAAGTGAAGAAATAGATCCATTCTTCTTTATCGCGTTGTTTTTCTGTTAGATATTGCCTTTTTCTTTAATCTTATTTTTTAACAATTACTCACCTGAACTCCCCAATCATGAAGCAGCACACTCCGCACATCATGCGGTGGACGTCGGCAATTCATTTCCATACAAGCAACCTCGCAAGCAGCTTGGAATACCAACGGTAATTCACGCTGGTCCACTTCCGAAATGATATACTCACAATGCTTTGATGAATCGGATCCAATGCGCTCAGTCTGTTAACAAAGATTATCATTAAGAATAACAAATTTATGAAACAAACTCATAAAACCTTAATGTTATATACTCTAAAATTTTGTAGATTTGTTTTATTAATATACCATCATCAAAAAACTTCATGAAATAAAAAAAAAATGCGTTCTTCACAAAATACACACTTAAAACTTCAAATTTATTCATAATTAACATTTCTATTCAATGTATACCTGCGAAGCTCGCTCACACTGTAAGCTGAGTAATGTCACCTGATCTAATAAACCACCAAGATCACGCACAAGTGTTTGCTCACGCAGCAAAGCGATGAAATTCATATCCCTTAAAATTAGAGTTGCACGAAAACTGATAAAATTTAATACAATCAAATAGAAAAAATTGCAAATATCATTATAACATTCTTCAGATAATGTTTAAGTAAAGCGGTTCTGTGCAAATATCAATGTGTATTTTCATCCTCTTTCTTCATAACCAGATTTTTTAGCAACCAAATTAATTATTCTGCTCTATATAAATGTGAACCAACCGTCCACTCATTGAGTCGAACCAAATGGTATGTGGAATTGCCGGCTGACTTTGGGTTTCATTAATATCCGTTGCTTCTTTTGCATCTTCAGCGAATAAACCCGCTTTCATACTTAAGTAACGATGCCGCACAGCACTGAAATCAAGCTAACATGGAAATATATTGACAGCAGCAAAGACCTCAAAAATCAGAAAACCAACATAAAGCATAAATTTTATTCTGTCATCAATTAAGATTTACCACGATAACGAATACGTTACTACAATTGACGTTTGCCTGCGTATAAAATGAGAAAACTAACAAAAGAGAATTGTTGTTAAAAATATGTGAAGCAGACGAATTAAAGAGCTTCAAAAAGAATTATAACCAAAAATTTTAAGACAAAATATATATATCAAAAAAAAAAAAAAAAAAACAAAAACAAAAATAGAATCAAACAAAAATTTGATTCTTAAATTACAAAAATGCCTTTTTTTCTAATTTCATATACTTGGAAAACGCACCTAAATCCACAGTTACACGAATTTGATGTACTATTGTAAAATCCACTGGTTGGTTTGCTAACAATTAACTGCTGCTGCGCTGGTGGTTGTCGCAGCACTTCGGGTGGTGTTATATAAACCCCAAGTTCCTGAAAATTTATCAGGTTTCAGTTAACCTTAGAATAACTAAGGGTTGGCATCATCCCTTCTCATTCTCATAACGTTAATCCTCCACTTCAATACAAAACCCAAGCTTTCACTTCAAGCAAGACATTGAACTACAACCAAAACACTTACCTTTGCTCTGATGCTACCATTACACGAACAAATTGGACAGGCATCAAAAACTGAATCATAATGAAGATCCAGAACTGTATCCTGAAGCAGTACAGCGAGTACCAAAGATTTTCCTTCCGGATGTGTCCTTATGTTATTTGGTGGAACAGCAGCTGTGTCCATGACATGTGGCATATTCATTAAACGGCTGAAAAATTTTTTGGAATTTATTTTAGGTATGTGAACCTTACTTATTTGCCATATAAACTTTAACAATTACAGCATTTATATTTTTCACTGCTTAATCTCAATAAATGTTTGACATGCAACGAAACCCATGCATTTCACTTACTTTCCGAATAACCCGCCGTTATTAGGACTTCCGATGGATGATGGCACTGTCATCATAGGATTCTGCGATGTTCTCGGACCACACATCATATTTTGATTTTGTGCTTGCGACATTAACGTGTTCTGACGCATCATATGTGCCGACTGAGGATATATCATTGAACCACCTTGAACATTGTGTACTGCAGCATACTGCTGGTTAATTGATTGAGAAAATGGTGGTGGTGGTTCAACTGGTGCTTGACCCTAGAAATAAAGAACGATTATAGCTTGAAACCATCCATTGTTTGATTTTTTGGAGGATTCTGAATGTACCAATCTCATGCTGGAAATGGTACAACTCCGATAGAATAATGTCTGCACTAATTTCAAACTAATGTAATAAAGCAAGATCAAACCTGCGAATCAATCCCGTAGGAGTCAGATGAATGAATAGGATGTTGTGCTGGCAAGTTCCCATTCATATTACACCGGAACATTATCTGCAATTGGACAAAAACTCCGTTCAATGTATGTAAACATATAACTTATTTTTTGCAAAACTAAACCCTATTTCGGAATAAAATTCAAGATCCGGGAATAAAATTCTACTGCTAATATTGGTGAGAATTGAGGATAATCCGTTATCACCCTTGAGACTATAACTGATTGATTATAAACTGCACAGGATAATCATTAACAACAACTACACAAATGTTTAAAATATTTGATACTTTTAACCTACCTGTTGTTGATAGATGCTCTGTTGCGACGGATTCACGGCTGTCATTCCCACTTGTCCATTGAAATTAGCATTGTTAACAAAATGACTCAACTGTTGGAATGGTTGCTGCGGTTGTTGCATGGAGAATTGTCCGTTTGGTGGTCCCGCAGCATGCATGTTATTTGCGCCTAGCGGTTGCGATGGAGTAGTACCATGCATTCCACTAAGCATATGCGATGATTGCACTGGACCAGTACTCATCGAGCACATTGGACCACCCGGAAATGAAGAGATCGGATTCGGAGCATTCATCACTCCAGGAGGACTACAGAACTGAGCTGACTGACCCATAAAAGGAGGATGTTGTAGTGGACCCGTTTGTGATGAAGCATATGGTGGCATGGACGGTATCCTGAAGGATTCATTTCAAATATGATTTTTAAAAACATGTCAAGAATTTAAATTTTGCAATTAATCTTTGCAGCCAAAAACGAACCTTGCTAGTGGCCGAAGATGTGCCATCGACATTTGCTGATTCATATGGACGACACCCATTCGTGAGGAACTGGGCACCGGTTGCATAATAGTGGTACCACCAGGTGGTAAACAACCACTACTCATCATCATGCTCATTACTGAATTATTGCCATTATAGGATGCCGCCCCAAATGGTGGTCCGTTTGTAACGAAATTAGGCACTCCATTCATTGACATACCATGTGGTAACACTGTAAATGGATAAACTCAGCTGCTAATTTCGACCCTATTAGATTAGATAACATTATCAATGACATTAAGGAGCAGACTAAAAATTGCGGAAGATATTAGCTCCCAAACAATGCGCGAATAAGCGTAAACAAAGTCTAAAATAACCAAAAGGATGAACAACTAACGCCAAGAAGTGCTCAGGACGATGAAAAAGGATAAAAAGTAAAATTATCAATCTGCTCTGACAAAGGGTGATTCAGAAAATAAACAGCATGAAAATGATCCGAATATCTCAGTTAAGTGCAACAATCAATTGATCTACATATAACATGGACAACCATTCATCTTAAAATTAAGAAAATACTTTGCAAAGTTGGTAGACAATGCGAAGAAAACATATGGCCATTGTTGTAGGGTATACGATAATGCCGCACTGTTGTGAATGATGAGTGCGGAGCAAGATTCCGGAGACGTTCACGCATAAATAAGTAATCTGGAGCACGGCCAACTTTCTTCCGCTTTTCACGAGCTGCGACGGCTGCCTTAATTAGCTTTAACTGGTCTGCATAGACACCTTCCAGCATTCGACATTCTTTTGCCTGAAATTTTAAAAACGAAAATCAAAATACAGTTCGAAGTTTTGTTTCCTCTGAACTCCGAAAAAATTCAAAAATGGAAAAGTGGTTCCACTTAATTTCTGACTTCTCTTATAAGTCTTTTCCTTTTAATTAACTATTTAAGTGAGGAATTTTATAAGGCAAAAATCAAACCTAGAAAAAGCATTTATGCTATCTTTTACCCTCCGTTATTCTTTCTAAATATATAGTATTAATAGCGAAGATTTCACCTCCAGTGACAAAAATTCCTTGGCAAGTATATTTCCAGCAAATTTTCTACTTAGTGCCATCTCCAATTGCATAAATTTGCCGTACACCGGCTTCTCACCAATCGAATAATGAAGCTTACCCTGCACAAAATTTTAAATAAACCAATTTTTTTATTCTCAAATGTTGGATCAATGATAATCTACCAGAAGTTAGAGTTTATTTAATAGCTTCGTTTACTGCTCATATACAAACTTTAGCTTTTCAAACCACTATTTGCGAATTTCATGAATAAGAAAAAGATAGAATTCAATTTTGTAAAATTTTCTTCCGGCTTTCACTTTTAATACACATTTTAAAAATGACCGATTAAAAAAGAAATACATTATTATACATATTTAAACTACGAAGATCAAATTTAGCTCGCATTTAGAAAATTTCTACAGCGAATAAGCAAAATAAACTAAAACAGAGGTTAACCAGTGAAAAATAAGTGATGTTTTGTGGATCCTTATTTACGATCACCTCCATAACTAACCCCTTTATCATTTTTTAAAAATAAAAAAATTTGAAACCAGAAGTCTTTCATCGTCATTCTCAAGTTCCCGTTTTATAGTTGGGGTGGCTTCGGTGGTAGCATCTGTTTCCGAAACAACAGTAGGAGGTAGTTGTACAGGAGGAATATTATGGCAAAGGTTTACTGCTGCTGCCGCTGCTGCTGCCATATAGGAAACCGTTGGCGGGTAGAGAATACTAGTTGGATTTGCTTGTATGAGCGTATTTTGAGGACTGAACTGTTGTGACTGAAAAGAAATGAATTTAATAAATTTTTCTCAAAGAAAATTATGACGTCAAGGGGAAATATTTATAACTGAAAAAAATTATAACGAAATCTATACTGGAAAATGAAATTTAATACAATGGAAATCCTTCCTTGTGAAAGACCTATAAAATGAAAAAAAAAAAAAAAAATAACAACCCAAATACCAAATCCTATGACCAAAGTATAAAGTAATCAAATTAACTAATCAATCAATGCAACTGTAAAACTTACCTGAGTTGCATCAACTGATGGTGGAGTTGGATATATCATGTAGTCACCAACTGACGGAGGCCCGCCAACACGTGCCATCTAGAAAATTTTCACACATATTTATATTTATTCTTGTTAAACTCCACAGAAATTATTCAAATATGAAACAGGTTTTCAAATTAAAACTTGTGAACTAAAAAGAAAATCATAACAAACCACATTTGCAACGGTTCCTCCCAAAATCTGCGTAGGCTCAACTCTTTCGTTGCTTGCTGGAGGAGATAAATGCACCGAATCAGTTACAACAGTCTAAAAAAACCAATATTGAGAGAAAGAAAAAAGACTCAAAGATAGTTATGAATGAACTGAAATACATAGAGTTTTCAAAGATTTAAATTCTAATTTTCAGTATACCAGCAAAGATACTGCAGTGGAAGTTGGGAAAACAGAATTTTCGACTTTCTTTCTCGATTTATAGCAAATTGATCAAATTATTTCTCTCATGAATGATTTCTATCAGATCTGGAAATCTCCCAAACTATCTCATCTCTGAATCTGACCTCAATTTACATTCTCTATTAAAACTATAAAACTTACATCAACCGGACTTTTTCTTTCGACCATTGTAATGGCGGATGGATTACAATCGTCAAGGAATAAAGGCTGAGTATCACAATCCGAAGTGAAAATACTGGGAGTTAAGTTAACACCTGCATTTGACGGCATAGCTGACCCGACTAAAAAAAAAATATCTCAATAAATTTTCTGAAATAATTTTCAAAACTGTATTTTAAAACAAATTAAATCAAATACTTTCAAATCCGATTTTTGGATTTCCATAATGCGCACAAAAACAAGTATAAAGTTTTACGGCCAACGTTTATAATGTTACATCGCGACTTAACGTTATTTCAGGTTTTCACAACGTCTAGATATACTTGAACCATTTATTCCAATTGACCAGGTAAAAAAAAAAAAAAGAAAGAAAACTAATTTCTAGTAATAGATAATATTTTTACCAACATTTAAAATAAAAAACCAACTTTGTGAAAATACCGGCAAACTGCGCAAAACGTCCTGCGACTGGGAAGTTGAAACATTAAGAGAAGATCTAGTGTGCGGTACTGCGTTTGAGGATTCGACTACTTCGCCATTGATCACCGATTTGCATTCACGCAATTTAAAGTTACTAGGGCATGTGAAGTTAATGTTATCATCGTCCTCATTGTCTTCCTAAACAAATAAAATCCATAATTAAAGTCTACAATTCAATTCTTGACCCCAGTACTATCAATATGCATTTAAAGGATTCCTTAACAACTTCGCGACAGTTTTAAGTAAGATATTCTAGTAATATTCTAACATTCTATCCTCAGTTTGTCTAAATTGGTTTCTAAAATACCCCCAAAAAGAGAAAAGTTATATATATATATATATATATGTAGCTAAAACCTCACCCACAATTTTTGCAGATATGTGTAAAAAAAACGCTCTCTCATAAAAAAAAAAAACACCTACACCAACTTTTGCTGTCAGAAACGACACATCCAGTGATTCAATACCACTCCATTCTAGCTTCTCATCTGCTTTTCGCTTTCGTCCTTTAAGTTTTTTGCCCTAAAAAAAGATTAAAGCTGGGATCTGTGGCTTCAAATCATTAAATTTTAATGACTCAAATTGGGAGCAGTTATCGCAATCGTAATAGAGATGGCTTTCCCAGTCACGTAATTCAGTTCTTAAATAGATTAAACCAGTCCTATTTGTTTATCAACTATTTCTTTTATGATTAGCCTGTTGCTACTACTCGAATAACAAATTAGAGTCCTATCTACATTTGAGAAATAATGAACTTTCAATTTAATTTTGAGAACAAACCTTTTTTAACCGTAGGCTGTTAATTAAATTAGGTTGTTGATCTGTAATTGTAGGCGTATGTTTCCCAGCTGATGACGCAAAATCATTGCTTAAACAATCTTTTGACTGCATACGACCCAATGATTCCGCTTGGGATGTATCACAAGCTGGAGAACGTGGCCTAAAATGGTTTACTTCATTGAGAAAAGAATCAAACAATCCAGTGAACTGAGATCGATCATTAAGTATTGCAATTGTAAAATCTTAGGTAAGAAAAAATTCATTATGATGTGGGAATTTTATGCTAATTCCTATTAGCGTAAGGCAAACATAAAGCTGATTTATCCCTCCTGAACTTAATCAAAAAGTAAATATCAAATATCGAAGAGGTTTACCGACTAGTAGGACTTAAATTTTGATAGATAGGTTTACAGCTTCCAATTTTACCAAACATTTGCACAGAATTTCTTTGCACCCGTCGACGTTCTGGAGATTCCATTATCGTTGAAGCATCTGGTGTTTTCGGACATATGTGCCTATCTTCTGCAGAGCATAGTGATCAATAACCAAATTGTTTGAATTAAAGCATAATAAAATTAATTCAGCAAAGTTAAAACGCAATACAGTCAGTTATGCAGAATTAATCAGTATAAAACCATAGATTTTAGTGAATCTATTTTCTCATTTTTTATTATTTTCGATATAGTAAGACTTAAATGATGTTATCAAAAATAAAGCTTCATTACGTATTCGAAAAATATTTACCATGCAGCAGGTCCGCGCGCCCAGATCTTGAACTGCTTCTGGAATTACGAAAATAGCTTTCACGTATCCAGTCAAGATTATGCTCACTATCTCCGGTTTCCGAACTGGTAGCTAAAATTTTCTTTTCCCAAGGTGGTGATCGTGGAGGCGATGGAGATCGTGTGCAGGATGAAGAACGTCGATGAAATATAGCTGATCCCCTACAAAGTAACACTGATGGGTATGATTAACCTCGAGAATATAGTGCAGAAATCATGAGCAAAACAGTTCTTTCCTAATATACTCTTAACTAGTTCATGTTCTTTTATTCTTTTCAATAAAAAGATAACTAACTCTTTCTTGGTTTCCAAACTAGAATTCGAAAAATTAACGGGTGTACAACATGACTGATTAGACTCCTGGTCAATACAAGTGTCTGAAAATAAAATCACTCATGAATCCCTCGGATCACTTATAAAAATATTGAGATGTGCGATTTGGCTATTGTTTTTTGAATCAAATTAGATTAAAAGTTTCACCATACGATTTCTGCAAAAATGATATAAAAAAGTAAACGAATGGATAGGATAGATGATTATAATAAATTCTAAGCAAATAAATGTTCAAAGGTCAAATAAATAAAATAAATACATGCCTTGTTGAAGTGTTATACACTGGGATGGTAGACTGGGTAGAGCTGTAGCACTACTAGACTGCTGCAAACGACAATGGTGGCAACCACATCCTTCTTCACGATCCTTTCGTCGCATACCATCTGTGAAATTCCACCTTGAAAGAAATTGATAATATTTGTATAATAACATTTGATCCAAAGTAGCGAAATATTTGCACAAATGTGAACAGCTTTTAAGCCACTATAGAGAACAATTTTACTGATGCAATGAATACATTGCACTTGTTTAAAGGTTGAAACAAAAACAGCAAAATAAGCTGCTTTTCCGCAATATTGAGTTATTTTTAATCATAACATCTCCACATGTTCTAATTTCAAAAAATTCAAGATTAAACTGAATTGGAAAATGAAAAGAATAATTGAGTAATAAATAAAAACTACCGGCAGTCATCATCATTTGTAGCAGCTGACATTAAAAGGCCTAAACCAGACGAGGATGGCGATTCTGTGCTCTCTTTTCGCCGACTGCTTGCCGGAGCAATGAAGGATTCTTCAAAAAACCTTAAAAATAACACTTTATTGGAATATTTTTCGACCTATAAAACTGTAGAAGCTTTCTTCTATGAAAATCGTTACTCAGAAATTTCCTTAAGTCATCAAGGAAATGATTCGAAAAAGATATTCAAATAAAATATAAAATAGTTGCTTAACCTATCAATATTCACAAATTCATTTTAAGTGACACTTATACCTTGCCGTTGTATCTCTTTTTCATTAACACGAAGCGAAAATATTCAAACTCGATTTTTTTAAGTAATTTAAAATTCAAAACATAAATTGGAAACTAATAATAATAATAAAAAAAACCAACCTTTGCGCTGCTCGTGCACCATTCACCATTGTCCCATACATTGCATTATGCCGTTCAGCATTGGATCCTGTGTCACATTCGCTTAGCCTTTTTTTTCGTTTTCGGAATGACGGAGTACTTCGTAATCTCGCATGTCCTCCAGTAGCCGGTGGGGTTCGTGCGGTAAAACTGCTACTGTTACTTCCACTGTTGAAAAAGTCAGAATCTTCATCATTGATAGTTTTTTCATTCTGTCTAAAATAATTCGTAAGGTTTGAAACTTTTAACCCTTAATGAAAGATAGAAAAACAGATATATGATCAAAACAGATAATTCATTTTTAACAACTCCAAAGACAAAACAAGATTGTTAATTAAATTTTGTATTTTATGAAATAATGCCTCAATTCTAAATATTCTTTAAAATCAATCACATCCATAGCAATAATAACAAAAGATGAACCTCAACAACAAATCATCAGAAGCCTGAACAACAATTAGTGAACTTGGGTACCACATATGAACGCCGTCCACATCTACCAAAACCATCTTTGGTAAGCTGTTTTTGGCTGGTGATGTCTGCAAGAAAAAGTTATTCAAATTTTTATACTTTTAGTTAAGCTAACCATCTAACCAATTTTTGTAACATGATTGATGCAGATGCTTTTTTAGATAAAAAATCCAGAGCATTAGTTCAACTGCATCCGACATTCATTGTTACTACCAGAAGACGTGCCACATGTAGAAAGTAGAACGATTCGACAATAACGAAAAGAGCTTCCTGTTATTAAGGAAGTGGATAAATGAACTTCTGAAATTTTGAAGAGAAAAACTAACATTTTCAGTGTAGCCAATGTAGCCAACAGTATCTGCTGAACCTAAGTTCCTTTCAACATTAACAATTAAACAGAAGAATTGCAACCATTCAGACCACAATTTGTCCACTGCAGCTTTTGAAATAGTTCCTGCACCGTCATAACTATTACTAATAGTGTCGGAATCGATCGACGACGATGGAACAGGATTTACTTGATGTGCAACAGAGGATAAACTGGTAAAATTACCTAAAACAATGATAAACATAAGAATTCAAATCGAAAATATATGATACAAAAAATATAAGGTTGAGAATAACTGGGCTGTAATTAAATGTATCTCTGATACCGTAAAAAATTCCAGGAATGAAGGATGGGAAGTAATATTTACCATAGGCTCAAGTGACAAAATCGAAAAACCACAACGATTAGAACAGGTAATAATTTTAGGACTAAAAATCAATTGCGAGAATGATCAAATCCACAATGGCCTGAGGCGAAAAAAAAAAAACTGATGTTGAAATGAAAACTGGAAAAAACATAAAACAAGCCAATAAAACACGTGAGCTGAAACATACCGTACTGTGGTGCAGAAGACTGTTGTTGTAATAATGGTGTAGTAGAATCCACAATCCTCGGTTGTTCGGGTAGTAATACAGCGCGCATTGACCACGGACCCAATATCACCGGTTGTTTCTTACCCAAATCCAAATGACGACGTGAAAGGCGAAATAAAGTAGGCTGACGTTGTACAGAAACTGTTGCACAAACAATATTTTCGCCATGAACGAAAAAATTGAAACTGATCCCATTTACATAGCTGGAAATGAAGTAATTCCAAATAAATTTAACCTCGCGCAACGTTATATAAACTGAAAGAAAGTCAGTCATATAAATAAAAGGTTAACAAGCAAGAAAAAAGATGAGCAGAAAAAAAGCTCATTCGAATACAAAAAATAAACAACTCAATCTTCTCAACCTTCTCTTTTCCTTCTTGCCAACTAGTATAAGGATACAGACTATGTTCCATTGAAAATAAGCAGATAAATACAAAAATTTTCTATTGAAACTTTTATAAAATAAAACAATAAAAACTGTTTACCAACTGCTTCAAAAAGTTCAAGAAAAACATACCTGGGAGAACAGTGTATACGATCGGACGAAGGCACTTCATAAGGACGTGTAAAATATTTTCCAATACGAATGTATCCATTTTTTAGCATATTCCTAAAGACAATTTTTAGGAATTATATTGATTCCTGAATAGAACACAAGAAAGAAATCAGAATGGAGTTAAAACTAAATACTTGATTTTTTACAATTTCCAAACTGATTAAAACTGCTGCATGCTTCTCCTATAACAATTGTTTTTTTCATGACGCCGGAAAATGTACAATAAAAAGTAAAAAGATCAATTTTCAGAAACTATTCAAGTTTTTAAAAATGCAACAGGAAGAAAGATATTTGAAGCCACTAAAATTGAATCCTATCGTGATTACAATCATACGATTCCGGTAGAATTATCTGAACTTACCGCTCGATCAAATTATGTAGTGCCTTGAAGAATAGTGTTCTCGTCTCATACTGTATACCGGGTACCGACCAGTTACCTTGACCATCTTCAGAACCTGAAAACCTCACATTAAAAATAAGTTTCCTTTTCCCAAATACCAAATACTTGTACGTTTCCATTGACAATATATTCAAAAGAACAGAGATTACCACCTTCCTATCGCAAAGTAACGAAATCATCGTTATTATTTATTTCAGCTTATCCATATGGTTAGAACGTTTTTAGAATTTACTCTAGCCAAATTTCATCATATTTCGGTAAAAATAGTTCAGATTTGCAATTTAAATATATAGTTATATATAAATATAAAAACAAACAAACAAACAGTAGACGAATGAACAAACCATTGAATAAAAAGAAAAGAAATAAAAGAACAGGAAAGGATCAAAAATATGAGTCTTGTTTGATCTTGTCAGATTTTGTGTAGCATAAAGCAAGGTTTTATTCCGGAATTTGGAAATGAAAATGATTGTCATTATTGTCCACATAAAAAAAGACTGCTTCATAGAAGTCAAATAAAAAACAAGAACGAACAGATCAAAGATTAATGTGTTAAAAAAAGAAATGTTAATGTTATAAAATATCTTAAAAAATCAACTTAACATACATGCCAAATGACTGGTATATTCAGTGAGACAATCCGGTTCCTCATGACTGTACCAAAAAACCCACAATTCTTTGACAACATCTATTCTATAATCTGGTAACTGCATAGCTGCAAGTGTCCCAGTTGGTTGCGGTGGTTGTCGTCTCCAAGCACAAAGAATTCCTGCTTGCAAACATCGTGCATAAGCACTTAATACGGGATCTTGCTCTAAACTTGTCCAGGTTCTTTGCGATAAAGGAGTTGTTAAGCATTTCCATTTGAGACCATTCAATTCCGTCTGAAGAAAAAAAAACGAAGCAAATACCTTTTATAAATTGAATACCTTTTCTGTTTTTCATAAATTAAACTTATCTTTTCATTTCCTTTTGATTCCATTTAGAAATTTTAAAAGGAAAAGTTCCTCTTTTTTCTTGTTTTTTAACAGTTTTTTTTCAATTAATTACCAACTTTTTATAACTCCCAATTATAATGGGTATGATATTTCTTCTTAATGAGAGCATGAAATGTATCTTGGAAGAATTTCAAGATGTGGATAGAATTAAATCAATCCATTTAACTAGCTAATGAGGAGACTATAGGTACTTTTGCATTTCTCTTCAATACTTCTTATACTATCCACATCTCATATAAAAATTTCATACCTTCTTTTCATTTTAGCACAATTATTCATTCCCTTTTGCTGCTTATAGTAACTAGAAACTTCATCCTATCCCTTTCTTTCTCTTTCCCCATTCATCACAACCTAATTTGCATCGACAAGCGAACAAGGAAATATGCATCTTCCCTCAAGAAGCTAAGCACAAAATAAGGACTTTGTCAAAATTCATGCTTCCACCAATAATCAATATTAACGATGATATTCCCTGCTGACAATGAAAAGTCCTTAGAGAGATATTTAAGTATGTTCAATTTCGTTTACATCTGTTATCTCTTAAATGTCAAACAGCGCATTAAGCACAAGTCCATTATGATGTCATAGGCCTAGTCTTATATAATGACAAATAGCTTCCTGATTTTACCTAAATTATTCGATCCTAATGCCAAACATAAAACCCATAATACTAATGGTTTTCACTAAATATATAATTTCGACGAAAAACACAATTTCATAGGAAAGGAAGTCACAAAGGTGTAAAAGCATCCGTCCTTTTAATATTAATTCTTATGAATACTTACAAACCGAAAATTTTAATTATTGTAAACTGAGTAGAATTATTTAATTGTTGGTATTCGCAAGCCTATTTTCGGAAGCAAATTTATTCATGGCCAAGTTGGGTGGAATCAGAATTATGAAAAAAAAAGAATTATGTTACATATATTTTTAGTTCATACTTACCAAAGCAAAGACGTTCGTGTGACAATCTTCAAGACTTCCACCATTGGTGGACATACTGAAATTTGGTGAAATTTTTAATTATCACCAATAAAATAACATGAAATACACTAAGAAATAGATTATGTAGCAGCAATAAATAATAGCAGTACAAATAATAGTAATAGTAGTGGTGGTAGTAGCAGTAGTAGTAGTAGTAGTAGTAGTAGTAACAATAATGGTGGTGATGATGATGGTAATAGTAGTTGCAATATCCAGGAAGTGTTATAGTAGGAACTGGAATAATCGCAGCGTTTCTTTTAACAGTGAAAATAAATCACAGTTGTCCTATATGTACACCTCACTAGAAATATGTTTCGAAGAAGAAAAATGAATTATTGCTAATTTTCTTTTGGCCACTCTTTTTTCTTGGCTACTAATATGATAGTAAGGGAACAAGAATAATAGGAGAATAGAGCTGAGTGAAACTGGACACAACAGAGAAAATAAGAGAATTGAGAACAGCAAGAAAGAGGAAATCACCAGGATTCGGGCGCGAATATCCGGGATTTGGTGACGCTTAAGGTAGCTACATCTAGTGCTACCTTATTCCAATTTACGTAACATTCTCCTGGTCCTTGTAGGGACATTCGCGCCAAAGCTTCGTAATCCGAAAGACCAAACTGTTGACAGTGGTTCTGGTGATCGTCGTAATGACGGCAAAAACTTTCTCCCCTTTCCCTTTCTTTTTTTTTCCAAATAAATCTGTAAGAAATGAAGCAAGATTTTATATGCAAAGAACTTTTTTTACAATTTAAATCGAACGTAGCAAACACAAGTCACGCGTCAATGATACTCTTACAACAACATCAAATCGCCATAAAATTTCGTCACATTTCATGGTGTAATCTACTAGCACTTTATCAGCTTAGTGTAATCTAACCTTTGTTCTAGGTGCTAATCAGTTCTATCGTTTTAAATCCAGTGTATCGTCTCTCGAAGAATCACTGTAGATTCTTTCCACTCTCTCATTCTTCTTTTCCTCTTTGTATCACTACTTCTTTAACATTCCTTTCATTTTACAAAATTTAACAACTGTATTAGAGGATCACTATCTAAATTCTCTAAGCATCTCTCACTTTCGTTAGCCACTATCTTCCACCGCAACTAGCAATAAAATCCTTCTTGAACGAATACTTTGAATCGAATTAAACTAAAGCAAAGTATTATTTAATTAGCTATGTCAACATCGGTCAAGAAAACAAAAAATCGGCAAGCCATATCCACACGAAATTTTTATTGAATACGTTAAAAAAGCAACAATATCCTAAACCAATCATCGGCGTTAAAATCTTACTAATATCAAGGATAGATCTTCGCCATTGATAATTAAAACCATAACCATTACTGATGATTAAAATTACAAATTCATTAATACATAAAACCATATAATCATCCCATCACTTTTCTTCCGAACCCCGCTGTCCGATATCATCGAAATCCTCGCAAATGATCAACTCCACCTAATTCTCATTTATTGCCTTCTACATCCTCATCTCCAAGTTTTCCTTCACTTTAAATCTCACTTAAATTACAATCCCTTCTGGAAAGTGGCAAAAAAAATCTAATTGAAAGTTATTGAATGAAAATTACGAACAAATACTCCCATTTAGTTTTATTTGAAAATAAAAGCACTGTACATCGCAAAATCAACTTCAAATCATTTCGGTTTCATTGCTATACAAACGTAGCTACCCTTTCACTTCCCGAAAGCAGCTGAATAAGCATTTCAAAAAGGAAAGAAACGATATCAATCTAAATATATATTTTACAAAAAAAAAATTTGTTGAAACGAAACAAATTACTGAAATAATTTTTAACTTATATAATGATTACCTTATATCTGCATGAATTACCAACTAATCTTACCTTATTTATAGAAACAACACCTTAATATATTTTCACTGATTATAAATTGGATAATACCTTAGGCGAAAAATCCATTTTCAGCCCACATGGTTGAAATTTTATGAAAATAAAGCGTGTTTTGCAGAACAAAATGAAATGTAGAAATAAAATAACTAATTGCTAGTCAAGGACTGCTTTGAAGTTTTAAAAAAAAATGCACTTTTGAAACAACAGGAAGATCTTTCACGCTAGAGAGAAAAATCTTTCCCAACGACTCACACGCCAAATGTAATACTCGTCAAAGCCGTTCAGTGCATTCCTTTTCACTTTCCGAACTATTTTAAAATACATTTCTAACGTATATATAAAAGTACCTAAATTATTAATTTTCCGATATATTTTCTAGCAGCAAGATCGGCTTTCAAAAGTGTATTTTCGGCATTAGCACTGTTATTAAGAAAAACTTTTAGCATCAAGACTATTTATTACTCTGAAGTGCCTCATAAAAGCATTAATCCGAAAGCCTTTTAAAATTAATGTCAACGTTTCGACAAAAACTGCATTTTTAAGGGCAAATAGTTAGCCCCTTACTAATTCATCCGACCAATACTAGAAATAATGTAGGATATGGAAATGCATGACATCAGTAAGAATGCTATCTCAACATTTTACAGAACAATAAAGACATGAATTATTAATGTTGAAACCTACAACTTTAGTTAAGATTAATTTCTAATTAGTGCTCAAAAATGTGTGAACATAATGCTCTCCATTGTTTAAACAGATATAAACATTTCGGCTAACAATAATAACTGTGAATAAACCTGCCAATATTAATAATAATAATAATAATAGTGGTAATAATGATAATAACAATGGTAATAATAATAGTAATAATAATTAGTTGTAACAGTAGCACCTATCACACGCAATAAAAAAAAAATATGAAAAAATCTGATCAGTGTATGTGTCGATATATAACTTCCAAAAGCAACACCGGAAACATTTTCAAACTTTGATTCATTTGCGCAATAAATCTCACCTATCTGAGCAAAAAGAACGGAAAGATGAAACAGATATTTCGAATCAGTTTCGAAAATTTTAACTGCCACTACCAGTTACAAAGGGAAAACTCTCCTTCGTCCCTCTTCTTCTCTTTCTCTTTTTCTTAATGACAAAGGGATGAAGAGCAGCAGCAAAACGAGAAAATGTGCAATAACACAACAGAGACACACTTCATCAACGACGTGAAAAGAGGATTGAGTAAGAAATCAATCCCTCCTTCCTGCCTTTTGTTTCTGATTTTCAAAATTCTTTCTCATCATGCACAAATCAAATTTGAAATTGAAGTGCGACATTATCTAACCACGAATGTGCACAAATTTGTTCTCCCCTTAAAACATTTCAACCTACCAATCAGTGAATGAAGACAATGCCGACAATCTTAATAGGAATACCATTCAGTAATTTTCTAATAAGCATATTCAGTAATTTCTCCATAACTAGTTTTTTCCTAACAAGCATATTATTCAGTAATTTCTTCATAACTTATTGATGTATACTGGATGTTATGCAATTCACAATAGTTCAGAGGGAAACTGAGAGAAGTTCAGAGTGGTCATAGGAAAAATAACGAGAATCAAACGCATTAGTAATTGAAAAAAAAAAAAAGTAGAAGAAATTTGCATCATCAGCGTCACATTATCACTAAAGGAAAACCAAGAAAAAAACACCTGAATAAACTATTAAAATTAAACTAATTTATGCAATAATTATTAGCTACGGCTTTATGCATAATTGTGGAATGCATTACTATAACGCTTTAAATGTTTTCATGAATCGACTAATATGAAAATATATTTAAAAGCGGGAAAAAATAAGTGCTAAATGAAAGTTTACGACAAAGAAGAATGACAGAGTATTTCGCTCTGTTTGTAATTCATTTAAGATTTGGCTACTTTAGATGCTATTTCTATGAAATCAATGATAACGAAGCTGACGATGGCAATGACGACAGTGATTAGAACGAAAACTGATAAATCTCGTGGCGGTGACAATAATATATACATTGTACCCTATGGGACATTTTTTGTCGTGCGATATGTTTCCGCCTTTTTCATAATAAGTAATCAAATGTTATTTAATCTTAAAAGTTAAAATTACTGCAAAAATTGAACAGAAAATATGAACAGAAATAGAAACGAATAATAAAGTAGCAGCTGTAACAGCAGCATAGCACCTCACCATTTTGATGATGGGCATTATGTATGTGACGATTGTGGCACTAACATACTTATTCTCCGATTATTCCTCCTCCTCCTTCCTTCTCCTCCTGCCACTGCAACTGTTTCCTTCTTCTATTGCTGCCTGAAATCGACAACGACACCGATGACGGTTGTAAAACGATGGCGATGACGATTTAAGCGGTGATAGTTGTCCTACTCGTTTGGCGTCCGATCAACCCTTCCTTTCCCTCCCTAACACGACCAACACCATCACAATCATCATCATCATCATTTGATGATATTTCTTACAACTATTATTTCTCTCTTCCTCTCTTTCTTCCTTCCCTCCTCATTTGTCTCCTCCTTTCAGTCTCTTCAATTTTTCTGAGCTAACTTATTAAACTAAACTAAGCCAACCATCTAATCTGGCAGCACCACCAATGACAACCCTCAAAAACCATTGCTATTCAATGGTCGGTCGACTGCACATATCACATACACACACTACACTAACATACACATTTACATCGTCACATACACAAAATAGAAATGCCATTTTGCATCAAAATGGATTGAAATGGCAAATATATGAAGCACCATCACCCGCAGAAGCATCTACAACAACACCGTTAATTGTCCCTCGTCTCCTTCTCTTTACCCTAACACCTGCTCCCATTAAACTATGCTTGCTGTTGCTCGCTTACATACGCATACAAAATATATGTTACATATATATGAAATGTATATATATTTATATATAAAATATATATCAATCTACACACACAAATAACATATACTCACATACTTACACATACACACACATACATACATGCACATACAAACATACACATACACACACACAGAGATTATTCAATATTATAACTCCTTGCCCTATTTTTGTTGTTGCTATTGACCATGCGCTGCTGTTGATGATGCACTTCGACA